GGTTATATTGGGATCAAAATTGATAAAATTTTTATATTTGGACCAAAATTGATGAATTTTGGTTATATTGAGACCAAAAATAATTTTTTCCCAATTTTATACTCCCTCCGTCCAACTAAAAAGTATACATATTTCTATTTTGGGATGTCCAATTACAAAGTAACTATTTCATTAAACACTCCAGTTTTTCCACAAATACCCCTACTTTACATCACATCATTATTTTTATACCAAAAAAATAAGGGCAAAAATATCATTTTACTACTTTTACCTACACACTATAATTAATGCGCCAAGTATTCCTTAATCTCCGCGCCAAAAGTAAATGTATACTTTTAGCTTGGACGGAGGGAGTATTATATATATTATTATTATTAAAACTCAAATAAATATACAATTATGATTTTGGCCCAACTTGAGCCCAACCCATGAAAGCCCACGACTCGATTTCATATCAAAACCAATGAATTCATTTAAAATATATTTAACTAACGGGCCTTACTATATTTCTCTTAATTCCAAATTTTAGTTAAGTCTTTAATAGCGACTTTGTTCCCTTTCAGTTTTAATGCAAGTTTTAACTATTTAAATTCTACGATTATTTTATGTTACAAAATATTATATTTTTTCTTATCATAAAAAAATTATCATCGACAGCTTAATCGGAAAAGTCTACCTGAATTTTTAATGCAAGTTTTAACTATTTAAATTCTACAATTATTTTTATGTTACAAAATATTATATTTTTTCTTATCATAAAAAAATTATCATCGACAGTTTAATCGGAAAAGTCTATTTGAATTGATTTTTTCTTCCAAAAAAGGAATCAGATCTATCTTGCGATATCCAAATAATTAACATCGCGTGAAAGCAAAAATAAATTTAAAAATACAAAGGAAAAGCTGAAAAAAAGAGCTGAAAATTAATTAAAGAAATTAAAATTGATGAAAATAAGCAGTAAAAAATAAGATTGTTCTTGAAAAAAAATTAGACTAAAAAAGTAAAATACAATTATTGAAAAAAGAGGGCGAATGCCGTAGGAGCAGAGAAAAAAAAAAAAAAAAAAAAGAATAATCTTATTATTTTATCAATATATTATATAAATGAAAAAAATAAAAATATTTACTAAATTCGATTAATCTACTCATAAAATATAATACAAAATTTATTTGTTCAATATAATGAAATAAAATTTATATTATTATGTATCATAGGAAACAAACACTATATATATTTAAATATATGTACAATATATATGTACAATATTTATTTAATATATGTTACTCCCTCCGTCCCACATACCGTGTCTACTACACTGTAGACATGGTATTTTAGGAAAAGTGTAATTAGCAAATAATTAAAAATGTATTAATGAAAATAATTATTCTATAATATAAATAATTATAAATTAAGATTAAGACAACTAATTAGTTTAATTAAAATTAAAAAAAATAAATTAAAAAGTTTAAAATGAAATTAAAGTGTATAATTATTTTTCAGAAAAAGAAAGTGACATAGTATATGAGACTGACAGAAACGGCAACGTGATTTATTTACTATTTAAGTTAAAGTACTTGATTTAATATTTTTTGAAAAAAAAAAAAAATTGATTAATAATAGAAAATTCGAGGAAATTCGCCAAACAAAAAATTGAATCAAACACATAAAATTTTAGAATTCTATCTCTTTCATTCACTTCTTACTCCTAAAACCTCAAAACAAACAGATCTTAAAAGAAAGCACTCTTAATATTTATTTTACTTATATGGTTTGTTTCTATATTTGTGTTTTGACCTTTTGAATAAAATATTTGAATTTAACATTTTATATAGAAAATTGATATAGTCCATTCCTCCGTTCCATTGAAAGATTATAATTTTATATTTTTATTCGTCCCAAAACAAGGTTACTATTTTCTAATTTAGTAATTGTACTACTTACCTAACATAATAAATACCCTTTCAACTTACATTATATTACACAAATATCATTACTTTTATATCACATCATACTAATAGGGATATTTTTGTTTTTTTACTATAATCCAATATAATATTAATATTTAAAAATCTACGTGCAAAAAATAAATGTCATCCTTCCAATGGGACGGATGGAATATATTTTTTTATAAAACATGATTTTACATAATAATAATAATAATAATAATAATAGTAGTAGTAGTAGTAGTAGTAGCTCAAAAGACAAAAGTAAATATAACTTCAGTATCTACAATTTTTCTTGATATATATATATATATATATATATATTCATCTCTTATCTCTAACCAAAATTGTTCTTAATTTACGATAAAAAAAAAAATAAAAAATAAAAAAAAATAAAAAAAAAAAGATCAGATAAAAAAAAAAAAGAAAATTATTCTTGATTTTCATGAAGTTTGGAACGAAATAAGATAAGGGTTTTTAATTATAAAAAACAAATATATATCAATTACGCAATTTACACTCAAGTCACATTAAAATATATATCCAAAGCATGGACATATATAATGTATGTGTTTATTTAGCCACCGAACTCGAGTTTTTACTATTTGAATTATGTATATTTTTAAAAAATATATTTTTTAATTTTATAAAATATCTCGTTATATATTATTTTAATACTAAAATCAAGCAAAAAAAATAAAATTCAAACCAAATCAAAAGAAACACGCCTTATATATTATACTCCCCCCGTCCACTTACAAAGTTTACATTTACTTTTAGCGCGGTGTTTAAGAAATAATAATATTTTAATTATAGTGAGTAGTTAAAAATAGTGTAATAACATTTTTGTCCTTACTTTTTTGTGTAAAAGTAATGATGTGATGTAAAGTTAGGGCATTTGTGAAAAAAAATAAGTTATTTAATAAAATATTAACTTTGTAATTAGACGTCCCAAAATAAAAATATGTAAACATTGTAAGTGGACGGAGGGATTATATAATAATGCAAAACATTATATGAGGAAAGATAAGCTTTAGGAAAGATAGCTGTAAAACTTTTTCGTCTTGTTAAATTTAATTTGCAGATTATTATGTTCAATTGAAAATTTATCCGCAAATTTTCACGTTATCAAAAATATATAAAAAATATGTACCTTTTGGATGAATCTTTTTTTCTCTAGTGCGTTCAGAGAAGAGAAAGAGACAAACTATGTTTTTGTTTTTTATACTGCATTTTTGTTTAGAAATAAATTTATATCATTAAAAAAGAAAATTTGAAATTTGAAATTGGTTGATTTTCAATATGTCGGGTGCGAGTGTTTATTTATAAAATAAAATTTTGATATATAATATTATTTTAATAAATTATATTCACTCCGTCCTACTGAAATTGAATCATTTGGTTAGGGACACGGTATTTGGTGGGAATGTTTAATTAGTTAATAATAATTAGTTATGATATTATTATATTATTTTTTGTATAATTAATAATATTTATAGTTTTAAAGTAAATTTAATATATAGATTTTAAAAATTAAAATATATATTTAAAAATTATATAGTAATTAAAAAAATATATTCAATGTGGGTATCATTTTGTAGAGAATAAAATCTTCTATAATACTAAGTAAATAAAAAAAAATATTTTTGTTTATTTATAATTAACATAAATCAATTTTATAAAAGATGTGTAGTTTTCAATATAAATAAAAATATTTATTTTTTTAAGAGATGTAGAAATAAAGGAGTTTTGAATGGGATTTTGTATGTTACGTAGTTAATTAAGTTGATTTATATTTGTTAAATATGTTTTAGTTTAATAATTATTTTCAAAAATAGAAAGATGTCAATTGTTATGTGAAGACAAAAATAGAAATAGTATTAATTATTGTGGAACGGAAGGAGTATAATCTTATGATAACATAATACAATATTTATTTTAATCAATTATTATATAAAATTATAGTTTCTTTCTCAAATAATATGATAAAACTAATACTATTATTAATTAGACAAAATATTTTTTTTTTAATATTAATATTAATATTATCTTATACTCCCCTTGTCCCGAAACCAAATATCTATTTGTTAACCAAATATCTATTTGTTTTTTACAAGTAAATATGACTAAAATAACCTTATTAGTATGTGTGATATAAAAGTAATGACATTTGTGTAATATATTGTAAGTTGTAAGGATATTTGTAATGTTAGGTAAATAGTACAGTTACTAAGAAAGAAAATGAATACTTTGTTATGGACTATGCTACTTTTACGTCATGTAAAATTATGCATAAGTTTGAATAACAATTTAAAAATAAAATATAAAATTTGAATAATAGTGGAGTATATTTTAATTATCTTACAAAAACTTAATATTTAAACACAATATTCTTATATTTCTATAATTTTTTTTATATATTTACCTTTTGCATCGTGTACTTAACATTAAAAATATTTTTATATTTATATAATTTTTTTATATATTTACATTTTAATGTAAATAATATTAAAAATATTCTTATATTTATATAACTTTTTTTATAAATATCTTTATTATAGATTAAAATTATTCACAATCTAAACAAATTTTTTATCCATAATTTTATTACTTTTATTTTAAGAAATTTGTCATAATTTTTCCTACTTTGATCTTTTACCAGTTTTTTATAAGTTTTTACATATCATATTAAAATATTACTCCATCCGTCCCATGTAATATGAGTGTATTACCGTAGACACCAGAATTTATGTAAAATATAATTAGTAAATAATTAAAAAATGTATTAATAAAAATAATTATTATTTAGTAAAAATAATTATAGATTAAAATTAAAATAAATAAATAATTTAATTAAAATTAAGAAAATAGAAAGGAAAAGTTGGACGGAACAAATTATGTCCCGGGAGAATAATTTATTATTTTCCATACAAGTAAAATGACATAATTAACCAAAATTAAATTAATATATTTATATATATTACCTCTGTAATTCGCTTGCCAAAATCAAGAGCATATTTTATATAATGAAAATTAAAATGAAAAGAACAGAAGAAAGAAAGAATAAATTAGTGCTAATGAATCTAATATTTTCTCATCCAACAATTTACAAGCAACAATCAATCAATCGACAGTAAAATCTGCCCCAAATCCAAATAATGATTCTCACCACAAAGAATAATTCACCCTAAAAATAATCGACAAACAAACATGGAGAGATGACCGACCGAACAGCACCACTGCACAAATCCAAATCCAACTCCGGAAAGAATAATTCAGCATCCGAAGTACCACAAAGTTAAATGTAATTTACCAAATTTCGACTCAATGAATCATGTACGTAATCGCCAGAGCAACCAGCATTAGCAAATACGCAATTCCTTGGTCAATCGCTACTCCTGCAATTCATCAAATCTACCGTTCAATCACCACTTCAATTTCACAAACAAACAGAAAAAATATATATATATATAAACAAACGTGTTTTCTTCAGATTCAAACTCAATTTCGAATCGAACAAAAATCAGTCACTAAATCTCATCCAATCCACGGATAAAATTACTTCAAAAACAAATCGAGTGCAGAAAACTAACTCACCGTCGCTCGTCGGAGCCGGCGCCGGCGCGGTGACTTGACCGCTGATCGAAGGAGCTATCAAGGCCAAAACGAGAGCGATCACCGCCATAACGAAGTACAATCTGATAATCTCCATAGATCTTCTCCGAATCTCGAATCGAACAGCCAAAAATATCTCGAAAACGCGAAGTAGACGCGGCTTGGAAAATCAACCCAAAATTCCTGAGAGAGAAACGCGAAGTGAAGCTCTATATATATATACAGATATATATATATACGCGGGGGGCGTAGAAAAGGGAATAAAACCTTACCTGTCAAAGATGATAGGCAGCCATGTTTGAGATCGTCGATGGAGGACACGTGTACGGCTGGGATGCAATGCACGTTACGCGTCCAGATATTATCGCGCTGGCATGGCAAAGGGGCAATTGTGGCACATGCAAAGAATGATTGGTGGGACCCAATTATTCTTTCTTTGAATTTAATTTTCAAAATTTTGAAATATATAATATTAATTAAAAAAAAAAAGTGGCATTTTCCCCAGCTGATGAGTTTTGACCAAAACGGTTAATAAAATTAAATCGATTTTTTTTTAATTGAATTTATTTAAATTCGTGTAATTATAATATATAAAGTAATTCATAGGGGGTGTTTGTTTCGGGGTTTGGATTTTGAATTGGAATTTGAATAGTAAAAATTCTGAATTGGAATATGATATAAATAGGTGTTGATGTGATATTTTGAATGTAAAATTATTTTTTATTATAATATAAAAAATAAAAAATAGGTGTTTGATTTGATATTTTTTGGAGAAAAAAAATGAGATGAATAGTGGAAATCTAATCCAATCCCCCGAACAAACACTCTCATCGAAATTGATTTTAAATTTTAAATCCAAGATTTATCTATTATATATTAACTATAGTTGAGATAAAAGAAATGGAGATATAACTTTATTTAATTTGATTTTTTTTAAAATTTTTATATTAAATCAACTATCTATTTTATATTCATTTTTTTAAAAATAAAAAACTAACTGACAATGTGTTTGGTTTTATTCATATTAAATTTGAAAGTTTGAAAGTTTTATTTAAATAATATATATATATTTTTTAATGAAGTGAAAAAATGTATATTTTTATGGATATGAAAATAAAAGAAAAACAAAATACATTATTCAATATATATATATTATCAAGTCAAATATAATTTAAAATAATTAGTTAGTGTTATTTAACACTAATTTTTAATTGCGATTCTGCAAAAATAATAATAATAATACAAATGGTAAATTATATAACACCTCATTGTTTTTAGTAAAAATGCACAAAATACCCTGTGTTTTATTTATTAGGTGAAATCCCCTTGTGTTAATGTAAAGTTTGCACGAAACATGTCCAAAACTGATATTTAGTTCTAAATAAATACCTAAATTACACAAGTTTTATCCAAATAAAAAGCACAAAATATTTTAAATAATTTTTTTTTTTTTGCATTAGATAAATAATTAAATAATTTATTAATTCTTTATTTTATAGTTTTTGAAGATAAATTATTGTTTGATTTTTATAAAAATTATAAAAATAAATGATTGATCAATTATTTATTTTATTCAAAAAAAAATTATTTAAGATATTTTACGTTTTTTATTTGTATAAAACTTACGTAATTTAGATCTTTATTTCGAACCAAACATCAGCTTTGGACAAAGAGGATGTGCAAATTTTCCATTAACACAAGGGAGTTTCACGTAATAAATAAAATACATGGTATTTTCTGCATTTTTAATAAAACACAAGGATGTGTTATACTCCCTCTGTCAAACTAACATCCTACTTTTTTATTTGGAATTTCCAACAATTATTATCCCCTTTCTATTTTTATACACAAATTTTACTCTTTTATCTCTACTTTATTTACCCTTTCATTTTATATACACAATATTAAGGGTAAATTTGTCATTTTATAATAAAAACTCTAATTATCTAAAAATGCGTGTATATATCAAATAGGACATTAGAAAATGAGCGGAGGAGTATAATTTACCCAAATACAAAAGGACACGGATGCCGTACATGGTACGGTTATGATTGAACAAAATATTACTTTGACAAGATTCTACGAAAGCAAATTCATTATTTCAAACATGGTAAGAGATAAAGACGGAACTATTTGACGGTTGCTTCAGTCTCCAATTTTATTTTTAATTTTTTTCTTAGCGTAAGAATATAATAAAATTTATTTAGTTTTATTGATTTATCCCTTCGACACTTAATTTTTTAAAATATTTTTTGTAGTGTGAAAAACACAATTTTATTAGATTTTTTATTTGGAAACCTTCAATTATTTTTTGAGTTAAAAACTGCAAAATGTTATACTCTCTCAGTCCGCCTGTAAGGATCGCATTTATCTTTTACGTCATTATATTTAACATTAAAATTATATTTATATTTGTATAATTTTTTGTACAAATATCCTTCTTTTAGTATTATAAGATATTGATTGAAGTACTTTTGCAATTTTTTTCTTAATTTTTACCATATTTTGATACTCCATCCGTCCCATAACTATATGTTCATTTGTTTTTTGCACGGAGTTTTAGAAATATTAGTATTATATTGGGATATAGTAGAAATAAAGTAAAAATGACTTTATTAGTATTGTGTGATATAAATGTAATGATATTTATGTAATATATTGGAAGTTGTAAGGGTATTTGTAATATTAGGTAGATAGTACGTTTACTAAAAAATGAAATAGATACTTTTTTATGGGACAAACCAAAATGGAAAAATAGATACTTTGTTATGGGACGGAGGGAGTATCATAATTAGGGGTGTCAAAAGTAAACCCGACCCGAAAAATCGAACCCGTTTGACCTGAAATTTTTCAGGTTCAGGTTTGGGTATTTCGGGTTTGAAAAAAATCGGGTCGACCCGAACTTGAAACGAAAAAATTCGTGTTGTGTTCGGGTCGTGTTTCGGGTTGACTTGATAAGCTGAAATATAAAAATCATTTAAGGTTTTGGGTTTCGTGTTTTGGGTTGACCTGAAATTTTTATTATTATTATTATTTTAATTTATAATGTTTATATTATTTTAAATATAAAATAATATAAAAATTTAAATAAAAATGATATCTCTTAGGCCAATTTAATTTTTTTTTTAAATTTTCGAGTCTGTTTCGTGTCAGGTTCGTATTGTGTTTGTTCGGGTTTCGGGTGACCTAAAACTAATTCAGGTCAACCTGAATCCGACCTGAAGGAATTCGTGTCGTGTTCGGGTCTAGGGTTTCAGGTCAGATTTCGGGTTCGGGTTGACAGTTTTTTTGTTATCCCCATGACTCAATCCGACACGAACACGACCCAAAAACACGAATTGACACTCCTAATCATACTTAATATTCAAAGATCAACACGAAAAAAATAAATTGACCCTTATAATCGGATGAAAATAGTATAATTTTATCGAATTTCCATAGCTCATCTCTTCCTCTTTTTTATTATTATTATTATTATTATTTTTTTTTATTTTTTTTTAAAATTATCTGTTGCACAAAGAAAAATTGAAAAGACATGACTGAAATAGTAGAAATGAACCGATGTTCTGTCCCTCAATTTTCGAAAGTTGATTAGGTTAAACATATATATAAAAAATAAAAAATATAATTACAAATTGAACGACTTAAAAAACTATTTTTAAATGAAAGAGAGTAGTACATATGAATGTTGAGATATGAAGCCGATTATATCCTAAAATTTAGATATGATTTAGATATTATATTCTAAATTTTAGAGATATAATTTGAATATTATTGGCATAGATTTAGCCTATAAATATCCATATATTCTCACTTTAACGTGAGTCTGCGTACTTTATAATAAAATTCCTGGCTTGACAACGTCCCAAATATAGATCATTGTGATCAAACTGAATTACCAAATTCTTGTGTTCTCGTGTCCTTTGTTTGCTTAATCTTGATTTCCTGAAATTTTAGTAACAATAAATTATGAGTAATTTTATTTAATTGTAATTTTATTTAATTGTTATAGAATTACGTCACGATAAAATTATTAATAAATTAAAATATTAAAATCAACATCTTAAAAAGAACAATTTGTATTAATGGTTTTTTTTTTAGGCAAAAATCAGTGAAGATGGGAGACAGGAAGGTTCTGAGGGTACATAGTTTGACTATATACCACTTTTGCAACGGTCTACTTTGACTAACCAAATTATGACCCGAAATCTATGAAATACTATTTTGTTTCTATTTTCTGGAAGACTTCAATATTTTAAATAAAATAAATAAATATATAATATACACTCACATATAATAAACACGTGTTGAATGTATTACTATTATTATTATTAGAGCAAAAATTCATTTTGGTTCCGATATAAAAAATTTATCAATTTTAGTTGTATTATAAACAATTTTAATCAATTTTGGTCTCGTTATAAACCATTTCAATCAATTTTGATCATACAGTTAAAATACTAACGGAAATTGCTGACGTGGATATAACGGAGGCGACATGGCAGCTGACTTGGAAACTATACGGCCATTTACAATTATACACGGTCATGTCGTCACACGGCTATTTATAGTTCAGTATATAATTATGTAAGGTCATATTGTGTAGATTGTGGGTAGGAGTGTTACATAGTTAAAAACCGGTCTAGATCATTTCAACCCGGCATTGGCCAATTTTTTATTTTATTTATTTATTAAAATTAACATGACTTGAGACTCATCAAGTACAATTCAATTGTGGTTAAATTGGGCCGGAACTTGACATGGGCCAATACGGTTTGAGCCAGCTTGTTTGGGCCTATCGAGTAGAACTTAAAAAAAAATAAGTATAATCCAAAAATTTGATTCGAACCTAATATAAAAAATAGTTTTGATACTAAAATATAAGTTTGAAAAATTCGGGCCAGCCTCGGGGGCCTGAGTCTATTCAAGTCGGGTTGCGCCCGATCCGACTTAAGAGATTAAATATTTTCAAATCTATGTTTGTCTTTTTTTATTTGATTTGAATTTTTTTTAATTTGAATTTAATATTAAAATATTTTTTTTATGATTTTTTCAAAAAGTCCAAATAGTATTTGAGAGTTTGATGAAAAAAGACGGTCAACAAAGCAATTTTTAGATATTTACATTCTACTTTTTATTCTTATTCAATTAAATATCTTTACTCGGCTAAAGATTTTATTTAACTTATGTGTCATTAAAAATATTTTTATATTTGTATAATTATTTGTACAAATGTCATTATAATAGTATTATAAGACAATAATATCATTTTCGTTTAATTTGTATTATATTTTAATATAATAATTAAATATTCAACTATAAAAAAAAAAAAATACTTAAAATTAGAGTCGGACAAAAATAATATATATATATATTTTGTACTTATCGTGCACACTCCCTACGCAACAATTCTTTCGGGACGGAAGTATAAAAGTCCAAAACAAGCACGCCCTTTGTATATCGAAATTTCAATAAACCACAAACAAAGCACGCCCGGCCTTCACCCGTCTGCCTTCGTCTTCGAATCTTCCGAAAAAAACAAAAGAAAAAAAAAGAAATCGAAAAATCCGTACCTCCCCCGGTTGCAGAAATCTCTGGAAACTGAAGAACAAATTAACGTACAGTAGGTAATGATGAGCTCCTTCTTTCCGCGGATTCCTCTGTTTCTCACTTTCTTGCTTCTGTTATCATCACACCATGCTGTACGTGCTGAATTTCCATCCAAGTTTCTGAATATGGCCAAAAGTCCCGAGCAATTCGAGTATATGGTGAGAATCCGGAGGACTTTGCACGAGAATCCGGAGCTCGGGTATGAGGAATTCGAGACGAGCAAACTCATCAGAAATGAGCTCGATAGAATGGGGATACCGTACAAATCCCCAATTGCTATCACCGGGGTCGTTGGATATGTCGGCACGGGACATCCGCCATTCGTCGCTATTAGAGCCGATATGGACGCCCTAGCTATGCAGGTTTTGTGATACGCTGTAGATTGTTCGATAATTGTTCTGGATTTTTGGGGAATTGAAGATGTTGGAGTAGAGGTAATTGATTTTGGGGGGTTAATTAGGGTTTGGGATTTGGTACCAGGAAGCTGTGGAATGGGAGCATAAGAGTAAAGTTCCTGGGAGGATGCACGCTTGCGGGCATGATGCACACGTTGCAATGCTGCTCGGTGCTGCAAAAATGCTCCAGGAGAATCGCATGGATTTGGAGGTTCGTTTCTTTCCTTCGTCTTGATTGATTTTGTGTTCTCTGTTCTTTTTTATTCGATAAATTTGGTTTTGGAACTGCAACGCTAATGAATCCATTTGGATTTGTATTTAATGATGAGAGAATTAAATAAGTAGGAAGAGGAGAATGTTCAACTGATCAATTTTGCTTCCTATGTGGAATTGAAGATAATTTGATTTAGGTTGGATTTGAGTAAAGTGATTGATATATCAATCAATTTCGATTCCTATGTGAAGATGATTGTAAGTTAGTGTCGGCTGGATTCGAGTAAAGTGATAGTTAATTTGATCGAATTTTGACTCCTATGTGAAGATGATGATCAGTTATTGTGGGTAGGAATTGAGTAAAGTTATTGCTACTTTGATCGACTTTGAGTCATAGGTGAAGATGATGATAAGTTATTGTAGGTTGGAGTTGAGTAAAGTGATTGCTAATTTGATCAATTTTGAGTCATAGGTGAAGATGACGATAAGTTAATGTAGGTTGGATTTGAGTAAAGTGATTGCTAAAATGATCGATTTTTAATTCCTATGTGAAGACGATGATAATTTAATGGGTTGGATTTGAGTAAAGTGATTGCTAATTCGATCAATTTTGATTTTTGATTCCTATTCAAAGAAGATTAATAGTTAATGTAGGTTGGATTTGAGTGAAATGATTGCTAATTTGTTCGATTTTGATTCCTATGCTAAGATGATGATAAATTATTGTGGGCTGGATTTGAGTTAAGTGATTGCTAAAACAATCTATTTTGATTCCTATGTGAAGATGATGATAAGCTAATGTAGGTTGGATTTGAGTAACGGCATTGATAAACCGATCAATTTTGATTCTTATGTGAAGATGATGATGAGTTAATGTAGGTTGGATTTGATTTTGACTAAGGCTGAATTGATAGCTATTTTTTCGTATTTGGGATAGTTTCTTGTTTCTTTTGAAGTGTTGTTTGAGCTCCGTTCGATAATTAGGTTTTTAAGTCCAATTCGAGCTTAGTGTTGCTTGGTTTGGTTTGTTGAGCAGTTTCTAAACTTCGATTTTCTACTTATGTTAAAATTCAAATTCAGCTTATTATATTAAGTATTACGAGTTGAGAGAGCTCAAGCTCGTTCTTGAAAATAGCAAGTTAAGTTCGTGTACGAATTCAGCCTTTTCATTTTATCAAATTACTCCCTCCGTCCGCTTCTAAGGGTTACATTTATCTTTTGTGTCATTGTACTTTAATGTTAAAAATACATTTATATTTGTATTCTTTTTCGTATAAATATCTTTCTATTAGTATTATAAGACACTAATAATTTGTAGTACGTTTTGATATAATAATTAATATTAAAATATCAACATGTAAAAAGTAAATGTGATTCTTAGAGGCAGACGAAGTTAATAGTACATTTTATCAAAATTAAATGAGCCGAGCTCGCGAACAACTTGTCTGATCAACAACTATAAGATGGACGGTAAGCATGAATCGTGATAAACACGACGTTAAATTTTATTTGTGTAATCAACAAACATGAAATCGTAAGGTTTAGACAGTGAAAATTTTTTGGTATGATTTGGCAATTTGTGAGTTAAGTTGTGCGATTTTTCATAATCAGCTGAAGAACTACAGAGGAATTTTCATGTTACGATTAGTCTTGCTGTACGAATGATCGGATAACTTCATGCTTTTTCATTTTTAGGGTACTGTCCTACTGGTTTTCCAACCGGCGGAGGAGGGTGGTGGCGGAGCAAAGAAAATGGTGGAGGCCGGGATATTGGAGAACGTCGATGCAATTTTTGGTTTACATGTTTCGACCCGCCACCCATTAGGCGCAGTTGCTGCAAACTCAGGTCCTATTTTAGCCGGAAATGGATTTTTCGAGGCGAAGATTACAGGGAAAGGCGGCCATGCTGCGATTCCACAGCAGATTATCGATCCTGTTGTGGCGAGTTCGAGCATTATAGTTAGCTTACAGCATCTGGTGTCGCGCGAAACTGATCCACTCGACTCTCAGGTTATTTGGCTGTTTGCCATTCTTGCGACACGACAGCTTATGTGCTAACAGATTTGTAATTTTTTCCGGCAGGTAGTGACAGTCGGAAAGTTCCAGGGTGGCCGGACGTTCAATGTCATCCCGGATACTGTCACTTTAGGCGGCACCTTTCGAGCTTTTTCCAAAGAGAATTTTATGCAGCTCAAACACCGTATTGAAGAGGTATGGATTTGTTAGAATTTTTGGTTATGTTCTTTTCGCATTTTTTTCTTTTTACGGTTACATTCAACAACTGTTTTACGTAAAAGATGACAAAAAATAAAACTTGCAAAACATAAGCCAATACAATGTGAAACTATCAAATTTTACAAATATAAACTTCCTCTGTTGTTCAAATTGGATTGTCATCAGAAAATATTTTATTTTTATTATATTATTTTTTTATATATATTTTTACTATGAAAAAGACAAAAAGTTCCACTTTTATTAAAATTTGTGTGCAAATTACATAATTAGATGACGGTGGAGTATAAGTTATTGATAACAAACACGAGATGATTTATATGTTCGATTTATTAGTTTATTGATCCAAATCTGGTGCTAAAGCATATTTTGTATGTCGTTCAATAGATTTTTTTCACTATATAAACATTCGAAAAATTGTATATCAAGGGTTTGTTTACTTGATTTTTTTTGGATAATATATTTTTAGTTTCGTATGTGATATTTATTATTATTTTGATAAATAGTCTTATATATCTGACCCTTAATTGTTGAGAAGATCATCTTGTATTATAGTGTGTGATGGTATATGAAAATTTTATATTGACATAAATTTACTTTTATATATTTTATTAAAAGATATATTTTATATTTATTTATAATTAAATTCAAGTCAAATTTTGATGTTAGAAAAATGTTATGTTGCTAGTTCATATTAACTCAAGAGGTACTGTGTCAGCGCACATGACAATTTTTTGGTATCAAATTATATATTCAACGACTACGAATTAGATATAATATTATTTTTACAAAAATTTTACTTAAAAACCAATATGATAATGTATACCATATTATATATGAGACTGAAAATATTCTTTTATCTCTTTTTTTTTTTTTGTACCTTCGTAACTTCTTATTTTAATATTTTTAAAATAGAATGGTTGTAGATATAATATGTTGTATCGAAATAGAAATAATAATAAATATGTGAAAAAATAAAATAAATAAAATAAACCTCAGTATATGTCTTTAGTTCAATAAATCTTTTATACGAGATTTAAGTTCCATTTTAACATGTTTTTTTATATCGTTTAACAACTTAATTTATCCGATACTTTGCTAGAACAAAGCTAAGTACAACCTAATGTATCCCGGAAAAATCAACTTCAGGTTATCATCCGGCAAGCCGGCGTGCAAAGGTGCAACGCAAGTGTAAACTTCTTGTCGCCTTTCTACCCGGCGACAATCAACGACGCCCATTTGGACAAACATTTCCGGGCAGTGGCTGAGACCATGTTGGGTGACGGCAACATCAAAGATCTCCAGGCGTCTATGGGAGCTGAAGACTTTGCATTTTTTGCCGAGGCAATACCGGGATACTTCTACTTTGTGGGGATGGCGAACGAGACGGAGGGCCTTCTAGAATCCGGACATTCCCCGTACTTCAGGGTGAATGAGGCTGCGCTGCCTTATGGTGCTGCTCTGCAGGCGTCATTGGCAGCAACATACCTCCGGGAGCACCGCCAGGGACCGGTCCCGAGCTCGCATGATGAACTGTAAGTGAGGTGAATGTTTTGTTTTTGGTCTATTTGATGATGGATTAGTGTTTCTATAATTGCTAAATTATAACTCATTTAACTTTTGCATGTGAATATGGATATAATGGTATTTATAGATGTGTAATACTCCATCCGTTCCAATATAATAGTCTTGTTTACCATTTTTGTCCGTTCCAAAACAATAGTCTTTCTTTTTATAAATAACCATATCACTATAAACCTACCCTTACTTTTTCATTATTATTACACAATTCTACTACTTTTTAAACTAATATACTCACAAGAGCAAAAAAGTCGTACTTTTTATCCACTACCGGAGGGAGTATAATAATAAGTCTTTTGGCATTAGTTATATCATAAAAAATGTATGGATATTTTGATATTTAATACTCCCTTCGTCCCAATAGAGTTGTCCGTTCCAAAACAATTGTTTTGTTTTCGTATTTAGTAATCGTGGTCCCCATTTTATAACAAAATTATTCCTACTTTTCCAAAATTCCTATAATTATTACTCTAACTTACTTTTTAAAATCATTCACAAAATAAGAGTATTTTAGTCTTTTTATCTTCTATTTTATACATATTTTTAATTAAATATTATTATTCCTTAATTCCTGTGCGCACTTTTTTTGAAACGGAAAGAGTATAAGAATTACTTTTACTTAAAAAAACAAAAATCTTTTAACTTTAGACAAATAAAAATAACAAAGTGAATATATTTTACTAAAGAAGCATCACACATCGTTGTGTTACTTTATCTTTTATTTATTTTAAGATAAATTATATTACACAATGTTTAATGCATTTTTATTAAAACACAACAAATATTATATAATTTATCTTTTATTTTATTAAAATTTGTATATAGAATATTAGTTTCACCCAAAAGTAATGGTTACTGTAGGTTTGTTATTTTGTTATTTCAAATTACTGATGAAATCAACGTTGTTCACTCTATATGTTTTCTATGAAAATATATATATATTTTTTATAAAACATCGTACCAATATTATTTAAATAAAAATTCAAATATAACACTACCAAGTTAAAAAAATATATATATATATATCTCGCCAAAATGTATTCTCTATTCAAAACATCACGCCATAAACCTACTTATATCACATAAAAACACTTATTTATATTCAATCTTTTAATATTCCAAAACCAATCAAAAAATTCCAAAACACTTATTTAACATTCGACTTTGTAACATTCCGAAACCAACCAAAAACTCCAAAACACATCTAAGTGCAGCCCCACAATTCAATGAAATTGATGAAGATAACATTCAGCATTTTTAATATTCTAGAAGGTCCTTGACAATTCGTTCAGATTCAGCAAAACAAATATTCAGAGTCGGGCGTACCATCAAGAAAGAAAGCACCATTCATCGGGACCAACTTAAACCAAGATTTGAGTGACCAATAACGGCAGCTCTTCAAAATTATAAATAGAAAACAAGCAACAGAAACTTATGAAATATAAATAAAACCATGCTCCGAGAACACCCACAAACCCTACTGAAAATTTGACCAATAGTCATCAGATCTTTGAACATACGGCCATAAATATATTTCGAACTTGCGACACATCCCAAGAAGCAAAGAGCCAAATTTTGCACAAAAGCAAAAATTACTAACTGATCATTAAGCAGCAATAATGTTCAATAACAAAAAAAAAAAAACAAGCACAAATTTAATCCAGTATGTATGGAATAATAAACATACGCTGATCGATCTTTTAGCTCTACTTCACTTCTCGGATGAGTTTGGTCCTCTCTTCTTCCCAAAGCCAACAACTGCACACAATACACAAAATCCAACAAAGAAACCATTTTGTATGTTAGAAGTGTGTTTCTTTTGCCAAATTTCCTCAAACTTAACTATTTGTATTATGCATTTCCGAAAAAAATTACACTTTTTCCTATCACACTTTAACAACAGATTAATCAAATCTTAATATCTTCACAAAATTGATAAACATTGAAGTTTGGAAGCAGAAATTTCGCAGAAATAAATCAAACGCTCTTAACAATGAGAGGAGCTATGCATAGACGAGTTCTCAATAGTTTCCATATCCGAAATGAGTAGATTCCAATGAGAGAGGGTTAAGTTACTATAGATATGTAGAAAACCGACAAAACTTGCTTTCGAATAGGTACACAAACGGTAATTATTTGCTCATGTAAAACCACAACCCTAATTTCTTGCTCCGCCACTGCTCGTAATCAAAATTATATATTTTCGTTAGATCATAATCGAAATTACTAATTTACTATTGCGAGTCGTCCAAAAATGTACAGAAACGTCACTATATCCAACAGAATTACAGCAGAGTCGGGAAATTAGGGTTACCAGCAGTGACGAAACGGCGATTGTATTGCATCCGCTTGTGGGCACGCCCTCGGGGCTTCTTCTTCTTGTCCTGTTTCGCAACCTTCGGCGTTTGCCCTCTCACCTTTCCGGCACGCGCCAATGAACCGTGCACCTTACCTGCAATATTCCATTCGCCAAATCAAACCACCACTAAATCGAATCTTCATTACTGTTTAACGAACACCAAATCTTTCTCACCCATGATTGATTGATCTAATTCTTCGCAAAACTCCGAGAAATCTTCGGTGCACCTTCCTCGCGTTCTCTTGCGGGAACCTGAATTGAAAAATGGCAGAATTCTGCAATTAGGGTTTCCCGAGGATTTTATAGGTCTGGGCTTATAATTGGGATGGGCCTTTAAGTTTAATTTGGGCCTTAAATATAATTCATATTGGGTTTATATTTTAATCAAAGCCCATTTATCCAGAAAATGAAACGACGCCGTTTGCGTTTATACTACGTCGTTTCGAACAGACCCGTTGATTTAAGGATTTCTCGTAGAATTGGGTCGATTCGTGTCAATTTGAATATTTTAAACGGGCTAAAGTACTCTACCGTAATTTGAAAATTGAAAATGAGTCGATTCGGGTTAAATACTTTAAACGGATTAAATTATTCAACCGTAATCCGAGAACTGTAAATGAATCGATTCGTATTGGGTTGAATACTTTAAATTGGTTAAATTACTTAACTGTAATCCGATCCGTTTATAATCGTGTCAGGTTCGTGTTAACCCGTTTATTATCGTGTGTGTCAGGTTTGTGTTAATCCATTTGTTATCGTGTCAGGTTCGTGTTGACCTGTTGTTATCGTGTCGAATTCGTGTTGACCCCTCTACGTAATTAAGTCGAAATTCTTGATTCAAATTAAAAAAACATTGTCATGTTATGTTAGTTTTTATTAGTTTTAATTTAAATTAATATATGAGTAAATTATTAAATTATAATTGTTTCATATATATAATAAATAAATTAATTAATATTAATATATTATAATCGGGTTATTCTGTCGAGTTTGAGTTAAAAGTCTCAACCCTAATCCGACTTATTTATTGTCGTGTCGTGTTCATGTCAACCCATATATAATCGGGTTAAAATACTTGGCCCAAATTCAATTATTTTGTGTCATGTTCGTATTAGGTGGTTGTATCGGGTCAGTTTTTGTATGCTCTAGTTTCTTGAGGGCTTTATAGAGCTTAATAGGCCTAATAATTCGAATGGGCCTTTGGCTTTAATTTGGGCTTTAAGTATAATTCATATTGGGTTTATGATTTTTAATAAAAGCCCATTAGGTCAGAAAATGAAACGATGACGTTTTTATTAAAACGTCGCCGTTCGAACAGACTCTGATTTTTATATCTTCTTTGTATTTTCAAAAAACGAAATTCTTAGTGGAAAGGAACGATGCAGAAACTGACGACGAAATGGAGAAGAAAATTGCGCGACAGTGTGGATGGCGAAGGCAGCGATCTACCAACTCGTGATGATTCCCGTCCGATTGATTCTCGAGGTTCATCATCTTGGTGAATTTTTGTTTGTTCGTCGATCAGTTCATTGTTGTTGAGTGTTGAGCGGAGGAGCTGGATGTATGTTTAATTGCTCGTGTAAATTTTGTTTGTGTGCAGAGCAAGAGGAATTAGTTCGATCGTTGGAGAAGAGTCAAGCTCAGCAGTCTCTTCTGTGGAGGGTAATTTACCATTTTCAATTGCAGCTTCGATCTGCTGGGGGTGTGATTGGATTTATATTTCAATTTTGGTAAATTATTTTGGTTTTGGTTTGAGTGCAGAGTGTGTTCGCGGGACTGGTTTTTTGCTACGCGATTTTCCTCATTTATACAATCCATCAGCAGGCTTATTCTCCCTGGGATTTGGTATGCATTCTATTAACCATCTGGTGTTTATTTTTGCCTGTGTGTCGATCATTTGCTATTTGTGTATGCTTATTTGGAGCGGCCTTAAGCATTTTTTAGTTCTTCATGTTTTTATCTACGGCTACATATGTGAGTTGCAAGTTGGATTATGCTACGTTCCTGCTTTATTCACACCGCAGTGTTAACTTCTGGAGTATAAATATAAATATATATACACTGCCTCATTTATGGGAACTATTCACATTAATACACAGAGACTCATATATATATATATCCTAAGTTTATGAGTATTGTTTTTGGGTTTTGAGCTGTTAAAAAGCTTGATTCAAACTAGTATTCAGGAATATATATATATATATGTACAGACAGCTATATAGAGAGGGAGAGAAAGATTATTATTTTCTAACTCTGAGTAACCATGTTTTAAGGATCGAATGCGTATGGTATTGAACAGTGATACTTGTCAATTTTATCTTTTTATGGTTATTACCACTATGGATATTTTTATCACAGTTTCCTTTATGATATTTAATCCATGTATGGTTATTAGTGTTAGACTTGCTAACATTGATAAATAATTGACTCATCTTTATTAGTACTCTCATTGAAAATAGAGCTCAACCCACAATTGAGAAATCAAGTTCTCCTAGTTATTAATGGAACAACTGTTACAAGGATCAGTGGTGGGATAACTCAAAATCTAGAGAGATTTGGCTAAAGTGATGATAGATTACCATGTTTTTTCTTCCATATTGCTGATTATATGTTCATATTTGTCATTTTCATCTCTCGCGCAGCGCTATCATGCTTACTTCATGTACGAGGTTGATTCAGGGAGCATTATAGCTGCAGGTTAGCTTCTTCATCTGCTCTACTTGTTTAACATTGACAGATTTTTCAATCCGCATCAGTGATAATAATGTTGTGTTCTTTTGCTTACTTATGATATGTTGTATTCATGATGCTGGCACAACAAAATTAAATGTTTGCCTCGTCTATGCTTTTGAATAAAATGATTATTCAACTAGTTCATCCGTATATGTGCATTTGTGCCAAACCACATCAATTCGGCAGTGAATTATCCTAGAGATTGATGCAACTAATGATCAATTGTTGCAATAAGGTGGCTACATGTAAAACCTAGCGAATTTTCATTTTATTTTGTGTTTCTTTTAACTTGCAACTAATGAAATATTCTGTTATTCTCATTAATATCCAGTGATTTATCACATACATTCAAATGTTCTTTCTGGTTCAAACTGTCAAACAAAATTGTTATTGGTTTATTTTACAACTGTTCCTTATATATTTTTATCAGTATTAAGATTTTTAAGATATTGCAGATGGGGCAGCTGTTTTGGTATGCTTAATGCTGATCACCGGCTTGATGCACAACACAAGACGCCATCGCCTTTGGCTTCTATCCTCATTTTTCCCGAGTGCATTATTAACAGTCTTTTGGTTGCACCATATGCTGAGGTAAGCTGTTCACTAGAATACTATTGAATAAGAATTTCAAAATATCCTCGACTGTTCATCTTCACTCGTTGATTCTAGTCTCTTTCACCAAGTTAGCATGGAACCAATGTGTATACTTTCTATCCTATTGACAATTCCAAGTTCTCTTATCTATCTATTATATCTGCTGCAGATTGGCGAAGTTTAGATGGGATGTGATTTGGCTTCCTCTAGCACCGCTTGGGTACGCCATTGTATACTTTCTGTTACTTTTTATCTTCTACAGTAAAAGATACAAAAAGTAGTACTCACTCCCTCTTGGAATGTTTATGCCACTTCCATTGATTACGGAGGTTAAGAAATAAAAGTATAAAAGTAGAGTTAGTAGAAAATAAAATTGAGGTATTATAGGATATTTATCAAAATGTTAATAAAAAAATAGCAGAATAAGTAGAAGAAATAGTCATATTTAAGTTATTACTTCCTTCGTCTGCCAAATTTACTTTTATTTTTCTTTTGAGTCTGTATGCTAAATTTACCAAATTACTAAATTTGTCAAAATCAACTAATCAACATTTATCTATTATCTTTCATTCAACAAATATTTACAAGTTATAACAAAAGTCACTACTTTTATTACATTCTCTCGCATCATTTTCTTTAATTTTAACTAAATTTATAAAAATACTTCCAATTACCTTTTTATTTTTATCACTTTTTCAATAAAATATTCATTTTTTATTAATCTCCGTACCGGATACAAATGCTCTAATTTTATCGGACGAATGGAGTATTTGTTAAGACAGGGTGAGTAGATAAAGTTTTTTACTATAAAAATAGAGTATGCCTAACCTTAGCTGGACAGTCAAACAAGGAAAACTCACATAATTATCTTGGACGTAGGAGTATGATTTTTATTTTTTACGACAGTTCAAAAAGGAAAGTACACATAAATTTAGATGACAAATGAAAGATCTTTTTATCTTGCATGTTCAGATTTTGCATGACAATTACTCAATTAGAGCGCGCTCGTTTTTAAAATTTGCAGCGGAGCTGGAATTTGCTTTTATGTGGACCATTTACTTGAAGAATCTTCGGAAGAAGTAAGGAAGCTTCGAAGTTACATGTACTCTTACAAGGCTTATTGAGGATTCGGGCTTCTACCGACATTTGGCTACACCTAAATTCTGGTATGAAATTTACGGACGCTGCAGTTTTCTTTGTTTTGCGCATTGCAAGTATGGGTAGGATGGATATATGTGTCGATAAGCTAATTTTATGTTCATGTTCGGGTATGTTCTTTAGGTTCGATAGATGCTCTCTCGTAGCAAATAGCAATAGCATGTGATAGAGAAGTTTCAATATATGAGATGATGTTAGCTTAGATTGGTGAAAAGAAGAGGATCCTATGCTGAATTTGTTTCAAATTTTGTTCACAAGAAAATTGATTATTTGCTCTCCTGAATTTGTAATTTCATTAATTGATACTTCTTTCGGTCTAATACAATAATCTTGTTTACCATTTTTGTCCGTTTCAAAACAATAGTCTCATTTCCATAAATAATCATATCACAGTAAAACTATCCCTACTTTTTCATTATTATTACACTGATTGTCACTACTCTTTACCAAGAGCAAAAAAGTCATTTATCTTTACTTTTTATCCGCTACCAATACACTGTACTTTTGGGACGGAGGGAGTATATGATTTGAAAGTAGGAACATAGTATTAACAATGCTAAATTGGCCTATTTATTTCATTGTGGGTTGAAAAGTGTATTTAAAACTTTGATACTTCAATTATTTAATTATAAATTAAAATTTTGTCTATAAATTATTTTGTAAATTATAAAAACACTTTAAAATATATCAATATGTATATATTTATTTATTTAGAAAAAAAATAAAAATAGAATACACGTTTATTTGTTTAGTATTTTGGTTTAAAAACTATGTTTATTATAAAAAATTGTATCTTGATTTTTATTTTTACTTTTACAAACCAACCATGAAAAATAATCAAAGAAATAAAGACTGAATATATAAAATTTGTTCGGTATGATTTCAAGGTTTTATTCTTTTTACCTTTTCAAATTTAAATTAACACTATTTCATAAAATTTTAAGGAATACTATTTAAATAAAATTTTATTTTACATCAATTTTAAACTACAACCAAATAAACTCCAATCTTATTTCAACATTATTAGTTCTCATAGCTCCAATTTTAACCTCAAAAGCATAATGTCAAATTTAAGATCAGCTAAGAGTATCTTCAACCCCAATCTTATTTCAACATTATTAGTTCTCATAGCTCCAATTTTAACCTCAAAAGCATAATGTCAAATTTAAGATCAGCTAAGAGTATCTTCAACCAGGGTCATTGGCGTCGGTTGGAGGCCAAATTTTGTGCCATTTTTTGGGGTGGTGTTGCACTGTAGTAACACCAAAAAATAGCGTTGCTATTATTTTTATTTTATTTTTTTAAATTTTAAATTTTATTTTTTTAAAATTAAAAAAAAAATTATTTTAAATTATAAAAATAAAAAATTGTTTAAAATAATAATAAAAAAAAATATTCGAAGAATAATAGTAAAAAATAGAATTATAGTTAGAGTAAAATTACCGTAGCACCTGCATATTTAGAGTTAATTCCTAATACCATCAAATTTGCGGTAGATGTGTTTCCTTGTTTAGGTGTGGGCAAAGTTTCCTTGTTTAGGTGTGGGCAAATAAACAGAACAATCGAAAGATTAGTTCGGTTAATCGAACAAAATATATTTATATTTGCAATTATTTTGATTTAATTAGAATTTATATTATTTTTTAATTTTTATTCAGTTCAAATCATTTACAAATATTACAAAAAATTTTGGTTCAAATACTGTTCACAAATTCAGAAATTGAGGTATTTGTTTAGTTCGGATATCATATGTCTGAACCGTGCCCACCGCTATCCTCGTGTTTTCAAAAGGAACCCTTAGTATTTCTTTACAGTAATTAATTTTCCACCACCCTAAAAAATAAATTATATCCAATAATGCTTAATTCATCAAGAGAACATTAAATCCAGAACCATATTTCAACTCAAAAACTAACTATCCAAGAACATTAAGAAAGAAAAAAGCACTCTGTCACAGACAAACAAAACTAAAAATAAACCAAAAATGCATAATAATATAACATGTCAAGAAACAATGTAAAAGACAAAAAGAAGAATACATTTTTATTCCTCCTCCTCATCAACTACCTGAGTTCCGAGCCCCTTAAGGCCTTCGGGGGGAATTTCGGCGACAGTAACCAGAGAATAGAGCTCTTCTTTTGCATCTTCATCTTCGTTCCTCTTGCGAGCAATCCTAACTCGAATCCTCCTCGGTACACTCCGGATGCCCCGACTCCAAATATGCTTGTTCAGCTTCACATCAACCCGCACGTCACTTGTGCCCATCGCTTTCTTTGCAAAATTTCTTATTTCTTTGATGGCTTTAGGAGCCTTCTTCTTGAATGTGCTGTTGTTAACCACAATAATCAAACAAAATCGGATAATAAGATCGGAGTCGAAGAATAGGAAATAATCTGTCGGTGATATATGAAATTTGATAGGCTATGTACTAACTCTGTCCCTTAACTATCTATCCATTGATCTATTTTAGTCTATCTCGTAACAAGTATCCATTTTTTTTCTTTAGTAAAAGTACTCTCTATTAACATTAAAAATACCCTTACAACTAACAATGTACTAATAAGATTATTTTAGTCTTTTCTACTTTATTCATACCACACTCCAATATAATATTAATATTTTAAAATTCCGTGCAAAAAACAAACGAATAGATAGATAAGGGACGGAGGGAGTATTTTTTCAGAAATTTTGGCACTATTTTATCATTACTACTCCCTCCGTCCACCAAACTTATGTAAGTATTCATTTTTTGGATGTCCACTAAACTTGCACTTTCATTTTTGATTTATAGCAAAGAACTTTATCTACTCAAAATATTCTTTACCCTAACTTTAACATAAAAATAACAATTTTGCCACTACAATACCCTCACTTACTTTTACCTTCCCCACTTTTCTTAATTTATGTGGCCACGCATATCTACATAATTTTCGGAGGGAGTATTTTTTCGAAAGAAAAAAACATCATACTCAAAGTTTGTTTCCTAAAGTGTTTTCAAACATAATTTGCCAAAAATATTACCCAAAACGTACAATATCTACACAAAAAAATAAAAGTCAACAAAAACACATAAAACAATATTCTCTATAATTCATTCACAATTCTTGATACCTCGCAAACGAAAATAAATAAAACCACTAAACTAACACACAGGTACTTTGCTATTCCTACAATTTTACAGAGCTCTAAAAACTTCTATCTAGACGGAGTTTTAATTTCCATATACAATCCTATCATAAGAGTATGAATTTACATTTTTTCCGCATGTGTTCTAAAGACCAGAAAAGACACATTAGAACACAACTTCTAGAGATGTTATTTGAGCCCATTCAAGCACTATATTTTTTATAATAATTTGAAATTTTTTAGGTTGCTTTGAGAGCTCAAATTCAAAATTGATATTAAAAATATGATTAAAAACATACAGATTATCAACTGTTCAAACCTAAACCCAACTCCTTGTTATGATCAACAAGATCGAGCATAAAAAGATTAAAAAAATTACACTTGTATATGAATTCAATACATATAAAGCCAAGCCAAGCCAATGCAATCAGCACAAATTCAATGGAAGGAATAGTCAAACCAAAAATAATAATAATAACAAAAATCATTAAACCTATTCGCCAGATAACACCGAAATCATCGAACACATTCCCAACGAAACGAAGCACCAAAAGAAAAATTCAAAAAAAAATAAAAAATGAATGCATAAGAAATACCAGCCATGGAGCCGCTTGTGGAGGTTGATGGTGTACTCTCTCGTCACGACCTCTTCTTTCCTTCCCTGTGTTCTCTCCACCATTTTTACCTACTCTCAATCGAATCACCACCACCTGCATCCATCAACGATTGAAAAGAAACAAAAAGCCAATATCAAAATCAAACTCAAAACCGTCGACAGATTTTCCAATCTCATAAGAAAAAAAAGAAAAAGAGAGTATAGAATGCAGTACCTGGAAGCGAAACGATCTCAAAAGGCAGGCAGAATGAGCCATGGCTGCTGAAGAGAGGGTAAATATAGTTCCCAATCAAAACCCTAGTGGGCCTAAAGCCCATAATACAAAGTAATTATCAAACTATTGTTATTGGGCTAATGATTGGTTTTGAGGAAAATATTTATTATTGTTATATTTGTACTCCCTCCACATAAATGACGTTTCTTTTGTTACTTTATTATTTTTTATATAAATAGTATCGTTAGTTTTATATTTCAATAAAATATACTTTATTTGTCTTAATACAATAATTTTGTTTGTTATTTTTGTCCGTCTCAAAATAGTAGTCTTATTTCCATAAATAATCGTATCACCATAAAAATACTCATACTTTTTCATTTTTATTACACAATTGTCACTATTTTTTTATTTTTATTATACAATTGCCACTACTTTTTACACTAATACACTAAGGACAAAAAAGTTTTTTATCTATATTTTTTACCAACTATCAATATAATATCAATATTGCAGTGCCAACCCAATTAAGATTATATTTATGGACGAATGAAGTATATAATATAAATAATAAAATTTTATATAATATAAATAAATAAAAAATATATTTATTTTATTTATAAATAATTTAAAACTAATTTTATAAAAAATAAAAAATAAAAATAAAAAATTTTAAATAAAAATAAAAATATTTTTTTATTAATGAAAGATAAAAATAAAAGAAATTTGAGCAATTACATGTAAAGGGGCGATAGAGACGAAAAAATAAAATGACGGGACGGAAAAAATATATTTTATTTGAAGCAATATTTTATTTAATTAAATATTTAGCCATTAGCTTTCTATTTATTTACATAATTATCATTGAGGATTCAAAACTTTTTTTTCGGTATGATTTTAATTATCATATCCTCCACGTCTACTCTTTATTTTAATAGTTTTATTGAATAAATAAATCAATAATTACTATTTTATTTTATAGTTTTTTTTACACAAATACAAATTGTTATTTAATTTTATAAAAATTATAAAAATAATTAATTAATTTATTAAAAAAATTCTTTGAGATATTTTATATTTTTATATTTACATAAAACATAGTAATTTAGGTCTTTATTACTTTACATTGGGTTTGATGTAATAAATAAAAGTCGAAATAAAATATTATATAATTTATTTTATCCGCCGCCAAAAATTGGTTGATTTGATATGTTTTTTTAAATATAAAATATATTTATAATATAATATAAAAAATTATTTAATTTAATAATTTTATAAAAAAATAAAATCTGAACAATAAATACATGCTAAACTTCGCATCCACAGCCTCCCTTTCTTCTACTTCTTCTTTACCTCCATTTTTATTTTTTCTCTTCCTCAATCATTCTTCTTCTTCTTCTTCACTGTTCGCTCTCCTACACACACACACACATATATATATATATAACAAAATCTGAACGGGCATTTCGAACCGCCGTTACCCTAACTTCAGTTCAGATACCGGCGGCGGAGCGATGTTCGTCGCCCACCCCTCTTTCCCCACTATTCAATCCCTGCTACCTTCAATTTCAATCCAATCGAACAAATATTCACCGTTTCTGGATGCGAGACCTCCATTTCGCGCTCGGATTTCTTGCAGGCGGCCGCCGCCGCGTATCTCCGCCGGCAGTGGAAAGAATTCTGAGTTGGAAATGGAAGTAAGCGGCTCCGAGGAAGAAGCAATTGAGGATGAGACGGACTATTCATGGCGTGGAGGCGGATTCGGAGAAAAGGACTACGACAAAGATCCGGAGTTCGCTGAGATCCTCGGCGCCTGTCTCGATGATCCTGATAAGGCTAGGTCCAAAGTCAGTTCCTATTTCTTCCATAAACAAAAGAATTAGGGTTTGTGTGTTTCTTATTCTGCAATTAGGGTTTATGTGTTCTTTATTCTGCAATTAGGGTTTAGGTGTTTCCTATTCTGCAATTCCATGGCGTTTCTGGATAATTTGGGTGCTAAGAGTTTTCTGGTGCTGTGGAAATAACCAATTAGAAAAGCTTTTTAGTTTCTTACATTGTAATTCTACTTAGTATTGTGTGTTTTGTTGTTAATGGCTGCATTTGTGTTCATGGCAGTTGGAGGAAAGGCTAAGGAGGAAGAGGAACAAGATACTGCATACGAAAATGGGCTCGGCGAGCCCGATGAAGGTGACTTTCAACAAGTAAGTCGACGAGCACTCTGCAGATAATGTTTATGACATTGTTAATCACTCCAACTCTATTCCCGAGTGTGTTTGTTTGGAGGTTTGGATCTTTGATTGGGATTTGAATATTAAAAAATTCGAAGCGCTTGATATATCTATTGATGTGATGTTTTGAACGTAAAATTGATTATTAATATAATATAAAAAATAAAAAATAATTGACTGATTTTATGATTTTGGACGAAAAGTTTTGTGTGAATAGTATAAATCCACCAAAATCTTTCAAACAAACACACCGGATTCATGGTTTCGTCCTAGACTTAACTTATTTTGGGTTTGGATGGTTGTTTAGTTCTAGTCATTTGCTATTTCCAAAAGTTTCGAAACATGCCTATTTGATCGAATTTAGTTATGCATATGCACTTGTAAGCATGTTTTGTGTGTAGTGTGTATCGGTTTTGGGTTAATCGACTAGCAATAAGCTCGTCATTTCGCAATTTACGAAAATTTCAGAGTGCTATTCAAGTGAATTAGTTATATACTCGATCTAAAGTGTTTGCTTTTAGTTTCAATACTGATTGCAGTAAGCTTTCGACGACAATGTTCTTTCATAAAATCAGCTTTGTAGTTGAATTGAGTCCTGGTTATCGGATTTGTTCATTCTTGTTACCCATGGAAATATAGAAATTACGCGGGAAGTTCAGTTTTACTCATTTGTAGGTTCTTGTGGGCAGATTTGATTTTTCGAATTCATACATATGGTTGGAGTTCTACATTGCGCCGTTAGAAAAAGACGTGACTTTGCTCTGTGATGTATGCAAATCCCGACCAATTTCCAATTCATCTAAGTTTCTTAAACTTACAGCAGCCACAATTTACTGTTGAAACTACTTGTGGTATTTAGGCAATTAGGGCGTGGCACATAATCGGCCGACTAGGAGGATGCAACTCTATGAACATGCAAGTAAGTTCCTTCACTTAAGTACAGTAGGAACGTAATTGCCGCGCTTCTTTTTTTTTTTTTTTTTTTTTTTTTAAATTTTTTTATCTATAATCTCATCATTTCTTGGTTCAGCTGTCACAAGCTCCTCTAGAAAATCGACCAAGTTATGATGCCATTCAGGGCGCAAATGTGACACCCGCCACATTTTACAACATAAGCGACCTCGAGATTCAAGATAATTTAGCGCGGATCTGGTAAGTTGTTCGGCATCTTTAAGTGTGTGTTTGTCTTGAGCTTTAAATTTTGAGTTTGAATTTTTAAATAGTAAAATTTAAAAGTGAATAGTTATTTACGTAATGCTTTTAATGTAAAATTGATTTGTCTCAGGAAATAATGCCCAAAACTTTTTGTTATGGAAATGAAAAAAAAAAATAGTATCTTAATTTCATTTGTACTTTTCTCTAAGGGTAGAATTTTTTAAGTTTTAGAGGATAGTAATGTAGAATATCCGTGATAAATATGTGGGATTCATCAGTTCGGTTATAGGATTTTGTCAAAATTTTACTATTCATCAAATTTTTTGTCCACTTTTTTTTTTTTTTTTTTTTTTTTTATACGTAACACCTATTTATATCACATTATATAACTGTTTCAATTCAAAATTTTTAATATTCAAATCCCAACTAAAAATTCAAACTCCCAAACAAATACACCTTTAGTTTAAGCGGATCGAAAATAGTGGATATAGTATGGTATGAGTATACTTTTACAAGACTGAGGAGTATAAAAATAGTTAATCGAACAGTAAAAAATCTTGAAAAATCGGGCAAGTTTAAAGTTTTGTTCATAGCTAGGATTCACTACAAATTGATGTATTTGTGGGTGTTTGTTTAGGGTGGATATCGGCACGAACGAACCTCTACTCTTGGATGTTCTGATAAATGCATTGACTCAATTAAGCTCCGAGTAAGAAACAGAAATCAAACTGCGAGTAATTGACAATCGCTATCGTCATCTCTAACAAATTTCGTTTCTAATTGTTTGTGCAGTTATGTCGGAATAAAGCACGTGACGTTCGGAGGATCCGAGCACGAGAATTGGAAGGAAAACTTGAAAACAGAGGAGGTAGGATACAGTGTTCATAGGATTTAGTAGATTTCTTTCTTTTCATGCACAACAGTTTCTCTTTTGTTGTAAGATTTAAGATCACCATGTCCATCCTATGAAATCTGAAAAATCCTATTATATGAAATCATGATTACTTCTAGTTAACCATGTACTGTTAGTTTATACAATATACTTCCACCCGTCGAAAAAAATATATACTTCCTGAGTACGCATTTTGATTTTGTAGTACATTAGAAAATAATACTACCTTCGCCCGTTTCTTAGGGTCTAAAAAATACTTCAATTAGTGTATTGTAATACTAATATAAAAATATTTGTACAAAAAATTATACAAATATAAGGATATTTTTAATGTTAAATACAATGACGCAAAAAATAAATATGATCTTCAGAGACGGATGGAAAGAGTAGTATTTTATTGATTAGTGTATGTTTGTAATTTATATTAAAATTAGAGTATTTTAGTATTAGTGTGACTATTTTTAACTCTATTAAAAAATAAATACTTTTGAGTGAGAAAAAATAACAAGATATTTTCAGTTGTAAATATACAAAAAATTTCAGTATACCGAATTTTGGGTATACCAAGTTTTTGATTTTGATACAATATGCAGCATCAACCCTTCATAAATATATTTACACATCAAACTGCCGTATGATTTACACATTACGATTGATCTCAGCATATGTGGTGACACAATACACTTACAAAAAATTTATGTGTTATTACATGCTTTCAAGCAATACATCATTTGGCTGTCTTCCTATCTTCAATGTGTCGATTTACCAACTTCGATTATATAACAACATACCTAGAGTGACATAAAGTAGCCTCTCTAGTAGCCGGCGACTCCTCCGAAAAAGCAATACAAATCGACGCTTACCATAACCGTTAAAATAATGTTGGAAGCAATATATACATTCACAAATTCATTATACTAAAGGTTACTATACGACGCGCTGAGCTAAAACTTCTTACGTATATCGACAGAGAGCAGCCCATCCTACGATCTCCGAAAACAAGACAAACGGAAAACATGCAATCAAGGAGCAAACAAGTTTGGAAAATTTTCAAGAAATACGAACATACACATTATTGATGGATATTTATCATTTCCTTATACAATATCAGCTACCTAACCTGATAAATCGAGCAAACAGCTTCTTTGCTGTATTTATTGCGTCGAACTTCCTGTATTCCTACCGGGATTCCTATGAACAGACAACAAAAAGGGGAACAATTAGTACACAAGTTCTTACTAAAAAACTCATTACATCACCTTGAAAAGAAGCATCGGATGCTTGAATGAAAGCTACATCGGATCGGACATCCAAGAATCCATCATTTTCTGTTTCCACATCCCCCATTTCCATCTCAGCCGAGGGCAACGGGCCGTGCACTGCGAAATAACGGTGCTCGTGACGTTAGAAACTACGTCACGGTGGATGAACATCGACATGGTTGAAAGATCACTACAATGATCCAATAAAGTGAAAATAGCCGATAACGTAGCCTCGACGTCATCCACAGACAAATACAACCTAATCTCCTTCAGCCCTTTTATTTGAGTCGAGCCTTCGACTACAGGACACGCTTCGAATTCGGACCAAGCGCCGGAATTCAATGTAAGAGCATTGACATTCGGAAAAGCACGAAGCAGCAACTCGAAAATCGATTTGGAAACTCCGACCGGCACTTCCCACCTAGGGGAATCGACAATTAGATTCTTGACGCTTTTAAATAAAGGCAAAGAAACGAGTACGTTCCGGAGGTTTGTAGATTCGATATACAGATGTTCCAAATGGGAGAATTCTTTCACTTTGAAGTTGCAAGTACCCTCGAAAGTAAGATAAAACTTCGACAAAAATGGAGCCTCGATCATGAGCATATTTGGCTTCACACATTTAAGGTTGAGGGAGATGAGATTGGGAGCGATTATAGATATCGAAATCGGAGCATTAGACAGCGACCAATGACACGTCTCGAGATGCATTAAATCAATCTTCGGCTCTTTGAGCCCTCCAACCCCAATCAACTTGAGAATTCGCAGACAAGGAAAACATTCACTAACCTTCTCCAAATTCTCATCATCCAATCGAATAAATTCGAGAGTTAAGGATGTGAGAGTTTTGAGAGGAGTTAAGCCGTCAACGGATAGCCAAGCATTCTTAATCTCTAATTCGTGAAGTTTAAGACCTGCAGATAAAGCAATTTCAATTATCCGAAAACATAAAGTCATACATTGTACTTATAAAAAAAAAAAAAAAAAAACCACAATAACCACACCCCCGGAACAAAAGAATGTAGTGATAAGAACAACTGACCCAAAATAAGTCTAGACAAGAGACTGTGGATCGAAACAGAGCAGTCAATGAACATCTCAAGACTTAACCAAGAAAATAATGACTGAAACACAGATGTAACTACTCAATAAAAATTGCCTCAATTATTACAAAAAAAAATCAAAATTTCAATCAAAATTTCATATCAAATATCTATTTATATCACAAAAAACACTATTTCAATCAAAATTTTACTATTCCCAAATCCAAACCTTAGAGAATCACACGGTAAGTGTCTTCTTGCAAACAGCCATTACTAACATTTACAGGATGATGGGACTGATAATTATTTAATCCAAGTTATTCATTATAAAGCTATAATTTGGTATTAGCACATGGACAGCTGATATAAAAAAATCCATTTTGACAAAATAATACTCTCCATCGGCTAACAGTAGACATATTTTGCTAATTAATGCGTCCACGAACAATACACATATTTCCTTGCTTAGTAAGTCCGAACTCACAATATTAATACTCCCTCCATCCCATGTATTATGGGCCTATTACTGTAGATACGGGAATTTAGGTAAAGTGTGATTAGTAAGTAGTTAAAAAGTGTATTAGTAAAAATAATTATTGTATAATAAAAATAATTGTGAATTAAGATTAAGATAACTAAATAGTTTAATTAAGATTAAAAAAATTATAAAATTTAAAATTTAAAATGAGATTAAAGTGTATAATTATATTTCCAAAAAAAAGAATGGACAAATTATGTGGGACGGACGAAAATAGAAAATAGGGACAAATTATGTGGGACGGAGGGAGTAATATATATATCATAATTTCATAAAAGTACGAAAATACCAATTCAATACACATCCCTTGTTAGATGTGAGCTCTTGTAGACCGACGACATTTCAATTTTTAAACACTTGCACACCATCTCTTAAATAAATTCCTTAATCAATGGGCAAATAGTAACTGTATCTATCAATAACAGAGGGAGGGAGGGAGGGAGTATAACCCTTGTAATACTTCTACAAATTTTTAGACGATAATCAGACTTCTCATGACAACTATCCTTCCTGGGAGCTGACTAGTAACTTTAGAGCTATGCGTGCTTGCTTCAAAGTAGTTTTAAAATGAGTTTCCTCTTGAAAAGAATTGTTTTAGTCAGCCTAGATCACATAACACAATCGAGTCTCTTCTACACAAACTTCTTAAAAGCCTACTCTAGACGAAAACAAGTTCCCAATCCATAAAAAAGAGGCTCACATACTAAAATGAGTAGTATAACAAGTTCAAATTTCTTTAATTCCATTTAATATCTTAAATACTCGATACTAATATCGCGCCGTGTCGTTTCAAATATTTCCTATAACCAAATATCATACTTTAGTTCTATTTGGCAATGTTGATTTCAAATTTCCAAAGTTATCGTGGATTTTCATTCTATTTAATATCTTATATGATCTATAACACTAATGCTGTGTTATTCCAATTACTCCTATAACCAAATAACATACTTCAGTTCTATTTGGCAATTCTTTGATTTCAAAAATCCAAAGTTTGTCGTGGAATTCCATTCCGTTTAACTATGAATCTAAATTCGAAGTAAAATCAAATCTATTCGTTTAATATCTAACCCCTAATTCAACCAAAACGAGGCCACAATTTATTGGTAGAAATCAATCCAGAAAACAAACAAAAATGGCGATGGAGTAACATCAATCAAAGCAAAGCAGAGAAACTGCTCACAGTGAGCGGAGAAGACGGAGAGCACATCGGATCGGCGCCAGCAGGACTGCACCCAGAAATCTGAAATCGAAACCGACGCCAAGTCGCCGCAGACATTGGGAAGCCACGCCTTCACAAAATTGACGTCGCTGAGGAACAGATCGTCCTCCTCGTCCTCCACGTCGTCGTAGGCGACCAGGCCGAGCGGCTTCCCCACGCCGATGGACACTCGCTCGACAATCCTCAATTGCGAGATCAATTTGTGGAATATCGACTTGAAAGGAGTGATGGAGGACCTGGTGAGCGGCGATCGCGACTTGGCGTAGCGGAGGTAGGAGCACTGGAGGTCGACGGAGCGGATCTCGGAGGCGAGCGTGTTTAGGGTTTTGGAGGAGATGCGGCAGCGGGCGACGTCGCCGGAGTCGCGGAGGCGGCTGAGGATTTCGAGGACGAGCGGCGGAGGAAGGTCGTCCATGGGAATTGAATTGAAGGGGATTGGAGTGAAGGTAGGAACGATATTAGGAAGCAAGCGATTCGATCCTTATTGCACTACCTACTTACTCTCCATGGATTTCGTCGAAGGTCCGGACTTTCTACGGTTGCTGTTCCTGTGGTTACGTACAGGGATGTCAAAATTACACCCACCCAGAAAAATACAAGTCATCCGAACTAATATTTTCAGGTTCGGGTTTGGATATTTTAAATTTGTAAAAAAATCGGATTGATCTGAACTTAAAATGAAAATTTTTTCGATTTGGGTTTGGATATTTAGGATTTGCAAAAAAGAGGGACAATCCGAAAAGAAAAAAATTGTATATATTCGGGTCATATTTCGAGTTGACCTGATAACCTGAAATATAAAAATTAGGTTAAGTTTTGGATTTCGTGTTTCGGATTGACCTGAAATTAAATTATTATTATTTTAATTTATAATATTTATATTCTCTCGGTCTCATATCTATTTATTCATTTAGTACGGAGTTTTAGAAATATTAATATTATATTGAAATGCAGTAGAAATAAATGTAAAAGGACTAAACTAACTTTATTGTATAATATGGTGTGTTTGTTTGGGGGTTTGGATTTTGAGTTGTGATTTAAATCGTAAAAATTTTAAATTTGAATAGTTGTATGACGTGATATAAATAGGTGTTGATACGATGTTTTGAATGTAAAATTGATATTTAGTATAATATAAAAAATAAAAAATAAGTGTTTGATTTGATATTTTTGGGTGGAAAAAATGGGATAATAATATATTTAAAATCCAATCCCCAAACAAACACACCTTGGTGATATAATTCGTGTAATATATTATAATTTGGAAGGGTATTTGTAATGTTAAATAGATAGTACAATTCCCAGAAAAAACGAAAGGGATACTTTGTTATGAGACGGACCCAATTGAAAAAATTGATAGATGATTAAGGGACGGAGTGAGTATTATTTTAAATACTACATCCGTCCTACGTAATTTGAGTGTGTTTGTAGACGTTAATTTAAGTAAAATATGATTAGTAAGTAATTAAAAAATACATTAGTAAAAATAATTATTCTATATTAAAGGAATATTGATATTATATTGGTAGTCGGTAAAAAGTATGGGTAAAAGACTTTTTTGTCCTTGTGAGTGTATTAGTGTAAAAGTAGTGGCAATTGTGTAATAATAATGAAAAAATAAAGATAGTTTTACAGCGGTATGATTATTTATGGAAATAAGATTATTATTTTAAAATGGACAAAAATAGTAAACAAGACTGTTGTATTGAAACCAAGAAGTATATATAACATAAAATCCATTTGTTTGTATTGAGCCCTTGGCGGGCCGGCCATGAATGCAACATAAAAATATATATATATATATATATATTTATATTGCAGATGAGGTGCGAAAAATTTCAAAAAATATCTGAAGAGACATAAGCCAAGATGAAAATATCAAATCTAATTGCAAGCGGAAAAAATCAGGGCAACAATAAATGCTTTTAATAAATTTTTAAAAAAATAAAAAATAAAAGATGAAAACTAAAATATGTCTATAAAAGCTGACGTAGCCAAAGTACCTAAACTATACTAACAGAAACTTAAAACTAAATTAAAAAAAAAAAAAAAAAAAACATTCTTCTCATTGGCCTCCATGCTTCTGTGTTCTTCTCTTCCAAATATAGAATTAATGCCATAATATTAGTTTGAAACTTTTTAGCACGATTTCGAGTAATCGGATCTAGTGATAGTGTAGGTTAATCGTCGCTTTTGACGACCTCGTCAAAAACATATTAAATAAAATAAAATTTTAGATACATTTATTTAATAATTGCAAAGAGTTTGAGTCTGCTGATGCTATAATATTTGTGTTTCAAGACCAACTCTTAGGGCGTGTTTAACAATTAGGTGTTAGCTGTTAGATGATACAATTAGATGGTTTGACTAGCTGATTCGATTAGCTGTTTATATTAAAATGTTTGGTAAAACAACTGTTTGATATTAGCTGTTTATACGTAAAATGACAATTTAGGATATTTCTATTTTATTCTTATTTCTAATATATTCAATTATGTTCTTTTGAGTTTAGAATGTTTAAAATTTTTTGTTATTAGTTATTGAAAATTGTAAAAGTGTTATAAAAGTATTTATTTTTATTACAGTTAGATTTAAAAAATAATATTTTTTTATTAAAATATATAAATAGTTTTTTTTTATTGAAAATGATGTAAAATATAAATAAATAAATTTTTTGTGTATATATTTATTATGTTAGTTATCGATTAGTTCATTATATTTATAATTTTCAATAAATTTAATTTATTTAATTTATTTTTAGTATAAAATTTATATAATGTAATTTTAATAAAAAAATAAATTATTAATATTTATATTTTTTATTTTATGTTGATTTTAATAAATTTATATATTTTACAATTAAAATAATTTTTATATAAAAATGAATTATTTTAAATTTATAAAAGTAAAACTATAATATAATTAATAAATAATCAAAATATATTTATTTGTGTAAAATGTATAATAAATTTTTAAGGGCATATAAGGAATAAAAAAAAATTTACAGAAAAAATTATTTCAAAACGCTGGGTAAGTTAGCTTTTCAGAAATTAGCTGTTTGGGTCCAAAAAGTTATTCCAAAAAGCTAATTTACCAAACACCTAAATTAGCTTTTTGACTAGTCAAACAACTAAAAGCTGTTGAATAAGCTAAAAGGTCTTCAAAAAACTATTTTGTCAAAACATTCCCTTAATAAATTATTTGCAAATTCTATATTATTTTATTTCTCAAAATTTTAAATTACTATTTATTAATATTATAAACAAGTCAGCCTTTTTTATGCCGTTTGAGGTGTTTTATGTTAAAAACATATGAACATGTATGTGATGATTCTTTTAACAAAGTTTATTTTATATAACACGGTTATATTCAATTCAAATTAGATGTCACAACTTTTGTTACTAAATGATTTATTATTTTGTGAGATTTATAATTATTTTTTATAGGACCAAAATAATAATAATAATAAAAGAAATTAATTGCAACAAATATTAACTTTTGTTTGAAATCTAGTTTTTTTTCAAATCGCCCATTTAAATTTTAAACCCTACCATAGCACCTGAAAAAGCCATAAATAAAATTTATTTAAATAATAATAAGAGTCTAACAGGAAAACAAGCGACCTTAGAGCAACTCCAATGCAAGCCACTTATGGAGTTTGATACTCATTGTTTTTTATCCAATCTACGCTGTAAGTGGAGGTGTTGCTAAAGTGAACATCGCCAAATTTGTTTTGTTTTGTTTTATTTTTTTTTTTAGTTTTTAAATTTTGTAGAAATTATATTTGAGTCCTATTTTAATTGTATAGGGATTTATTTGCAATTTGATGTATTTGTGTGTATATAAATATATATGTAATTTTGTGCTTTGTAGTGATTAAAATTTATAATATTTAAATTTTACAATAAATAATTAGAATATTTATAATAAACTCAAAATAATTTTTATACAAAAAATTTGAATTTTTTTATATAGTTGTTACACAATAATATTTTATATTTTCAATAAATAAAAATTTAAATATATAAAATAAACATTTAATTTAACATTTTGATTTAATTAAAATAATATATTATATACAAATACAACAACAACGGAAAAAATATAATATTATTTTTGTATTTAACTTGTAAAAAAAATGTTAATAATAAATTATTATTTACTTATATTAAAAACATATTATTAAGTAATAATAACTAATGTAAATAATAATAAAAGTTGGGTGTAAACTGTAAATATAAAAAAAAAAAAGTTTAAAACAATATATAAAATAGAATATTTGACGGATCTTCTTTTTGGAGTAGAAAATAGAGTTGTTGGTTGGAGTAAAAATATTGTAGTTCTTAGTTGGAGATGACCTTGATGGCTAAATTTCGTCAGGGTTTGATTTGATGCTCATCACTTTAACGCAACTTTGATAATGATTGGTCGACCAAGTAGAAAGGTCGATCGAGTATCACACCAATTCCAATTCCAATTCCAACTTCCAACTGGTTTGATTCAGATTCAAATGTACAATAGTTGTACTACAGTTAAAGATAGGATTTAGTAAGTTTGCTCGCCCAAGTTTTGGAATTCCAATTTCCATAAGTTTTCTTCTCTATTCAACTATGGCGGAGGAGGATCATTTTCCTTGCAAATCCGCTCACATACAAAAATTAATCTTTGATCCCCTACTTTACTCCTCTATGGTTGTGGTGCTGCTGCAGATACAATCCAAAACGGTTCGAGATTCATTCCCTACCTAAGAAAAAAGGGGCAGATGAAGCTTCCAATTTAGTGAGATAACTTCACCACTCTTATTTGTTTTATCTGTTTTTTTCTAATGTTGGAAATCAATCTAATTTATTTGTTTATTTAATTTTGAATTCTCCCTTAGTTTTTGTAATCAAATGACAATATACTTATTAAACAATGACCTTTTTTTAACATTACACACTGGCGTCTTGAGACTTTAATTTTCACATAAATTTTCTATGATGTGCTTGTTTTGTGACTCTCTTTCTTATGTTATAACGCTAGGTGATGCTACCAATTCCTATTTCAGCAAAAGTGAAAAACCTATTTTACTAGGTATGTTGTGTTATCGTGATGATTGTGTGTCTACTATAATATTAGACTTTAAAGTAAGCCTAAGGTTCTGTATGTTGTCATGTAATTTTATATCGTGCATATCTTAGTTAGTCTATAATGTTTTTTTTGTCGTAGTTTGTGAAAATAAATTGTAGAAAAGAATGATGTTAGCTCTTTAGTGCAATCACACTGGCCATACTCTATAGTCTCAATAAAGCTAACTACATACCTCCATATTGCAAAGTTTCTTCGATTGCGGATGACTTCACCTCTGCATTTTGCTTCCTGGTTGTACTTAGGTATTTATTATTAATTACGAGATAATTAAAGCTAGAAGTACCGATTAAAATAAATGAATAAAAATAGTAGAAATAGAGAGAATATTGGGCCATAAATTGTGTAGGTTTTTTCTGGGGAGATTGGTGTTTGAGAAGGTCATATATATGAAAGTTGAAACAAGAATGTTTTAAAATTCATGTCGTGGTAAGTCATTGAATATCTGTCAGGAGAATAATTTTCCTACAAAAACTATATCTTACTAGGATATAAATACAATTTCATGCTGAAATTGTTTGTTTTGGTCTTAAGAAATGAAGTTATTCAAAGTGTAAATATTGCAAGAAGGGATATTGTTGTTCATGTTGTAGTCCTTGATTTGTCATTTATAAATATATGCATAGTTTATGCATCAATAAGGCTTGGTTCAACCGTACAACCAAAGACTATAGAGTAGGTGAGCATTGCAAGGAGTATAATTAGGGTTGGCAATTCGGGTTTGCCCGGTTTTAAAATAGTTCGAACAGGCACAGCCCGACCCGCGCACAACCTGGTTTGAAACCGAGCTGTGCCAGGATTTTTTGTTTATTTTCAATTATTTTTTCCTTTTAAAATTAATATTAACAAAAATTTTAATCAAATGGAACCATATATAAACAAGACAAGTACCATTAAGCTATATCTTGATTTTTATCTTTATTTCATTAATTAATTTACATATAAAGATATAAAATTTCAAATATTAATTTTAATAAATCGGGTTGGGTCACACACGACCCACAAAATTTCAGGCCTTCTTTTAGAGGCCCAAGCACGGTTTATTTTCGTGGTGGGTTTTGGATCGATTTTTCGGACTATGCCTATTTTTGCTAGCTCTAAGTATAATTTTGATAGAGATTCGACCATTTTGCCCTTATTATTTATTTGTGATGATTGTATAAATTGTATTGATAAGGAAAAAAGAGAGAGTATATAGTAAACAAATTGAGCCGGAGAGGTAATAGCTTATGGTATAGTAAGTTTTTCTTATGGAATAATAGTTGTATGATATTATGTTGAAAGATCATATTTGTTACAATGATGAGATACTACTAATTATACATCATTTATGTTGTTAATCAAGCATGACCCTTGTTTAGTAAATGCGTCTCAAATTTATTTGTTCAATACATTTTTCTACTTTTAAAAACGTGTTTGCGCTTTTATTTTTTAATTTTGAATTTATTAAGGGAATTTTTTTGTCCATAGCGGAAGTTTTTTTTATGAATAGTGGAAGTTTGGAAAACTCTCTCAAACAAACTCACCCTTAGAAAAATTTAGGGCTACCTTTATTCCCTCCCAACGCCGCCGTTCCATCGAAGTTAGGTCTTCAGGTGCGATCACTGGAAAGTGTCTCCGGCGCCGACCCACCAGGTAAGTTTTCATACATCTATTCATTGAGAATCCTCATGTTGTTCGAAATTGAAACTCGATTGGTTGTAAGTTTTTTTTAAAGAATAATTATTTGTAGTTTCTAGCACTAGGTTTTTCGCTACCACGCGCCTTTCTCTCGGGCTGTGGTTCGGCCACGATCAGGTAGGTGGCTTCTCTACCTTTCCTCTTCCCTTATTTCGTGTCGGGGGTGCTATATACCCCCTCATATTCGCTTACGGCAGCCCTATCCTCTTATTAGCTTTGAGATTTTCATTGTCGCTTCTGTTCCATATTCTGAAGTATGTTTTTAGCCTTTCTAGATTACATATTACTTTGTTTTGTTGAGACTTTTCGCACCTTAAGTCTTCAATATATGTGTTTTTCATGTTGATTTATTGTATCCTTTGCCTATATCGTCGTATTTGACCCTGTGTTTGAATGAGTTTTCATGATTTAGTTTTTTCTTTATTTGTTTTGTTTTGATAGCTCTTTTGTTTTTGGATTTATTTTTTTATATTGATTTATGAGTGGAATTGTTAAATTGGTGTAACGAGAGATTTTGTTTAGGAAACTATGATTTGCTAGATTGAGAAGATTAATAAATATAATCAAGATTTGTTTTCCATTTCTTTCTTTACATAGGATTAATGGTTGAAATTTCTCAAAATAATGGTGGATTTTTTCTTAATGGTTATCTTTTTGAAAATAAATAAATAAATAATATCTAATATATGATTGTGAATAAAGTTCCGTTGAAATCTTTTAACACAAACACACATACTTGTGTTATCTTATGCCTTATGGGATACCTTTGCAACAAGGTGCACCTTGAGTTTCAAATAATTATGAATCTATGTTACTTTCTAATTTGTGGAGTAGTTATTAAAGAATCGAGACATCATGATGTAGAGGTTCTTTCTACTCCCTCAAATTGTACTATGGGTACGTAGTTCATTTAAATATGAAGATTCAAATAAATTTAAGGTTTAAGTGGTTTTGGAGTGGCAGTTATTTCGAAACAATTTAAAGTGTGTTTACCTATGTGTTCTAAGTCATTCTTGAATGTTCTTGTTTTCATTAATCTTGACTTCTATCCTACATGGATTTAATGAGACTTTTTTCTAACATTTTGGTCAATCAAGGTTAAAAACAAAAAGAAAATGGCTTATAGACGTCATGAGGGCTCCATAACTCACCTGACAGAGAAGGAGTTATCACCATCAATTCCTCGCTTTTTCCATGTACTGGATGATGTTGATGTCTCACATGCACTGGATGATGTTGATGTCTCACATTGTAATTTGGGATAATGTTGCATGTAATCACATTGTAATATGTAGGGTCTATTATTATGGGATGAAAACATGGTTTGGTGAACAATTACTGAACTTTAAGTAATTTATTGCATTGAGCAAGTATCCTCTCATCACCCACCAACTTATTGAGTACTAAATGTTATATTTTTTGGATGTTTAATAGCCAAATTGTTGATCTGTGTAGATGAAATTCTTCTATAATTTTTACAATTTTTATAAAGTATGTAAAAAATTTAATATTTTTGCAGCGCTTGCCATCTTTATTTGCTCCAAGGGTGGAGCACTTGGTGGACCAAGAAATCCTCTTTGAGGATTTATGTGGGCAGATATGGCCCGTGACTCTATCCTATGTTGACAATGCATTAGCATTCACATCAGGATGGAAAATATTTTATAGGGACCATGCTCTTAAGGGTGGATGTTCCTTGATATTTAACTATATAGGAGATAGGCACATTACTGTTCAAATATATGATCCAAGCGGTCGTGAAAGAACTTGCTTTACCTATCTAGTTGAGGGGATTTCTGAAATGGTATCAGCTCCTCAAACTGCAGCCATGGGAATTCCTCAAAGAAAGGGCGTCTCTATTTCCGATATCCATAATGGTGAGATAACTCCTACCTCCCTACTTATTTTCTCTAGATTTCTAACATTGACGATAACTTTAACGGTATTTTGTTTTCGTAAACATTGTCCTATTTCTTACATTTGTTTAGTTGCTTTAGTGAATAGGCTAGTGTTTATTTTCACGGGTTCTCATGAGTAATATTGTTTGGTCTCTAAAAAGTGAATGTGCAAACAATCTATCAAGAGTTTGGTCTTGAAACATGAATTTATAGCTATTTGTGTGCATTTTATTTTCGTTAACAATTCTAAATCTATGAAAATTATATACCTTATGAAGTTGGATATTGGGTTTATTTTATGCTATGGTATCACTCAAAGCCAATTTGTTATCCGTGTTGTAATTTATTAGATGCAATAAATGGGAAAGGATATGGAAAAGGGAAAGAGCCAATCATCGGGAAGAAATGGGGATCCATTCACCTTGATGCAACCCCAATTATGCCGCCACCAGGTATACTTTTTTCTTTATTTTGTTTTATTTTTTTGGCTAAATTGCACAAAATTCACCGGTGATTTCATGAAATTGCACCAAATCCCCCATATTTTTAAAATTGTGTCAAACTCTCTCGTGATTTCATAAACTTTACGTCTAACCCCCTCAGTGGTCCTTATTTAACGGTATTTGACCAAAATGCGCTCAAATTGCGAATAAATTTTAGAATATCAATTTATAAACCCCTAAAATTACAAATATATATTTTTATATTTACCAAAAAAAAATAGTAAATATACTCAATAATAGTTATTTTTTTCAGCTTTTAAGAGTTTATTTTTACTATTTTTTAAGGCTAAATATATAAAAAAATATATATATTTGTAATTTTAAGGGTTTAGAAATTGAGATTCTAAAATTTATTCGCAATTTGAGCGCATTTAGGTCAAATACCATTAAGTAAAGACCGCTGAGGGGGTTAGACGCAAAGTTTATGAAACCACGAGGGAGTTTGACGTAGTTTTAGAAGTATGAGGGATTTGGTGCAATTTTATGAAACCACAAGTGAATTTTGTGCAATTTAGCCTATTTTTTTCTTTAAATCTAATCTTTGAATTTGTAATTGAACAGAGTTAACATTGTCCGGATATTTTTGTTATTATTTGCTTTCAATCTTATTATCTTATTGGTTTTAACTCAATTCAAGAAAAATCTATATAAATTATATGTCATATGGTTTTCATTATTTCTTTAGTTTAACATTTCATCTCAATGGTTTAGGATTAAGCAAACCGATGGGAGGTATCTCCCTGAAAAGAATGGATGCCTCCACACTCGCAATCCCAACGAAAACAAAATTTGTGCCTGTGAAACAAGAGGACCCTATAAGTCCGCCTCCTGGTATAGTGTCTAATTTCTTTATTTTACTATTATCTTTACATTCGATCTTTTGTAACATTCTTAATTCTTGCATCTATGGCTGAATGGCACTGTATGGATACTTTTATTACTATTTGCTCTCCGTAATTTTATCTTTATTGGTTTTGACTACATTTAAGAAAAATCAATATAAATTGCATGTCATATGGTTTTCAATATTTTTTTAGTTTAGCATTCATTCTCAATGGTTTAGGGTTTAGCAAGCCAATGCGATGTATCTCGTTGGAAAGAATGGATACCTCTAGACTCGTAATCCCAACGGAGGCAGAACTTGTTTATGTGAAACAAGAGGACCCTATAAGCCCGCCTCCTGGTATAGTGTTTGCTTTCTTTATTTTTACTATTATCTTTACATTTGATCTTTTACAACATTCTAAATTCTTGCATTTATGACTAAACGGCACTGTCATGATATTTTTATTACTATTTGCTCTACGTCATTTTATCTTTATTGGTTTTTACTATATTGGAGAAAAATCAATATAAATTGCATGTCATATGATTTTCAATATTTCTTTAGTTCAATATTTCCTCTCAATGGTTTAGGGTTTAGTAAGCGGATGGGAGGCATCTTCTTGGAAAGAATAGATGCCTCTAGACTCGTAATACCACCGGAGGCAGAACTTGTTCCTGTAAAACAAGAAGACCCTATAAGCCCGCCTCCTGGTATAGTGTTTGCTTTCTTTAGTTTACTATTTTCATTGCATCCGATCTTTTATAACATTCTAAATCCTTGCATTTATGACTGAATGGAGCTGACACACTGTCTAGATACTTTTATTACTATTTTTCTCTTCGTCATTTTATCTTTATTGGTTTTGACTACATTCGAGAAAAATCAATACAAATTGCATGTCATATGTTTTTCAATATTTCTTTAGTTTAACATTACATCTTAATGGTTTAGGATTTAGCAGACCAATGGGAGGTATCTCCCAGGAGAGAATGGAAGCCTCTCGACCTGTAATCCCAATAGAGGCCGAACTCGTGCCTATCAAACAAGAAATTTCCGTAGAGGGTGGAATGGATGATACGGTGCAAGGGCGTAGGTTTTTTAAGGTCTACCATCGGCGGAAACGAATATGAAGATTATCACCATATTGATTTATCCGGTCAACATATAAAAAATTGACTGGCTGTCTATATTTATATCTGTGTGGCATAGACATATATTTTGTGATGAGATCAGTAATAGTTTGGGTTATATTAGTTCATATATTATATTTATATTATATTAATGTATGTTGCGTGGCGGTTATCATTGTATCATATGGTGTCTATCTTAGATGTAACGTGGATCATTCAGTAATTATTTGTTATTTATTTGTTAGGTTAGGTTGGGAGTGAGTTGCATTACTTCCTATTTATTTGGTTATGTTAGATTTTAGAATTGCTTATCATTTATTTGTGATGTTACAATTGAGCTCATAATGGTGGCTTTCTATTTGTTAGACAGAAGTACTTATCACCTACTTGTGGTTTAGAATGTATGTATTATTTAATTTTTATATATAATTTAAAATTACATGAAATATTATTGTATTTTCAAAATATTGCAAAAAATAATTTTAGGAGATTTTATTTAATATTTAAAAAATATATATAATGTGCAATGTTTTCTAAAATACGAGGGAACATTGTGCAATATCTAAATGACGGAGGAGTATGAGATTAATTTTTCAAACCGTAAGTGGATTATAAATAATTTTGTGTATTTGTTCTGATTTGGTCCCTCTTATTGTATATATTGGTCAAATGTTCTTTTCTTTTATATTTTGTTAACATCGAGTGATATGACAATAAATATTTTTGAGTTTGTTTTTAGTTTTTTTTTTTTTTAGTATATAACCATTATGCAATTTCTAAATCATGGAGGAGTATGGTGTTAGGCTTTCCAAAGTACATGTGTATTATAAACAATTTTGCATATTTATTATGATTTTGATCCCTCTTATTGTATATATTGTCGGAAAGATTCTTTTCTTTTATATTTTTTGAACAAGGAGTGATATTTGGCGACAATAAATATTTTAGAGTTTTTGTTTTAGTTTTCTAATGTATAATCATTAGGGTGTTTTATAAAAATATATTATTTTCACACAAAAAAATTACATTTAGATTACTTTTCCAACTAAAAGTAAAAAATAAAACTAGATTTTTAAAGAACAAACTTTTGTAGGGTTTTAATTATTTAGATTTATGTATAAATATGTTGGGTCTTTTTAGACAAATTGTTATCTAATTTTTATAAAAATTATAAAAATAAATGATTGATCAATTATTTTTTTATTTTTTTTTTTAAAAAAATTATTTAAAATATTTTACAAAACTTGCGTACAGAGAAAATGACTTTTGGTGCGGATAAGGTGGCACGGCTTGGCACCGATACCCTTAGAAGCCGAAAATTTGCACCAAAATTGTGAAAAATATTTTTGGAGTTTTATTATATTTCATACAAAAATAATAAAATTTAGAGCCTGATTAATATTTTCTTTTACTTATTTGTTCATGTGCTTTCTTCTTAAATATATTTAATTTTAATATATTTAAAAAATTCATATCTAATTGTAATTTTTATTTAAAATAAAAAAATTGTTTAAACACTATTTTGCACGATTAATTCTATATATTTAAAAACTCATAAGGCATGGTTGTTCGTTCCTAATATTAAATTTCATTTAAAAAAATTATTCAAACATTATTTTTCACAATTAATTTTAATATGCTTAAAAATATGTAAGTAAATACACTATTTAAATTTTATTTAAAAATAAAAATATTATTTAAGTACACCATTAATTTAAATACATATTAAATAAAATTATAAGAAGGCACGATTTTATGCCTTAGCTTTAAAATTATTATTAAAAAAAAAATATAAAAATAAGAGATTCTTAATTTTCGCACCTATTTATAAATCTATAATTAAAAATAAAATAAAAATAAGTGAGAGATGCTAATTTCCGCGCCTCACGACATTATATTTTTTCTGTTTTACAATGATATAATTAATAAATAATTAAGAACGTACTAATAAAATAATTATCATATAATAAAATTAATTATATATTAAAATTTTAAAAATTATAAATTAAATTTTTAAAAATAATATTAAATAATTAAGAACATACTAATAAAATAATTATCATATAATAAAATTAATTATATATTAAAATTTTAAAAATTATAAATTAAATTTTTTAAAATAATATTAAATTGTATAATTTTTTATTTTAAAAAAATAACATAAGACGAAAATAGAAACGCGATACGAGAAGTCGGACGGAGGGGAGGTAGTACTATATTCTCAGGAAGGAATCGTCGTATGCTCATGGAACCATGGCCGCCGGAATCGTTGGAACCCTAGCCACCGTAATTGTTGTGTGCTCTTGGAGGTTGCAAAGAAAAGGACCTCTGGACTCAGTTATATTTGGCAGGTTAGTTAAAGGATCATTGCTTATACTTCCGATTGAATCATTACGTAACGATATATTTAGAGGCGAGCGCGAAGAAGGAGAGCAAGTCATAATCGATGATTGATAGATGACAAGATTATATTTATTCTTCCACTTCTCAAAACGACTGCCTCAGACTCGTCTCCACTTCACTCTTCTCCACCTCCCACTGCCTTCAGCTTCTTAGTGTCTTAATCAGAATTCTTGTTGTTATAGATTTTCAAAGCCGAGGATATGTTTTCTAGTAGTGTTCTAATCAGAATGCTTCGTAGTAGCTGTCAGGATATGGCTGATTGTGTTTGGGTATGCTATTAATTTAATTTCATGGAAACTTCTAGTGTTTGTTGCTATGCTAGTTCAATTTATATCATTTTGTCGAGTGATACTTGTTATCAATTCGTGATTTATGTTAAGCACAACCTCCCATTCTTACAGTTTAGCTGTTTGCTATGTTTAGTTCTTGTAGGAAAGGACATTGGGGAAATTGATGATGGCCCTATAGAAAAAGGAATAAACTTACAACAATCGAAGTTGTTGGGGAAATGAATGATTCTCTGCCAATTTCAGTTGTATCGTCTCTCCGATACTCCGACTGTAACTTTATTTCATTTTGTTTATGCATTCTTTGTTTTATTTTTCTGGAGATTTTTCTTTGGCTAATGCTCGGAAAAATTAGTAATTAATCTAATTCATTTTCTAGTTCAAAATGAACATACTATACAAGACTAACCTAATTATATAATAAATCGTAGCAAAATTTACTGCATAAACATAAATCAAATGTTTAGAACAGTAACCTACATTACAAAGATATAAAACTGATTTGAGTGCCACATAGTTTGTGGGTGGTGTTATTCATTTGGTGGTATGGACAATTGTATTAAATTGGACAAGAGTAATATAATTGGTGTGTTGTAGAACTAGGGAATTTGATTATTTGTTTTTGTAATATTTTAGGAGCTGGATTTCTATGACATATGGCTTGTGTCGTTCTAGGTTTGCGAAGAAAAATTGACTACAATGAAACAGGAGTTAGAAGCATTGAACAAAAAGATAACTTACAAGAACTTTTCAATCCTGCTGCAAGATGAAGGTTGAACCAAGCGCCGGTAGGACAATAGCTTTGGTAAATGAGCACTTAGAATAGAGGGCCTCTTGCAGGTTTATTCATTTGGATATGTAGGTGGATATTCTTGGCTTGTGAACTTTTTCCCAAAGTAGGGGCTTAAGAGCATGTTGCTATTTATATTTTTTCTTTAGTTGCTATTTTGTTTCAGTATCTGTGTTATGTTGGCGGAACTAAAAGTGGATTAAGAGCCTTCTAGTGAATTATTGACAAAAGTTGTTGAAGAACTATTTGAAGAATTCCGAAGCACTAGACTTGACATCTCACAACCATATTTCAAGAAAGCTCACAGATGGAAAGCAGGTGTCATTCCTATTCTTAGAGTTTTATTTTGTGGCTTTGTGTTATTTGGGAGTATGACTAGCATTTCTTTTATCATGAAGTGAAAGGCATAAAATTATCTCATAATAGGAATCTGATAATGAACTATAGGATCCGGAGGATTTATCGGTGCCCTTTCATTGATCATATATATACTCCCTTATGCCGGTGCCCCTCCTCAAATATGTTTTTATATTGTGTGCAGAGCAAATGACTATGGGCAAGGTAAGTTCCTTTTGTCTCACTAGATGCCTTCTCATGAATGTTTTCTTTTTTTTGTCTTCTCATGAATGTTGTTTCAAAATGTGTGCAGCAATTTGCATCATGTTGGGGATGTACTTAAACAATGCTCAGAAATTCAGATTGAGACTTTATTCATTGATGAAATGCTTAACGATTGACCAAGACATATAGCAGTGTATTTGTTATGGGATAACCTTAGAACTGTCGAGGATCTGACCACATACAGCCGTAGCACATTCCATGAGCATTCATTTGCTGCTAAAACCAAGAGTTGGCTGGAGGCCTATGCATTCAGAAGGAATGCTTTTCTTGTACTTGCGGGGACATCCATGGTAATCGGTGATGGCATTCTCAATCCTGCTATATCTGGTACCTACCTTCGCTTATCGGCAATTTCCATATGTTCAACAAAGTAAATGGACTATCTATGTATACACATATGTGTGTATATATATATATATATATATCGATATATTGAGGCTGTCATTAGCCCATAATCAAGCATATTCCAAGCTGATTATATATAAACTTGATCTTGCTAACCAAGAATAAATGCAACAGTTCTTTCTGGCTCTGGAGGGATAAATGTGAAGCTGCAACCTCATATGTGCAATGGTATGATTCTCAACAAACTAAAGTGTCGCCTGTAATTATTAGCACTCTTTTGTTCCTACTATTTTTTTTTTTTTTTGTCTGCATTAGCCGTGTGTATCTTCATACAAATTTGGGCAATGTGCACTTTGATGCAGATATGGTTGTGCTTGTTGTTGTAGTCATATTAGTTGGATTGTTCAGCATGCAACACTATGATACAAATAGAACTGGTAAAAACTGATCCGATACGATAACCCGGCACGAAATAATTGGGTTTGGGTCAATTTTGACCGGATTATGTATATGGGTTGATACGAATTCGATACGATAATAAATGGATTGGGTCGGATTACGGTTAAGGCTCTCAACTCGAACCCGACACGACAACCTGATTGTAATATATTAAAATAATTATAATTTAATAATTTTTTCATAAATTAATTTAAACTAAGTTCAATTTTAAATAATTCAACATAATTTACGCTCAAATCAATAAAAATTAACGACAATACGACAAAAAATAATTTAATTTGAATAAAAAATTTCGATTTAATTATGTATACGGGTCAACGTGAATCAATTCGAATCCGTCATGACAATAAATAGGTCGGATTATGGTTGAATAATTTGGCCCGTCTAAAATATTCAACTCAACACGAATCGACTGTAAAAATTGCTTAAGGGACTGATCATGTGCTACTCTGTAGTTTTGCTGCAGTCTTGATTGTAGTTGTATTCTTATTTATTGATTGATTTTCTCTTTACTGTTTGTGTTGTTCTTTCTTTTAGAATTTTGTCAATGCTTAGATATTAAACCGTTCTATCATCTACAGCTCAGTCTCAATTATTATTATTATTATTATTATTATTATTATTTATTATTATTATTATTATTATTATTTTTGTATGAATGAATTAATATTCAAATATAAAAAATATTATTATATTTTGGCACGTAAGATTGCACCAGCATAGTTTATTTAGTAGCTCTACTTTCAGCGCCAACATATTTTATTATTTATTTTTATTTTTATTTTTTATACTGTTTTCAGTGTCAATATATTTTATTATTTATTTTAATTTTAATTTTTCGCACCAATTTCGACGTCAATACATTTTATTTTAGTTTTTGGCTCCACTTTCAGTGCCTAAAATTTTATTTTATTTTTTTGTTTCAAATTTAGTGCAATATTCGATGACTCAACTTTATATTGGTTTTCATGACTATTTTTTTTGGTGCAGGGCACCGTCCTTCGGCTTCGTACAAATCGTAGGTTTCACGCAATAAATAAAATATATTTTGTGTATTTTTACTAAAAAATACAATAAAATGTTATGTAATTTACCCAAAAAGTTGTATGTTTTTTTTCATTAATATTATAAAACATACTATAATATATACATGTATTTATATATAATATATAATATATATTTTATTTATTATTATATTTTATTTATTCATAATAAAACATCATTATTTTTATTACTAATGATTTTTAGAAGATTCTACATGAATAGTTGATATCCAAACCATCAAAATATTATTATTATTATTATTATTATTATTGTTGTTGTTGTTAATTTAATTGGGCTCGATTAACTATATTAATTTGATGGTATCTAAATTGAAGTATTTTTATTTTTATTAATGTGAATTACATTGATTGATTGTTAACACTTTAAAAATAATAAATAAATAAATAAATTTGAATGCGATCTAAGGACTTGATGCAGCAATGTGTTTAATACAGATATGATGTTACATTTTTATCTTATATTTTATTTAGAATATTTTATAAATTGTCTTTAATAAAATAAAATAAGATTATTACAGTATAAATAAAGAAAAACACATTAATATTAAAATATATCAAATTTAAAGTGGTACTAAAATTTTATTACAACATAAGTCAATGGCCAGAAAACAAAATACATCAATTCCAGCACAGCTCATATAAACACACATTTGATTAAATACAATACAAAAATCACTCGAATCTTCTAAAAAATAAAAGGACATAACACCCTATTTCTAAGCATTGAACTGATTGTTTAGAGGGAAAGGCTTACAGTTGGATAGATCCATAGACTTCCTATTCTAAATGGACGGCATCCATTGGATTTTAAATAAATGATAACCCACGAAATGTGGGTTGGGTTCATGGTCGTTTCCGTCGACGGTAGACCTTCAAAAAGAGACGACCATGCACCACCTCATTCATTCCATCCTCTATGCAGCTTTCTTGTTTACCTGGCACGAGTTCGGCCACAGGTCTGGAGACATCCATTCTCTCCTCGGAGATACCTCCCATCGGCTTGCTAAATCCTAAACCATTGAAATGAAATATTAAACTAAAAAAACGTTGAAAACCATATGACATATAAAAGATCAGATGTAAAGAAAATTGTAAAATAGAGAAAGAAAACACTGTACCAGGATGCGGGCTTATAGGGTCCTCTTGTTTCATAAGCACAATTTCTGCCTCCGTTGGGATTGCCACGTTTCATGGGTTAACTTTAATCCATCGAAGTAACCGTGCGTCCCTTAGCAACTCACTCCGTCAGCTACTAAGGCAGACTTCCCGACTCGGCCAAACACCACAAATACCAAAAGCTTTCAAAGAGAGAAACAACTAGAGAGAGAATGTGTGGAGACAAATTATAAACACTTGATTGCCAATGCTGAGTGAATACATAAGTGAATACAAATGAGAAGAGTGGGGCTCTTTTATAGGCCAAGGACTCTACCAGATTATTCTAGAATGTACAACTATCACAGCGAGATGTACAACGATTCTATAACACTTTCCAAAATAATTTCTGAATATGCTAAGGAATATTCTCTTTTCAAAATGGTCAGAATATGCTATGGAATATTTCCTTTTTAAAATAGTCTGTATATGCTAAGGAATATTCTCTTTTCAAAATGGTCAGAATATACTAGGGAATATTCCCTTTTTAAAATAGTCTGAATATGCTAGGGAATATTCCCCTTCCAAATCGGTCAGAATATGCTAGGGAATATTCCAAGTCTAGAACCTTCCGCCACCAAAATTGAGTGAATTTTTTTGCACAACTGAAAATTCTAAGTATGGGAAAACCATTGTACCGCAACAACCTCGATCGTGACAATTCTCCCCCACCTAAACCTAGATGTCCTCGTCAAGTCCTTGCTAAGGGCACACAATTACTTCGACGGATTGAAGTTAACCCGTAACATAGAGTTTGGAGGCATCCATTCTTTCTAAGGAGATATTTCCCATCGACTTGCCAAATCCTAAACCATTGAGCTAAAATATTAAACTAAAGAAAGATTGAAACCATATGACATGCAATTTACATTGATTTTTCTCAAATGCAATTAAAACCAATAGGATAATAAGAAGAAAAGTACATAATAACAAAAAAGTACTTGATCTCTGAATCAATGACACTCCAAAATCATTTGAATCTTAAACTTATTTGAATATTCAAATCATAATGAACTAGATACCAAAAGTACAATATCCATGACTTGAAAAGAAAAACCTCTGTATCAAATTTCACAGTTTTCTCAACATAGATTCATGGTTTTTTTTTTTTTTTTTAAATCAAAGAAGTACATTGCTGCAAAGGACAACAGACATGTGTGTCTATGCATTGTTAATAATTTCAACGACACTTTACTCACAATCTATATGTTATAAATTATTTTAAAATTTACCATTCAAAGCAAATTCATCACCTTTTGAGAAGTTTCAACCATATAAATTAAGAAAAAAAATCAAAATAACTTGGATATATACTTAGATCCATCAATCTTGCGCAAAATTACAGTTTCCAAACAGTATCAGACAGTACACCAATTTAAAAAAATTCACTCGTAAATATATACCAACAATAATTTCATAGACAAAAGATCCATCAAAACAAGACAAGAAAAAATACTCATTCAACACAAGAGTCAAATGCAAGGCATAACGAAAAATACAACAAAAGCAACATGACAAAATATATATATTGGATTTAAGGTGCAAAAAAATTCAGCGACATCGAGCAATATAATCTAGAAAGACCTGAAACATACCTATGGAGACGGAAGCTTTAGGTGAAATCTAATCGCAGACTACGGAACTTCTATGCGAATGCAAGGGGTATATATAGCACCCCATATCTTAGATTAGGGTTTAGTTCCAAAATCATAAACCGAAGGCGGCAAAAATTGCTTTGATGAAGGCGAGCAAAAAAATAATAAAAGCGCAAACACGTTTATAAAAGCATAAAAGCGTATTTAACAATTAAATTTTAGACACGCCTATTAAACATGAGTCGTGCTTGATTAACAACATAAATAATGAATAATTGATATTATTAAATTATTCTTACAAATATGATTTTTCAACATAACAGTTATTATTTGATTACAATTACATGAATTGAATATAACATAAGTAAATATGAAAAACCACACATTCACAAAATGACGACAAACCTAAAACGTGAAGCTTTCTAACCGTGGAAAGTGTTGGTATGTAAAAATGCAATACAGGTACCATTTTACAACTGAAACGATCAAAATTTCATCAATGCCCACCTAGTCCACAACCTTTGGTTGTATACTTGAACCAAGAATATTCATACATAAGTAATGCACACTGTCTACATGATAAATCAAGAACTACCATACAGATCTTCAATCTAGAAGAGTGTTTATTCCACAATAGGAAATGTTTAACCAACATGAACAACAGCATCCCTTCTTGCAGAGATTTGAGCCGTTGAAAACTTCCAACTCTTAAGATCAAAACACCAATTTTCAACATGAAACTGCATTTATATCCCAACTAGATGCAGTTTTCCTTGGAAAAATGTTCTCCAGTTAAATAGTCAATGCTTTACCACATCATGAATGTAAAAACTTTCTTGTTTCAACTTTCAGATAAATGAACTTCTCAGGAACTCTCTTCCTGTCTACTGGAAATGCCTACAAAAGTAATGGCCCCAATTGTTTATCTATTTCCGCTAATTTTATTTCTTTATTTAGTTATGTTGCTACTCTTGGCCTTATTATTTCGTAATGAATTAATACAATCAAGAAGCACGGGAAAACCACATTGGATTTGTTGGTTTTTGAACTAAGTTTCTTGCTCGTAGGCAAAGCCATTATAAGCAGGGGTGATGCATGGGATATAATTTAGTTGACAAAACAAGGATCAACAAGCATAACAGAGGAACTAAGGGAATGCATGGGATATAAAAGATGAGTTGCGCGATCCCCAAACACCTATTTCAAATTACACAGCATACAGAACCTTTAGTCCTACTTTAAAGTCAAATTATATAGTAGATGCAAAATAACAACGATACCACAATAAACCTGGAAAAATAGGAGTTTCACTTTTTCTGAAACGGAATTGGTAGCATCAGCTAGTGTTCTATCATCTAATATATCGATATCATTCGAGAGGCCCTACCTCCTTCATAATGTCAGCATTTTTCCTGCATTCTGTTAATTAATTGGTTCTTCTTACAAAGGGTATATGAGATGGCTCTTATTACGATAAACCAATATGTAACTTGTACAGAATCTCAAGATTTGAATCAATGAATATGTAAAACTAAAAATTCATCAGACAAAAACTACGGTTTCATACCAAATGTAACTTATGAAACCACTTGACAATACCCATCAAATTCAGACTATTAATTGTAACAAATCAGACATTAAAAAGAGATACACAAAACACGTACACCTACGAGCATTCTTGTGAAAATTGAAGGGGCAGTGTGTAGTGCTAAAACCGGTCATTTGCTAACGAGCATCATATTGTTATTGACAAATGCAAAAAAAAAATAAAAAATCAGATTCATTTCAAGCATTGGAAAAACAGAGGAAACAGATTAAGAGTGGTGAAGCTATCTCACTATGCTGGATGAATTGGAAGTTTCACCTGTCTTTGTTTTAGGTTGCATCTGCAGCACCACCGTACACAAGTAGGGTAGGGATCAAGGATTAATTTGTGTTTGAGAGCAGACTTGTGAGGAAGAGAATCCTCTGCCATGGTTGAATAGAGAAGAAAAGTTCTCGAGCATGTGCAGTTCCCAATCATGGTTGGAAATTGGAATTCCAAAACAACGCCAAGCTTCCTGCCTTCAACAGTTCAACTATTATTCGTGTGGGAAGCAAATATATATAAAATAAGGAAATTTTGTCCCAAAACTTGCATAAAAAATGGAAAAAGCAAACAATAGGGCACAATTTCAAGATAATGCAATAATGGGAAGCAATATGACTTGGATTGTCAATTCATACCATGCATTTGTGTTATAATAACATACTTTTGTGCCAAGATGATAGATCAATTGTGGTATGGCTAAGAAACACCAAATGAATGAATGGAAATACTCTTTAACCATTGTGGTAGGCTCATCATATGTATTCTATACCTCCTCATCCATATTTGGACTATGGTATACATCTGTCATTATTTACACATCAGATGTCGATTGATAGATTTTAATGGGAATGGTCCTTATCTTGTGACTCGAAAGAAAGTTTCTCTGGTAGATAGGGGGAATAAGAACTTCTTTCCCTGACAAAATCTAAAAACAAGAATATTGAATCAAAAATACCGATTCAAATCCAATATAACTCAACTAATGAGAAGTAGTACAATTCGCTTACAACATAATTCAATTAGTATGAAGCAATACTACTTACTTACAATGTAAACCAACAAATGAGAATCATTACAACTCAATTTCAATTCCAATATACCCAACAAATAGAAATCAGCACAGCTCAATTTCAATCCCAACATAACCCAATAAATGGGAAGCAAAAAGCCTCAATTCCAACTAAACCAAAAACCCCCAACATGTGATCAAACATTGTACAAAACTTACTTAAATATTTTTGAGACAAAACAAGCAGCACCTTGTTTGCCGCGCAAAACCTACATCAAAATCCCGGTGGTCTAGGGGGGAAAGCCTTCCAACTGGACGGATTCATCGAGCTCCTATTCTGAGATGATTGGGCTTCTTTGGAACCCCCTCCCTCTCCATCCATTGGGATGCTTCCAAGTCCCAAGGCAACATTTCTCTCATTGGGAAAACTTTCTATAGGCTTGTTGAATCCTAAAAGTAGGAAGTGGAAGATTAAACTAAAGAAATATTGACAGCTATATGGCATAAAATCTATATTAGTTTTTCTCAAATGTAGTCTAAACCAATAAGAATGACAAAATAGAAAGCAAAAACTAAGCAAAATGTATCAACACCGTTCAATTAGCAATTGCAAGAATTTAGAGTGCTTTGAAATATAATATGTAAGAAAATGTTGAAATAAAGTAAGTTGACAGTGTACCAGGTGGTGGCATCATCGGCCTCACAGGGGTCAGTTTTGCAATGCGGTGGCTGGCACTAAATGGGGCTCCATCAAGATCAATGAATCCCCGTTTCCTTCCTATGATTGGCTCCTTTCCCTTGTCATTTCTTTTTGCTTTATCATTTCCTGCATCTTGCAAATTATAATAATGCAGACAATAAATTAGCTTTGGGCATATAAGAAGCCCCATATGCAACTTCATAAGGAAGATAATTTGCACAAAATCTGAATCGAAGGGAAAAGTAATATGCACGAAAGAAAGCTATAATATTTGTGTTTCAAGATCAACTCAGAATAGATTATTTGCATATTCACATTTTGGCCATGAGAACACACAATAATAAATATTAGTCAATTTACTATAGCAACAAAACAAAGGTCAGAAAGAGAAAAACAAAATGCAGTGAAGATTGAAAACATGTTGTGATCTATAGATTACTCTCACACTGCAGTAGACATGCGAAAATGGTTTGAGCCAACAGTTTGTCAAAATGGCAAGCTGCCGTTTCCTTCTTTATAGGTACTATTTCCAATCATTTTGATTTTTTTTCAATTATATATTTATTTAGAAAAAAAAAAATTTACATTATAAGCTGCTATAATAAAATTTACGAAATACAAAAATTAGCATGCAAAATTCAAATACTTTTCATATTCAAATTATAATTTATTTTATTCTTACAAGTTACATTACAAAAGTTACAGCTCTTAATATATAAAGAAGTTACAATCCAACTTATGAATGCAACTAAAATAATAGAAACAAAAATGCATGCATTAAATCTTTTGGATTCATTTTGATTTTTTTTAGAAATAAATAATCCTAAACATGCTGGATTTACAAATTATGAAATTGAAACCAAATCTGAAAATTTTCGGTTTTAGTTACGGTTTTTCCACAGATACATTTCTTTTTTCACAAGGTTACACTTCGAACAAAAAACCAATGGTTAGAGCACATGTTTCAAAATATTTGACCAACAAATCTACACAACAATATCAATTTTGCCAATGAATATATACTAAAATAGAACACTATGGTATTTATCTTCAACATTAGAAAACTAGAGGAAATGAGTAGAGAGGTGCAAGTTATCATACCACAAGGGATATTGGAAACAACCCCAGCATGAGTCCAAGCATCGTTGTTCAGCAGACGCATTGGATAGATAAAGCAGGTTCTTTCACAGCCACTTGGGTCATATACTTGAACAAAAAAATGTCCCTCCTTCACGTAACTAAATACCAAGGAACATCCCTTCTCGAGATCATGGCTCCTATGAAACTTTTTCCATCCCTCCGCAAATGATAATGTATTTTCGACATAGGAAAGAGTCACAGGCCATATCTGCCCACATATATCCTCAAGTAGGACTTCTACGCCCACCAAGTGCTCCACTCTTGGAGCAAATGAAGCTGGCAAGTGCTGCAATAACATCAAAATTAGTGCCTAAACAAAAAAATTGCAGAAATCATATAGAAGAATTTTATCTACATAAACCAACAGGTTGGCTACTAGACATCCCAAAAAGTAATCATTTATTACTCAACAAGTTGGCAGGTGGTAAGAGGATACTTGCTTAAAGGATCAATTACTTTACGTTCAGTAATTGTTCGCCAAATGATTTTTTCATCCCATAATAACATTTGATACACATTACCATGTTATTACAAGCATCATAATGAACCAAGTATATACCAAACATTAAGACTTAAAAATAGACCAAACTTCAACATGGATGAGAGAGTTTGTACCAGTGACTGGGAGAAGTCGGCATCATGCAGTACATGCACAAAACAGGGAGTTGAAGGTGATAACTCCTGCAGAAGTTGAGATATGGAGCCCTCATGAAGCACTAGTCCTCTATAGGCCATTTTTTTTGCTTTTTCACCTTGATAATTCTAAAAGTTACGAGAAGTATCATGAACTCCATATAAGATAAAAAGTCAAGATCAATGAAAATAAGAATATTCAAGAATGCACTAAGAGCACACCAGTAAACAAGCACTTGAAATTGTCTATGAATCAATGACATTCCAAAATCATTTAAATCTTAAATTTAATTGAATATTTAAATTTAAATGAACTACCTAGCTATAGTACAATATTCAAGACTTGAAACAACCTCTATATCAAGATTCATATAGTTTTTATTTAAAAATAAACTAAAATAAAAAACAAAACTCAAGGGGAACCTTGTTGCAAAGGTATCATCACACTTTTTTTGGATAGATTTCAATGGTACTTTACTCCTGATCCATATGCTAGATATTATTATAAAAATTAATCATTCAAAGCAAATTCATCATGTTTTGAGAAATTCCAACATTTATTCCATGTTAAGCAAGAAAAAATAATCATATATAAGTTGTATATATTCATAGATCCACCCAATCTAGCGCCAAGTCGTAGCTTCCCAAGCAACATCACTTAGTACGCCAATATAAAATATTAAACTCATAAATCCATACCAAAAAATGAATTTACAGAAAAAAGATACATCAAAACAAGATAAGAAAAAAGTAGATCGTAAAAACTCATTCAAACACAAGGTCAAACACAAAGCATAGGCGAAGAATACAACAAAAGCAACATGAAATATATATATATTGACTTTAAGGGGCAAAAAATCTTAGCGACATAAAGCAATATAATCTAGAAAGACCGGGAACATACCTATGGAGAGAGACGAAAAAATGAAAATGTGAAATCTAATCGCAAATTAAGGATTTCTTTGCGTGCGGATGCTGGGGGTATATATAGCACCCCATTTTTCAGATTAGGTTTAGCTTCCAAATCGAAAACTGGAGGCGGCAAAAAATGCCTACAGTAGAGGCAAACAAAAAATAATAAAAGCGCAAACACGTTTATAAAAGCATAAAAACGTGTTGAACGATTAGATTTTAGACACATATATTAAACAACAGTCGTGCTTGATTGACAACATAATGATGAATAATTAATAGTTATTATTCTAAGTTTCTGAAAAATACGATCTTTTAACATAACAGTTATTATTTGGGCAAGAAAGCTTCCTAAATTCTGCATGCAATTGTAATCTAGAATTGCTAAAAACATACTTTGGGAAAAAGAACGGAAGCGACGATGAAAATCTCAAAGCTAATCAGAGGGTAAAGTTGTTGTAAGAGGATGTCAAGGCTATATATAGCACCCCTTGTTTCAAGTTAGGTTTTGGCTTCCAAAATTAAAACCGGGGATGGAAAAATGCCTTCAATAAATTAAAAAATAAAATATAAAAGCGCAAACACGTTTTTAAAAGTATAAAAAATGTATTGAACAATAAATTTGAGACGCATTTACCAAATAAGGGCCATGTTTGATCGACAACATAGATGATGTATAATTAATAGTATCCTATCATTGTGCAAATATGATCTTTCAACACAATACTATAAAACTATTATTTCATTACACAAACCAGTCATACCATAAGTAATACTTCTTCCGTCTTAATTTGTTTGCTATTATTTATATTTTGAGATGTTCCAATATGTTTTACAACTTTCTTTACTTTATACTAAATTTTATCTTTGTCTTCTTATCAATAAAATTTATAAAATCATCAAATGAAAAATAAAGGCAAAATGGTCAAAACTCTATCAAAATTATACCACCTGAAATGTCGTGCTAAAACAAATAACTAGCAAATAAAGTGGGACATAGGCAAGATAATATAAGAACAGCCACAAATTCACAAACCAATCACAATCCTAAAATGTGAAACTTTCTCCCAAGTTGGAAAGAGAAACGTATGTGAAAATACAATCCAAGTACCAAATTCAAATCGCAACAATCAAAGTTTCAGCAACGCTCACCTAGTCTACAGCCTTTGGTTGTATGGTTGAACCAAGCATATTGATACATAAACTATGCATAAATTTATAAATGACAAATCAAGGGCTACAACATGAACAACATCACTTTTTGCGAGATTTGCACTTTGAATAACTTCATTTCTTAAGACCAAAACAAAAAATTTCAGAACGAAACTGCATTTATATCCTAACCAGGTGCATTTTTCGTGGAAGATTGTTCTCTTGACAAATAGTCAATGCTTACCACGACATGAATTTAAAAACATTCTTGTTTCAAGTTTAACATATATATCCTTCTCCCTTTCTCCTGGAAACACCTGCAAAAGTTATGGCCCCAATATTCTCTCTATTTCTGCTATATTTATTTATTTAAGAACAAGAATATTGAATCAAACATAGGACTCAAATCAATATAATTAAACAAATGAGAAGTAGTACGATTCACTTACAACATAACTCAATAAATATGAAGAATTACGACTTACTTACAATATAAACTAACAAATGAGAATGATTACAACCAAATTTCTCTGCAACCAACAAATAGGAAGCAATACATCTTAATTTTAATTCCAATGTAACCCAAAAAATAGGAAGCAATACATCTCGATATCAATTCCAATATAACCCAACAAATAGAAAGCAGCACAGCTCAATTTCAATCCCAACATAACTAAATCAGTGGGCAACAAAACAGCTCAATTCCAACACAACCCAAAAACGCATGTTAAACATTGTACAAAAATTACTTAAATATTTTTTAGAAAAAAAAAAAAAAAAACGCAGCACCTGGTTGCCACACGAAACCTACATCAAAATCCCGGTGGTCTGGAGGGAAAAACCTTCCAATGGGATGGATTCATTGAGCTCCTATTCTGAGATGGTTGGGCTTCTTCAGAACCCCCTCCCTCTCCATCCATTGGGATGCCTCCAAGTCCCAAGGCATTATTTCTCTCATTGGGAAAACTTTCTATAAGCTTGCTGAATCCTAAAACCGCAATATTAAACTGAAGAAATATTGACAGCTATAAGGCATAAAATTTATATTAATTTTTCTCAAATGTAGTCAAAACCAATAAGAATGACAAATAGAAAGCAAAATGTATCAACACCATTCAGTTAGCAAGTGCAAGAATTTAGAATGCTTTGAAATAACATACGTATAGAAAAGAGTGAAATAAAGTAAGCAGACACTAGACAATTTACCGGGCGGCGGTATCATAGGCATCATCAGCCTCAAATGGTTCAGTTTTGCAATGCGATGACTGTCACCGGATGGAGTTGCATCAAGATCAAATCCCTGTTTCCTTCCTGTGATCGGCATCTTTTCTTTGTCTTTTCCTTTTCCTTTACCATTCCCTGCATCTTGCAAATTATAACATGAACAATAAATTAGCTTTGGCCGTATAATAAAACCCCATATGCAACTTGATAAGGAGGATTATTTGCACAAAGTCTAAATTGTTGGGAGAAGTAAAATGCACGAAAGAAAGATATAATATTTTTGTTTCAGGATCAACTCTGAGTAGATTGCACATTCACGTTTTGGAAACCAAACAATGTTACTCATGAGAACACAACAATAAAAATTAGCCAATTTACTAAAGCAACAAAACATATGTACGAAAGAGAAAAATACAATGCAGTGAAGACTGGAGACTCAAAATATTCTCACTGAATTGAAAGCTTCATCTTCCCCCTTTTTTTAGGAATCTGGCACCGGTCGTGGATAGCATTTGCAGCGGCACGAAATTTCGAGGAAGAGGATCCTCCTCCGCCATAGTTGAATAGAGAAGGAAGCTTATCGAGAATGTGCGGTTCCCGATCATGGTCGGAAATTGGAATTCCAAAACTTTGGCAAGCTTGCAACAGTGCAATTCTTGTGCGGGTGGAATCGGAATCGGAATTAAAGCAGGTTGAAATTGGAATTTACAGATATATATATCAGTATAAACTACGATCAAACCTGAAACCTCAATTGCAATTTGGAAGGTATTTGCACGTCGTGGGCTTTTCTTAGACCGACCGCTAATATAGTGTATGTTGCTTTTGGGGTAGTTTTTTTTTTTTTTTTTTTTTAATTTTTTTTTTATAGTTTGGTTGAAGTTTGGAGAGTTGTTTATGAGTATTGAGTTAATAGATAATGAATAAAATAATATAAATATGTATTAAATTTAATTGATAAAAATAATATTGTATAATTTGATTATGAATTTATATTATATTTAACGTATATATTTAAATTTTTATTTATTTGTATTATAAAAAATTTTATATTGCATTGTTTTTTCCCCTGTAATTATAATAAGTTAATTTTTTTATGAAAAAATAAATAAATAAATAAAAGTAAGCATTGCAGTAAAAAGTTGACCTAAATCGTAAGTAAGCAGCAGAAGTTGTCATTGGAAATTCTATCTAGCGCCAAAACTGCCTTCTACAGAAACCGCACAGTAAAAAAATATCAAACCATGTAAAAGAAACACAACCATAATAATAATTATATACGATAATTAGTCTAAATTAAAAAATATATATAATTTAAAAATAGAATTAAATAATGTAATACTTTAAAAAAATTAATATTTCTTCAATCTCAAATTAAAAATTTTTATAGTAGAATATTTTATAAATTACTTTTCTTTTGATTTTATATATATAAAATAATTGTTCGTGTATTAGAATATTTGTAATTTAAATAAAAGTTAAAAATATATTTGATTAATGTATAATTATTTTTTTTAAAAAGAAGAAAAATTATAGCAGTATAAAAAATGTGCAATTCACTAAAATCACATTATGACACGAGATATAGGACGGGATAGTGGGACGGATAAAATAATAGGTTTTATATCGAAATATTATTTAAACTAAATTTTAAAACAAAATTTTTAATTCAAAGCAAAATATATATCATGTTTTTTTTTTAAGGATTTCCAATAAATATTATTAAAAAAATACTCCCTCCGTCCACTCATAAACTATAAATTACTTTTGGCCTGGTGTTTAAGAAATAATAATATTTTAATTATAGTGGATAGTTAAAAGCAGTGTAATGATATTTTTGCCTTTGCTTTTTGGTGTAAAAGTAACGATGTGATGTAAAGTAAGGGTATCTGTGGAAAAAAGTAAGGTATTTAATGAAATATTTACTTTGTAATTGGACGTCCCAAAATAGAAATATGTATACTTTCTAGGTGGAAGGATGGAGTATAATATATATATATAATATACTCTTTCAATCTTCATTTTACCATTTTAATTTGTTCATTTCAAAATTTATTATTTTTTTTAGTAAATATAATTTTCAACTAAATAATAAAATACTCATATAGTGTAAAATATTACACTATGTATTTATAAAATATTAATTTACCTTAATTTATGCAAATTATTGTTAATTTGATATTTTGGAGTAAAACATGATATATTATGACACTTTACATGCAATCGGTTAGAGATGGTTTAGTATGGTATACCAAAAATATCGTACCATACTCTATACCAAAATTTTTGGTATGTTAACATATATATATATATATCAATATCGTGTGTTTGTTCTTTGAGAATGTTGAAAAAGAAATTTTTCACGTAAGATATAGAGAATCGTGTAAAAAATATAAAAATAATTAATGTGTATAGTGCGTTAATATTTTTGGAAAAACGTAAAAGAAAAAAAGGGTGAAAGTTTGGTATTATATCATATCGTACCAAAAGATTTTTCTATACCAAAGTTTTAAAAAATTTCGGTATTTTCTTAGTACAGCATACACACTATTTTGGTAGTTCTATTTTTTTTTTCATCCCTAATTTCGTTATACCAAATTATGGATATGGTACCCATACGGTAAAATACATAGCAAAATTTTTAAGAACTATCCCCGCCAAAACCAAGTTCAAAAAATTGATATATTGTCTATATTAAAATTTTTATTAATATGAATTTTTTTTATTGTATTAATTGTAGTTACATTATTAAAATTAATTTATTTTTTTGTTATTTAATGGCATGTATTAATATATACTAAATACAATAATTTATTTTTAAAAACTCAATATTTGAATTAAATTTTGTTTTGTGAAATAGTTTGAAGAGATGTTTTTTTATACCATGATTAATGTATAGAAAATTACATAGATAATATAAAAATTATGAATGTGTTTAGTGTATTAATTTTTTTTGAAAAAAATGTATTAAAAAAAAAACAAAACAAAAGGAACACACGATATTACTACAAAATAATACTCCCTATCAAAACGTATTACAAATAAAAAAAATTTGCAAAAATATTTCTATTAGTGTCTTATAATATTAATACAATGACATTTGTATCAAAAATTATACAAATATAAGAATATTTTAAACGATATTTTGAACATTAAGTACAAATGGATATAAATTATGTCAAAAATCTCTCTACTTGCTTTAAAAAGAATGGCTAGGGAATGAGATCGTCGGCCCCGATCCGATCCCCTCTAATATACATTGTGTATATAAATACAGTTTATATATATATATATATATATAAAATTTATATATCACATATACATACACAGTGGAGGTGAAAAGAGATAGTTAGATTTCATTATTTATTGAGTTTGCTAGGTGGAATATTATTATGTTTAAGATTTACCTTGATGAAAAAAAAAAAAAAATGTGTTAGAATGTGAAGGAAGTGAGAAAAATTTGACAAAAAAAATCTTAATGTGATCGAAAAAAATAATTGCATATCATGTGCAAAGATATGGGGAAATACTGATCACTGAGTTGGTAGTGACGAAGATAATCGATTAGAAGTTGGGTATCTTCAAGAGATATGATTTTGATTTCTGAAAATTGTGACTTTAATTGTATCCATGGAGCATCGTGTTTTAACTTCTTTAATAGTAAATCTCGTCTGGGTTCAAACTCCAGATATAGGCTAGTGCAGACAACTGGGTTAACAATTGTTTTGTGTTTTCTGCTCTTATAGTTAGTATAGTCTGATCTGAACAATCAGTCTGTGTTATTCAAAATTTCTGCTTTTGTTCGTAATGTTGAAGTTTCGTTACTGTTTGGTTTTTATCGATTTTTTGGACCAACAATATATTTTATGGATTGTGAGCACTATAACAATTATAATCGGTCAGTATAATAACTTTAATGTTTTTTCATATAAAAATATATTATTTCATCTTACAAAATATAAAATAATGTAAATTATCGTCTTAAGAAAATAACGTAAATTATGTCCAAATATTTCTTTTACCATTTCTTCACCGTACAGATCTCAAAATTTTCTATAACAATTTTCTCTCACAAAAATCACATTCGACCAAAGTTTAAACCAAATCCCGACAAAAAACAATAAAAAATCACCAACTAAACACACAATTGCAACTACATGAACATTTCTTTCCGGGGAACATATATATTCGATATCTACACACACATGAAAACAAAACAAAACAAAGAAGACAAGCATAGAAGAAAAAAAGGCCAAGAAATGACATGAAGCAATGAAGGGAATGAACAGATAGATAGCAACACATACCTTCAAAATGTTAAGTCCGATTCTTGCGAAGAGATTTTACGAGAGTGTCGTAGTCGGGAAGCTTCGGATGAACATGGCTAGCTCGCCGGCTACTTCCATCTTTCCTCGGCATTGTTGCAGCTTCTGTATTCTCATTGCCAATAAATTCCTTATTAGTCGAGGAATTCGCAGCTCCTGGAAAACTTGAGTTTCGAGTTTTATCTAAGGATGGATACCGTTGCCGAGTTTCCATATTAGTTTTCGGCAATGACGCCGGTTTTTCAGAACCATAGTTCAATTTACCAGAGCTTCTCAAAGACTTGGAGGTTGTCGGATTCTTATCTATCCCTTCATTAATGGCGTTTCGAATCTGAGCTGTTGTTGTAAGGGAGTTCTTCGGAGGATCCTTGTCCGAATCACTGTTGTCAGAACTGAAATATGGATTTGAAGCCGATAAGCTCGGCGTTGTCTTAACTTCCTTTCCTGATTTAAGAGTATTCTGTCTTGGCTTTCGATCGGATATCTTTCTTAAAGTGTCTTCTTCCTCGGAGCTATCAGTGTCCGATCCATAGTGGACCTTCTGCGCTAGCTGGCTATCCTTGTGTTCGGACAATTTAGGTCGCCTAGGAGACGATGCTTTTTGAGACTTAAAGAATGGGAGAGTGTTGTCTTTATGGCGCAAACCACCGGTAAGTTTTCCGAAATCGAGCTCTACAACACCTAGAGGCTTGGATTTAGCTGGCTCATCGATACGGCGCCTAATTGTGGAATCTTCTAGCCGACTGCGTCTGGACATATTCGTGTCGAGATCACTTCCTGAAGCTGATTCATCGGATTTCGACCTCACAGAATCATTCAGTTTCGAACCATCCCTCGATTCGATGTTTCCAGGAAATTCAGAAGAGTTCTTCCTCGGAGAAACAAGGTTTCCGAGTCCTGAGCTAGATCGTCGACTCCAGAGATGCTCGGGCGATTTCTGGCTTCCTGATGGAAAATGAAATCCTGAATTGTGATCATCATCATATCTAAAACCCGCGTTGAAATCATTATCATCGGCATCGCTGTCTGAATCAGACTTGTCGAAAACTACACCCGAAGAAGAGTCGTGGGAGATTTCTTCATAAATTTCTCCCTTCCCAGAACTCAGAAAAGGATCCTTACCATCGGACGTAAACTTGCGGTCCTCCGAGCTCGCAAATATATTGAAGTCCCAAGAAATTCTACCGTCTCTGGCATCATCATGTTTCTGCATATTCGTTTTGGCTCGAGAGACCTCTTCAAATTTAGTTTTCCGAGAATAGGCATATACATCCATGGCGTCATGATCCAACGAGCTGTTACGATTAGAAGCTCTGGACTGAGTAAACTCCTTCACACCACCACGACTGTCGTCATCGAATCCTCCACCTGTTTTCGGATAGTCATTCTGTACCCGAGTTTTCTCTGAAAACGATTGATTCCTCCGCTGCTGTCCTCTATCAGACTCGGTGGAATACTGCCGCATATAATTGTCACGGATCAAAAGTTCAGCAGCAGCTTTGGCAGCCATACTTGCTAGCTCTGCTGACTCGGCAGCCGCCTGTGCAGCATGAGTAGCATCTTTGAACTCCATACTCCATCTCTGTCGATCCAGACGGGTATTATGGGTACCTCCCGGAGAGAATTGTTCCCTCTCGTCACCTACAAGGAAAACAGATCATAAAGTCCTTTTGTATCGATACAAACGGTGGTTCATATTCAGTTGATTGTACCATACCTCGGTTCATTTCATTGGTACGCGGAGATATATGATCTGTATGGGGTACAGAACTATGCATCCTGTGGTTATTTTGGAGGGGTTCGTCGTTTAGTTTAGTCTCCTCGAAAGTTCTTGGCCCCTTCTGATGAACATGAAGAGTAACGCCTCGAAATCAGTACAAACATGAAAATGTTTTCGACTTTTATATGGGCTAAATTTCACAAAATCCACTTGTGATTTTACGAAATTACGTGAAATCCCCTATATTTTTTAAACTGTAATATTCTCTCGTAGTTTTATAAACTCTGCGTTAAACCTCCTCGGTCGTCATTGTTTAACGGTGTTTGATCTGCCCGCGCTCAAACTGCCAATAAGTTTCAAATTTTTCATTTCTAAACCTATGAATTTACAAATATACTCATTATTCTTATATTTAACCTCAATAAGTAATAAATATACTTGGAAATAATTGGTTTTCTCTGGTTTTGAGATTTTTTTATTGTTATTTGATAGACATGAGTATTTTGAAATTCATTTGCAGTTTGATCATGTGCAGGTTAAACACCGTTAAATAAAGACGGACAAAAGGGTTAGACACAGAGTTTATGAAATTACGAGAGAGTTTGACGCATTTTTTAAAGTACGAGGAATTTTACGTAAATGTGATATGAATGTCTAAAGCAATATTGTTTTACCAGTGAATCAGTGGTCGGTAATGGATCTTTGTCTTCGAATGATTTAGGATCCCATTTGACATTATGCTCTTCAGCTATTGAACTCAGAATTTTAATTTTGGTCTGCATATCAGGTGCAGTTGCAGAAAGCTTCTCGACTATCTGCAAGAAGATAGTAAAATGTATAATGAATAGAGAATATTGGTGATTATTTCGACTACTAAATAGTCATAACGAATATAAACATTAGTAACATACCAGACGGCTTACGCCACTCTGTGGGCGAAGTTCGACTGCAGAAGCTACAAAATCTTTTCCATATTTATCTGTAAAATGCTTCTTCACATCTCGAAGTTCAGTTACATCTCCGCATCTAGGTGAAGCGAATATTACGCTTGTAATTGCTTCCTTTAAGTCGATGGGGCAAGTCCTTCACATGCAATGAGGAAATTGTGTTCAAAAAAAAAATATTGCTATGGAAGACATTAGGTGTATCTATTTAAAGCTCTTGTTACTTCTGTTAAATTGGATTGTGTGATGGTAAAAAGTGTTTTTCTTCGTGCCGTGTCATCAATATATATATATACATGTGTGTGTACGATCATTTTGAATAAATCACTTACTTCTGAGTCTCAATTACTTGCATTCGAGCTACAATCAGTTCACAGTAGATTTCGATAAGATCGTATGCAGCCATCATCTTCTCTTCCCTAACCACATGTTCAACCTGAAAAAACGAGAAAGGTAAGCACATAATGTATTTCCAGGTGCATGTTATGTTCATATTTAAGTGACAATCGAATGTGAAAGAAAATGGAGGATAAATCAGAATAATACAATGAGATTGAAGCACACTTGATAATGAAAGGTAGGATTCATGGAAATCTATTTTTTGCTTTTGAAAAAGAAACAAACTATATTTGTATCAAGAATATGAAAGCTAATTTATGAGACACAAGATCAACTAACAAAGCCATGCCTCTTTCTATTATCCCATATTATCACCAGAAGAAACTCCACAATGTGAAATTACAGTGTGTTTGTTTACAAAACTTTACAAAACTTCACAAAACTTCTACTATTCATCAAAATCCCCCCTCTCCGTCCTAAAAACATCAAATCAAACATTTGTTTTTAACTTTTTATATTATACTAAATTAATTTTACATTCAAAATATCACATCAATACCTATTTATATATTCAACATTTTTACTATTCAAATTCCAAAGCAAAATCCAAACCCCCAAACAAACACACCCTTAACATGTGAACTAAAAGATTAATGTTAATTGTGTTTAACTAGAAATGAAAGTTATTAGTACTCGAGATCCTCAACCATTTTTAAAGAATGATAACTCTCCTGTTTCACAAAGCTAAAAACAGCGTACAAAGAAAGGGTCCAAAGTAGATTGGAATTTAAGTAAGGAAGACCATACACTGCCTGATATACACCCAAATCAAAGCTGAAGAATTAGAATTTCATATTATACTACTTCAAGTTCTATTTTGGCATCATAATGGTTAGATGGAAGACATCACTTAGTACCAAGTTAGATACATCAGAAAACAAATAAAGCCGAGGAATGGCATAGTCCTAAAAAGAAGAGCCTTCGAGTGTAGGCAACTTGCCAATAAGATTTTCATGAGTGGATCAATAATCCATTGAAGCATTTTACCGTCTTAAAATATCATTCAAAATGCTGTAAGAACTGTCACTAGGAAAACAAAAAATCCCAAAAACCCGAGCATTTTCTATCTAGTGAAAATGGCTAGAGCAACTGTGAAACATATCTCGAAGACGTGTTTGTCAAGCAGAAGTGTCATTCAAATTCATGAATATGACTTTTTATCAAGTATGCTTAGGGCCTACCAGAGTAGACATCTTTTCTACTACCGAAGATGTTCAACACAAAATCACAAATAAAACTGAGATAAAGTATCCAGAAGTGCTTTCTCTAAATCAATTCTCAACCAAATTGATCATTTTCTTTTTAAAGCTAAATCATGATCCAAAGTCAGGAACGAAGGTAAAAGTATCAAATACTAAACTCATTACACAATTCCATAAAAAAGTTTTTTGACTTAATTTGTAACAGAATTGCAAATCAAAGGAAAAGCAGATATGTATTGCATTTGGGTGTATGGAAACAGAAAATGTAGAGAATTTTATCAAAAAAAATTCGTCATCAATGCTCAGAATCTGTTTATAACTATAGATGATACTGGATATTAGGAAAAACATCAGTAACTTCAAACTTCTTATTTTCTTACAGTAGATTCCAAAAAAAAAAAATGTATATAAAGCAGGCTCTTTGTGAACTATCTGTTAGGTTTCTTGATGATCCTAATCTTGAACCCAGCACTTTCCACCAACCAATATATATACTTTAAAGTATATTTATATATACTTTAAAAATAAATAAATAAACGCTCTTCAATCACTTTGATTGTGTCTAATCATAAGTGTTACTCCTTCACAGAGCTTCAATACCAAACACAATTAATTCTCCGGTAAGCTTCTTATTATTCTTTTGTTTCCCAAAGTGATATTCATAAGATTAATAACAAGAACAAATTTTGCAAATCATACATCTACAGAACATAGCTCTTCCTCAAAAGTCAAAAGTATTGGTATGAGAATCAATAAATCCTTTCAGTACTAAAAAATATTGGTATGAAAACAAAATAAAATAAAATAAAATAATCCTTTCACTAGTCTTTTACTTCATTACGGACAAACTGTCAATTTCGCATGCTAATCAGGCCAACTACCAAACTATGCTCAGCAAAACAACAACGCCGCAAGGGAAAACAAAATTACAAAAAAGTTCAAATCATATGGATAGAGATGAATACTCTAATTCTAGCAGTTTGTTCATGGCCAGACTCAAGCAACTGTGATATTTCCCTTCTCATCTGCTTCACTTGCGCTTCTTTCTTATTCCTCAACAGCTTCGCCCGTGATCCCGCCAGCTTCAGCGCTGTCTTGCTGCATCAAATTCAATTTCCATTATTTCAACAACAATTTACCCAAAAATAAATCAACACACATACAAATCTCAACACCTTCAACATACATACACATATATACAGAGAGAGAGAGAAATCACTAATTCAAAAAGTAAACAACACTGCTCCATTCACAGAATCCAAAATACAAAACCGGCAACCAAAATCATCAAAACAAACCGATTTCTGCAGCATGCTACTGCGTGAATATCCAAACAAGTTTAAATAAATTACCATTTAGAAGGATTGAAGCTCCGAGAAAACAACTCCTTAGAACTCTTCAATAACTTCGATTTCTTCATCTCCAATTGAATACGAATCAAAAATCCAATGCGATTTTCCAGAAACTAATCATCGATTCCAACACCTGCAGATTGAATTCGGTCGCAGACGATTACCGATTGGAAGTTCAAAAAGGATTTATTCGCTTTCAATAATCTCTACGTTTACTTTGGAAGGAAAATTGAAATTTATTACTATTATATAGTAGTACCGCAATTTGGCAATTTGTGCAAAACAAAGTTACGCGAAGTTGTCATGGTGTAATGACCAAAATACCCTTAACAGTCCTAATAAAAATTTTGAATAAATAGATATTAAATTTGATATTTTGAATGTAAAATTGATTTTTAGTATAATATAAAAAATAAAAAATAAGTGATTTATTTTATATTTTTTAAAAAAAAATTGAATAAATAGTGTATTTAAAATTCAATTATACACTAGGTGCGACAATAAATACGAGGACAGTAAAGTCAATTTATAGAATTAATTAGCAACGACCTACATTGAAGTTTTTATGCTTTTTAGACCTTCTCGATCTTAATTATTATTTTTAAATAAAATTAACACTTTTGCTTATGTCCAATTTATTTTTAATATTAATTATTATACGAAAAATATATTATAAATTAAAAAAGTTATAAAAATATTTTTATTAATATTTTATAGTACTAAAAGATATTTATAAAAAAAAAAATTATGTAAAATAAAAATAGTTAGGGGGCCAAAACACCTCTGCTATTAGTAATATATATTGCATCAGTATATATTATTCCCTCCATCCCACGTACTATATCCATGTTATCGTGTCTGTACGTCTCACATACCATGTCATTTTTCTTTTTCAGAAAATGATTACACATTTTAATCTCATTTTAAACTTTTTAATTTTATTTCTTTAAAGATTTTAATTAAACTAATTAATTATCTTAATTTTAATTTATAATTATTTATATTATCGGATAATTATTTTCACTAATATATTTTTAATTATTTAATAATTATACCCCTTATAAAATACTGTGTCTACAGTGTGGACGGAAAGAGTATTAACAAACACATATTAATTATTTTTAAATATTTTTAATTTTGAAAAGTAAATTCTAAGACGTGTCAAAGTAAAATTTAAACTACTAGAAATTTATAGAGGTTGTGTTTATTGCAGGCTTTGCACAAGTTTTTATTGTTTATGATTCTTCTGTAATTTTTAAATTTATTATTATTACTCTCTTTGTCCCGCAGTAAGGGTGGCGTTTGTTTTTTACACGTAGATTTTTAAATATATATATTATATTTGATTATAGTAAAAAAGACAAAAATAGTCCTATGAGTATGGTGTAATATAAAGATAAAAATATTTATGTAATATATTGTAAGTTAAAATTGTATCTATTATGTGAAGTAGGTAGTACAATTATTAAATTAGGAAATGGTAACCTTGTTTTTGGACGAACGAAAATAAAAAATGGTAATCTTTCAATAGAACGGATGGAGTATTATTATTTTGTTATCATCTAAACTCTTGTGTTTTTTAGTAAAAAAAATACATTTTTTTTTTTACTTTTTTCTATTCTAAAAAATGAAAAAATTTATTTTTATTTATTTACTTTTTTAAATTTGTATCCTGTCAATTAAACATATACTTAAATGACATAGTAGTATTTTTTAAAAAATACTCCCTCCGTCCAAGCTAAAAGTATACAATTATTTTTGGTGTGAAGACTAAGGAATAATAGCATTTTAATTATAGTGGGCAGTAAAATGACATTTTTGCCCTTACTTTTTTGATATAAAAGTAATGATGTGATGTAAAGTATGGGTATTTGTGGAAAAAATGGGGTATTTAATGAAATGGTTACTTTGTAATTGGACGTCCCAAAATAGAAATATGTATACTTTCTAACTGGAATGAGGGAGTAATATACTTCTTTCGTCTTTTTATATATATATATATATATCTTATTATATTCCTTCTGTCTCATATATATATCTTATTATATTCCTTCCGTCTCATATTTATTTATCCATTTGCTTTTTATAGGGCGATACAGTAGAAATAAAGATAAAAAGACTAAACTAACCTTATTAGTATATTTGTCTAATATATTATAAATTGGAAGAATATTTGTAAGGTTAAGTAGATAGTACAATTATTATAAAAAAATGAATACTTTATTATAGAACGGACCCAAATAAAAAAATAGATAAATTATTATGGACGGATGAATTATATATTTATATACTCCATATTGAAACCTATAACGTTAAAGACGCACGTGGAAGTCAACGTCGGTCTTATTCAAATAAATAAGTAATAATAATAATAATAATAATAATACAAGAGCAAAAAAAAATGTATCATTAATCTCATTCAAATTCAAATTATTTTTTTTGTTTGGTTTAACTCAACAAATTTTATCAAAATTGGTTTTTTTTTTTAAAAAAAAAAAAATTATTATTTTTTGTTCTACCATTCAAATTTTACGTTATGGATACTAAAGTGACAACTGTGTTAGATCAAACATAATCGTATTACACAAATTAAAATATAGGTTTGTTTAAATTTACAGTACATTAACCTTCTTATTCGAATCAAACTTGGGCATGTTTAAAAAAAAACTAATCATATTCTGTATAATACGATCGTGTTCAATCCGATTCAGGTATCAACGTTCGTAACAATCACGTCAGCACGATCGATGAAATTTGAACAATAGAACAAAAAATAATGAACTCTTTTGTGTAAAACTAGTCTTGGTATAATAATAACAATAATAATTAATAAATAAATAAATAAATTTGAATAGGTGATTTTCCCTTTTAAAGAAACTTTCTAAAAAGTGGAGTTTGTCTTCACAACGTCGTCGTTTTGCAATAAGACACTTCATTTTAAATTTAAGAAAATAAATAAGGCCATACATCAAAAATTAAATTAAATTAAATTAGAAAGACTTCCGAAATTTGAAGGTTTGAATTTTGAGTTGGAATTTGAATAGTAAAAATTTTGAATTTGAATAGTTGTACGATGTGATATAAATAGGTGTTGATGTGATATTTTGAATGTAAAATTGATTTTTTTAGTATAATACTATAAAAAATGAAAAATAGGTATTTGATTTGATATTTTTGGCGAAAAAAATAGAATGAATAGTAAATTTAAAATTCAATTCCTCAAACAAACACACGCTAAGTATATGTGTCTGATTGTGACATTTTTTTGGCCGGATATGTTAATATATTTGTTTATATATTGGGTAAACTATTTTTTTTTTAGTTCCGTAACTGTACTCCCTTATCATTTTAGTCTCGTAAGTGAAGTATGTCGCAAACTAGTCCCATAAGTAAAAAATTTTCGTTGTTTTAGTCCTCCGGCGCCGGAGATGCCCGCGTGGCTCGCCGGAGGTGACGTGTCCGCCAGGTCAGTAGATTTTTTTTATTATTTTTTTTAAAACTTATTTTTAATTTATTTTAAATTTTTTTTTCTATTTTTTATTTTTTTTATTTGGTCCAATTAAAAAATTAAAAAAAAATCTACGTGTCTGCCAGATGTCGCTGACCTGGCGGACACGTCACCTTCGGCGAGCCACGCGGGCGTCTCCGGCGCCGGAAGACTAAAACAGCAAAAAATTTTCACTTATGGGACTAATTTGCGACATGCTCCACTTACCAAACTAAAATGATAAGGGGTCCAATTACGAGACTAAAAAAAATCGTTTACTCTATATTTTATATCTGATTGTGACATTTTTCGGCCGGATATGTTAATTTATTTATTTATATATTTTTTTATATGTTAATTTATTAATACGGTGATGTGTTGATCTTGGTATGACTTCACATGATATATGTACCTATATATTTATTTATTTATTGAATTTTAGTATAAGCATATTATTGAATTATGGCGTAGACATATTAAAATTTAATATTCTTCTGTCCCAATAAGTAAATATCTATTTATTTTTTTACAAAGTATAAACTACTAAAATAATCTTATTAGTACGTGTGATATAAAAGTAATGATATTTGTGTAATATAATAACCTTATTACAAAATAAATAAATTAAATGCATATACAGTAAGTGAATATACTACTTTGAATGGATAATTTATGTTTGTGTTATTTTTGTCAAAACTAAAAAAGAAACTAATGCTCCCTTCGTCCCAAAACTATAATCTGAGTTGTATTTGATACGAGATTTAAAAAATACTAATATTATATTGGTAATGTGTAAAAGATTTTTTGCTCTTATGAGTGTATTAATGTAGAAAGTAGTGGCAATTGTGTAATAAAAATGAAAAAGTATGGATAAGCTTATGGTGATATGGTTATTTATGAAAATAAGACTATTGTTTTGAGACGGACAAAAATAGTAGTCAAAAATATTGTATTGAGATTGAGAGAATATGTTTTTTTTCAAAAAAAAAATAATATTTTATATATATTTATTATTTTTATATTATATATATATTTGATTATTTTTTTGTTTATGAATACAATAAAAATATAGGAAATGTATTATATAAATTTGTTTAAAGTTGGTTTATTATTGAACAAGAAATTTTGGTAAACAAGAAAATAAGGGTGTGTTTGTTTGGTGTTTGTTAAGTTTTGGATGCATTTGTTTTGTAAGTTTCGAAAGTGTAGAATTTTTTTTTGATATTTTTGCCCATTAATTTTATATATAAAATAATTGTATATTTAAGATTATACTTGTAATTTAAGTAAAAATTAAGAATATTTTAATATTAGTATATAAATACTTTTACTAAAATAGAAAATAAATATACTTTGGAATGAAAAGACAAGTGGTAAAAAGAGTATTTTAAATTGAGACGAAAATAGTATAATTTTTCTTATAAATATTACATTAAATAATTGTTTGATAAAATAAAAATTTAAACCACACAAATACTAAAGCCAAACACCAAAACATAGTTGGAAGCAATTGGTGCATTTAGTTTATGTTTTCTCGAATGTATATTTTTTTATATGAAGTACGAAAAACCCGTGTCAATAATATAAAAAATAATATATTGCATTAATTTTTTTTAATAAATAAAATATATATTGCGTTAATATGTATATATATATTGTACTCTTTCCGTTCCATAACAAAATATCCATTTTTCCATTTTAGTCCGTCCCATAACAAAGTATCTATTTCCTTTTTTAGTAACTGTACTATCTACCTAACATTACAAATACCCTTACAACTTATAATATATTACACAAATATTATTACCTTTATATCACACATACTAACAATGTTATTTTAGTCAATTCTACTTTAATATTTCTAAAACTCTTTTGGGACGGAGAGAGTATTATTTATACTAATATTTATAAAGAAGCGTACCACAAAAAAATACTAAGGGTGTGTTTGTTTGAAGGATTTTGTGGGATTTCTACTATTCCCACAAAATTTTTCCTTCAAAAATATCAAATTAAACATTTATTTTTTATTTTTTATATTATACAAAAAATCAATTTTACATTCAAAACATCACATCAATTCTTATTTATATCATATCATATAACTATTCAAATTCAAAATTTCTACTATTCAAATCCCAATCCAAAATCCAAACCCCAAACAAACACATCCTAAGTGAACAAACTCATGCTCTACATAAAAAATAGTACATTACTTGAGAGGTTTTGATTTTGAATAGTAAAATTTTGAATTGAAATAATTGTTTGATGTGATATAAATATTTGAAATTTATTTTATTACCATTTTCCATATTTTAATCTTCATTCTTTGTGAATAATTCTAGACGTGGATATATATATATATAATTAAAATAAAACAATAGGCGATTTATTTGATTTTTAAATCTAAAAGTCCATTGGAATAAGTTGATGTCTAATATATTTGTCAAGAGTTGAAAATTAAGGCTTTGTTTTGTTGGTTTGTAACCAAACTTCTTCTTTCTTTTTTTTTTTTCTTTTTTTTTTTTTAAATTGTCAATTCTCACCAAAAAATAAAATAAAATAAAAGATAGTAAAATGCATTATTTACATATTAAGAAAATATATAGAGACTAGTCACTAGTGGACATATAGAGAGAGAGAGGAAAAGTATTTTTGTTAGTGTAATATGCAACACTAATTCTATATTTTAATTTCGGGAAAGCTATAAATGTTCAAAGAATACTTTTGAGTGTAATTTTTTTTTTTTTAGAATTTAATTAACTACAATATTTTTTTTATTGTTTGAACAATGGTTTGGTGTAATAATTATATGAAAAAAATAATAAATATTTATAAAAAATTGCCATAATTATATAGTTAAAAATTGGAACTAATTTATTAAAAGAACAAATTTTCATGTATAATACCTTCCAAAACACAAGCTTAACGAACCCTTAAATAAATCTGTAACATAGTATTTGAGAATAAAGCGGTGGTATAAACCCCCCCCCCCAAAAAAAAAAAAGAAAAAAAAAAAAAAAAAAAAAAAAAGAAGAAAAAGAAGTTGAATTTGAATTTTAAAATGAGTTTAAATTTTAAAATGGATTTAAATTTATGTATTTCTTTTGGTGTAAATTTAGAGGGTGTATTCAATATAGATTTTGTAAAATTTTGTTGAAGTTGTATTCAATCAAGACTGTCTTTTAAAATCTTGATGTGAAAATTTTGTATCGGAAAAAATCTCTCCTGATCATCATAGATTTTGATGAATTCTTAAAATCATTATTATTATTATTATTATTATTATTATTATTATTATTGTTGTAGTATATATGATCAATAGTATGATAATATTTATTACTATTATTATAATTTTTAATAAAAATAATAATTTAAAACTAAAATATATTAGCAAATTATTATAAATTTTTTGTAAATATATATTTTTATGTTATAAATATAATTTTTAAAAATATTATTATCACAATAAATGTGTATTACTGTCGTATTTTCTTTCAATTATCAAATACACTATATTATCATTACGATAACGGTAAAATAGATATTTAAATATATATTTTTTGTTGAACCGTTAATTTATATTTATTTATTTTAATATTTTTTCAAAAATCATAAATTATATTTTTTATTTTATTTATATAAGTATTTACTTTTTATGTAAAAAAAAGTTATATAAATAATAATAATAACTAATAAAGAAATATAAAACTAATTTGATATATTGAATGATAATATAATACTAAAATTATAAAATTAAAATTAATAATTTAGAATATAGTAGTATTATAAATGTATATTCTACATTATTAATACTTATATATTATTTATTAATATTAAATATTATTTTATTAATAATTATTTATTATATTTATAAAATTTGTTGTTTGATATAAATTTATATAATTAATATATATTCACAAAAAAATTATTTTACAATCCTACAAAATTCATATAAATCCATAAAGAATTCAATCAAATTCATAAAAATCAATCTAAATCAATTACTAAAATCCATAGACTCTGTGGATTTTATAAATCCACGTAAATCCATAAACTTTTTAAAATCCAAAAAAATCTCAATTGAATACAATCCCTTAATTTGAGTATAGAGAGTTTTACCAAGTATGATTTGATAAATAGTAAAATATAATAATATGAATATGTATTGAATTTAAATATTTAAAATTAATAATACTATAATTTGAATATAAATTTATATTATATTTACATATATATTTTAAAATTTTTATTTATTTGTACAAATATTCTTCTATTAGTAATAGAAATACTTGTCTTTTTTTTCTTTAATTTGTACTATATTTTGATATAATAATCATTATTAAAAAAAAAAATTAAATATAACCTTTAGAGTCGGACAATGTAATATTACAAAATGTTTGGAATAAAAGAGGGAGTATATACTATTGTTTGGTCATATACTATATTTATATTATATTAACATATATTTTTATATTATATTGTCATATTAAAATACATCTTGTGATATTAGTTTTTACCTAATGAGCTAATTAATCTCAATCGACACCGTAACCGTCGCCATCTAACTTGGGTAAAAAAGGTTAAATAATCAATGTGACCAATTTGCATTCACCTAAAAACCTCTTTTTATCTCCATGGAAGTATTTTAGGACATTTTATCGTTAGTTATTGAAAACGGTAAAAGTAAACAAACTCAAGCTAACTACCTTAATCCATGACTCATCTATTAAGTGAAAATTTACTCCAGACTTGTAACAAAGCAACTATTGTGAAAATTTACTCGAAAAGTGAATTTACCTTAGTCGCCGTAATAAGTTGCAGCCGTCTCCAATCTCCACGACAAGTCCGGGATGGAGCACCATTAGCGCGACTCAAACCTCTGTGCAGAGCAGTTAAAAAAACATAACAAAAGCTAGGATCAGCTGAGAATTAAAAATCTGCTCTCCCAAAAGTTTTCATGAAATTGGAGTTTTTACTTGAAAAACAACTTTGTGGTTGTATTTTTCTACGGGCCAAAAATCACGAATTAAATGAGAGGGATGAAAATAAATGAAAGATGACCCGCCAAAAGTGGAGGCGATGTTTGTCATGGGGGCGTGTCGAGTTCTACAACTCTGACTTTGAGCTCGCTGTCCTGCTTCGCCACCACTGCCTTATTCTGTGTGAAACTTTGTCGGCGTGGCCTTTCAGTTTCTCCCCGGCGTCGAAGACTTCTTTCTTGACCCTCTCCTTCCAATCCAGCTTCTTTGTTTCTTTCTGTTTTAGTACTTTCCCCTGAATCAAGACAAGTTAATGCACTGTTTAAGAACTCGGAAAGGAAAAGAAAGGAACACTTTTATGCTTCTACTTTAAAAGTTTTGGAAAGACTTTGGGTGTGTTCGTTTATGTGATTTTCTCAAAATTTTACTATTCATCAAATTTTTTTCCCCCCAAAAGTATTAAATTAAACACCTGTTTTTCATTTTTTATATTACACTTAAAAATCAATTTTACATTCAAAATATCACATCAATATACCTATTATTATCACATTATACAAATATTCAAATTCGGTGTGTTTGTTTGGGGTTTGAATTTTGAGTTAGGATTTGAATAGTAAAATCTTTGAATTGGAGTAGTGGTACATGTAAAATAAATAGGTGTTGATGTGATGTTTTGAAGGTAAAATTGATTTTTAGTATAATACTAAAAAATTGAAAAAATAGATATTTGATTTGATGTTTTGGGGAAAAAAATTTGGTGTATTAGTAGAAGTCAATGGAAATCCGCCAAACAAAGACACCCTTAAAAAATTTTACTATTCAAATCCTAACTAAAAATCCAAACCTCCAAACAAACACACATGTAATTTTCATTTTTAATCGGTATTTGCTAGTAAAATAGTATGTTTCATTAACACCTATAAATCTATATCTCCAGAAATTATATATACTTTTTATCATATTATTAAGGTTTAAATGTCGTATACCTAAACCATTATATTTATACACAATTCAAAGACTGCTTTAATATTTACCTTAAGTTCTAATTGTGACCTTAAGCAATAAGATTAAGCACTGGAAAAACTAGGAAAATGATGGCAAAGAGGAATTGGAGCATGTTCTCACCAGCTTTGACGGAAAATCTGCCTCGTCGTCGTCATCTTCATCTGCATCCTCATCGCCAAAGTTCTGGTTCATCAAATCCTCCCGCGAGTACATCTTCATCCCTGGTGCTCCGGGCATTCCCTAAAGCAATTAAATGCAACTGAAAAGTTAACAGACCATATTAAACAAGTATCAATGTCAATCATTTACTTCCTTTTCTTACTTCCATCGATTTCATCAGCCGCTCCATCTCCGCCTCTTTCTCAGACTTGGCAAGAAATGGCTCTCCTGGAACCCTATCCTGAAGAACAAAAGGAACAAGAAGCAAACTCAATACAAGAGCATGTTGGTTCAACAGCCATTGAATTAATCTCCGGAAAATTTTGTTATGTATTTGCGAACCTAGAGACTCCCATAGAGTTTGTGAATATAGAAGTATCAAGCTAACAAGAACAAATAGCTTCAGTCTTCAATCATTATCATATCCTTTCAAGAAAAATCATTATCACAAGTACCGTTGACAGTTTTCTTTTATTATTACATCTTTAATCTTAAATCCTTCTCCTTATATCATAACAGAAAAGATCTTGAACAATTGTGCAGGTTTGCGAAGAATAAATACATATATACAAATATCAAAATTTCACTAGATAGACAAACACTTCCATCCACAGATACAAAGCATCAAATGAAAAGATCTAGCAAAGGAACACATAACAGATATGCATCGAGGGTCATTAACAAAACTTGTCAGCCAGTGTTCGAGCAATACCTTAGGGACTGGTGGTGGGTCTGAGGTGCACGCATCTGTAAGGTCCTTACAAACGAACTTTACAAAAGAACCAAGCTGGGGTTTCTTTTTATATAAATACTCTGCAGCATCTGTATCAGAATAACCCAAAACCTACGAATCCCGTATTCAAAAGTTAGTCGTTGAACTCTATCTTTAATGTGAGCTACACGATAACTGTCACAAACTAATTGTCCAACTCGGACTTTAAAATTTGGCTGAATATAACAGAAATGCATATCTGATCTACATACGTCAGTTCGAATTGATTAACTAAACCACCAATTTTTTGGTCAATGCTGAATCATTTGTCACGATACTAAAAGAAAAATGGATTCCAATTATCAAACAACGTGAATCAATCAAGCTTCAGTACATATGCAACCAGCAGAATAAAGGATATCCTATGAAAATTTTTAGTATAGCAAAATAAATGCGAAAAGCTTCATCTTTTCTGCAACAACATATTGGAAAGAACAATGAATATGCTTGAAATCTCACCTCTTGGCAAGCTCGCTCGATTGTTTTACATTCTGAATTGCACTGTCCTTCGGAATCTTGCTCAACAAGCTGGACACAATTCATCTATTAGTAACTGTCAAGATAAACTTACCCTTAAACAAGAGCACGAGTATATCTAAAATGTATACCTCCAATTTGTCCCCTTTCTCAACAATATCAATTTTAAGAATCCAATCAGCTTCTTTCTTCTTCAGATTACAAACATTCTCAGCAATTTCTATAATTTGATACTCCGATACCTGCTTCCAGTTTCCCAAAAATCACATCCAAATCGTCGAGAAACAAGTAAATAAATAAGAAAATCACCAATAACACATTCTCAGTACGAAGCACACAACTCATAACAGAATAAAGAAATAATCCGCCGGAAAAGAGCAAACTATGAGCACAAACAAAAACACGTTCATCGCAATAATTGCGCACACCTAGTTGTGAATTGAAACAACGACAATAACTCATATAAAAAATAAATAAATTCACCTTCTTCGGAGAGATCTCAGCTTCCTTGGCTTGAACCTGGCGGAATATTTCGGACGATAACTTCTCGCAGACTTGGCATTTTATAAAGGGAATGTCTTCTTTTCTGGCCAATCCTGCTGGTTTTTTGGCGCAATGAGACGACGGAATCCATAAACATACTAGTACCAGTGCAAATACCGCTAGAAAATGCAGTGATCCGCCGAATTTCGCCATGACTGCGACCTAAGAAAACGCAGAGCACTGCACAACACACACTGATCAGAGCTGAGCTGAGTCCGACTTTCCGTGCAGTGATTTTCGGTTTTCGTTAAACGACGTCGTTGTGGTCATCGAACTTTGCCTTACGTGTTCTTTTGTTTCTGATTGGTCTATAAATGCCACGTGTCTTGGACCCCATCGATGACGTGGGAATATAATTTCACCTAATTAATACTCCATATTCAAATGGCCGTGCTTGTTTTTGCGATTTTCATCCGGTTTTAACAACACACATATAGCTGGCGAATAGCACGTAAGGTCGGTGACAATCGTATCATTTATATCAATATAATATAAATTTAACATTACACAAAGAGCTAGTAAATAACAGACAGTAATATTAGTGACAATATATCATTTATATTCATATAATACAAACACAGTACATGAAACAGTTCATTTCAACACATGATATACACTTATACAATAATTCATTATTACAAATAGGACATGCTGTTTTTAATAAAGATTTGTTCACCGTACTTATTTCTCCAAACCAGCGTCAGCATCGTAACCTTCCCCGGTGTTATAGTACAATTACTATTAAACCCAACCTACAAATCTTTTTCAACTCCAACCCATCCATCCTCTCTATTGCCACGTGGACACAAATCAATTTTCATTTTATTTATTTAATTTTTTATATAATTTTTTAATTGTCGGTCTCAATTCAAAATATATATATATTTTTTTTATCATTTTAATTTGTTTCCCTCAAAATTTATCTTTTCTTTTTAACAAAAGTAATTTTATACTAAATCAAAATATTATTTAACTTTTATTTAATTATAAATATAGCATTACATATCTAATTATTTTTGTCAAAAAGATCATGAATTTCTACACACTTTCACTGATCAATAAAATTATATTACATTTTAATATACTACAAAATTTCAAATTACTCCTTTAGAGTGAGATGAAAGAAATACTCCCTCCGTCACAAAAAATGTGTCTTATTAAAAAACTAAAATGTCAGTTATAGTAATAATCAAGAGTAGTTTAAAAAAATTTAAATAATTTTATTATAAAGTGAGAACCACAATTAGTAAATAAAAAAACAAGACAATTATTTTGAAAGGAACAAAAATAGAAAAATAAGACAACTATTTTGGGATATATTTTATATCATTAGATAAATTCTTGAGTCATCTTTTAAATTTCTTAGTTGGTGATTGATCTAGTGTCAAAAATAAAGTTATAGTGAAATGAATAACCAAAATATATTGTTTTAATAACATGGTTTTAAAAAAATGTCACTCCCTCCTCCCTATCATCAAAATTTATATTAGATTCGGCCGGGGTTTATCCAATGCGCACTTTCGGTAGCGATTGTGAATTCCCACGTTATAAAATATATATATATATATATTCATTGATTGAACACAAATTTTAATAAAAGTAAATAATAATAGTAATATTTTCATTTTGTAGTCTAAAACACGAAAAAAAAAAAAATAAAAAATATGATACTCCTTCAATCTCATATATTCTACAATGCTTTCTATTTTGATATGCCTTATATATTATTCAATATTTTCAAAATAGAAAATAATCGATTATACTCCATCTGTCAAAAAAAATGTGTCTTATTGGGTGTCTGCACGATATTTTAATTGAAAGTAAATATAAAGTATAATGTAAATGAGGATTTTAAAAAGTAAGCTAGAGTAACATTTGAAAAAATATGAATAATTTTTACTATGAGAACAAAAATTGAAAAACTAGACAATTATTTTTGGACGAATGGAATATTTTATTTAATCACATAATTTAAATAATAAATAAATAAATATACACTTCTATTTTTATCACTTAGGTCTCCATTTATTCTAATTAATATTAACCATCAATCGAAATCAAATATTTTAGCAGAGACATAGTGAATATTATTTTTTACTAAATAAATTAAATCAAATTATTATTTTTCTTTCCAATTTTAAGTATAAAACTTTATTCTCTTACATATGTATCACATTCATTTTATTTTTTCTTTATTTTTTTTATAACTTGAGAACTCGCAGTGTTTTCATCCTCTCAAGCAATTAATTTTGAAATTTTGATATACTCTTATTATATGTAATAAAAACTCGATTTCATAACCATTCTACATTACCTTAAATTATTTAACTTATAGGTTTTTTTGGTTTTTTTAAATTCATATTTTGATTTCTTATGATTTTATTTTTACATATCATATGAAAATTTTATTCTTTTTTAATTTAATATTTTTACATATCATATTTCTGTCACAAATGATTGATTTTTTTTTTTTGTCCCGTCACATAAGAAATACCATTAGTAAATTTATTCATCTTAAATACACTTTACAATTTTTTAACCTCCTAGGCATGATACCCACTCAAAACCCTTTTATTTATATTTATATTTAATAGATAAATGCTTTTATCTATATTTAAAATTCTTTAATTTTTATAAAATATATTTTAAGTTAATTATAAATAAATATATATGTTTGTTTATTTATTTATATTATATTATATTTTATTATTTATAAAATATGATATCTATATTGTATATATTTTATTAAAATATAATAATAAAATATTTAAATTAACAATCAAATTTTTATATAAAAAATAATAAAATAATATTATAACTTATTATTAATAATTTAGTAAATCACCTAAATTACTTGCCAATTTAAAATAATAATATTTAATTAAATATTTTATAAAATATAAAAATACTGCTCCATGTCAAGTATAATCTAGTATTTTTCATTTTGATCCGACTCACTGTCTCTTGTCTCTTTTCAAAAGTATTATACTTCCTCTGCCTCAAACACTGTCTACATTTCATTTTTTATGTGTCAAACATCTGCAATATTTTAAAATAGGAAATAATTAATTATATCTAATTTGTACCTCACAATTTATCCCCTCACATCATCCAAATAAAAAAATAAAATATATATTTCTTTCTCCATCCCATCACCTAATTTCTAAATTATTATATTTAATACTACCCAACTAAAAACCCGTATCAAAAATAAATATTGCACTTTATTTGGAAAAGAGAGAGTATATTTTAATTATATTTAAAAATTTTTAAATTTTTAATTTTAATTATATTAATAAATTATTTTAATTTTAAATTATAATTATTTTATTAATAAATTTTTAATTATTTACTAATCATACCTTTTCAAAAGTATTTTTAAAAAATGTAAATTCTAAATAAATTGGAATTTTTTTTTTACAAATAATTTGTGTTATAACATAATTTTTATAATTAATTATTCAATAATAATAATTACTTCAGCCCGTTTATTCGAATAGATTCTTCCATACATTTTGCCGGCAGAAGGGCTTCTCCAAGAAAGTTTCGATTCTACATACCATCGCTGATAGATACTTAGTCTCGGGTTCGATTTCACGATTTTACCCGCCATTGCTGCAATTTCATGGTTTAATTCGTTGAATTCCGGGGTTTCTGCAGAGGGAAGCATGAGTAAATCATCGTTGCCGCTGGAAGATGTGCGAGGGCGGGAGAAGCAAATTCTCAAGGAAGAATCTTTGGTGAAGCTGTTGCGATGGCATTTTGGGCATTCTGATTTCAGAGGGAAGCAATTGGCTGCCATTCAGGCTGTTTTGTCAGGTTTCCTTTCGTAAATTTGATGGATATTCTGCTTATGCACTTCCTACCGAGGCGTGTGAACTTCATTCGTTGTTGTTCGAAATTTCGATTATAGAACGCTGTTGATTGAATTTCAGGTCGAGATTGCTTTTGTCTGATGCCCACCGGTGGTGGAAAGTCGATTTGCTATCAGATTCCGGCAGTCGCGAAATTGGGGATTGTGCTTGTTGTCAGTCCTTTGATTGGTGAGAATGTCCTGACTTTGGTGATACTGTTTATCTTTTGATAGCTTATACTACACAGGTTCGTTCTTCTTTTTGTGATTTTTCCAGGAAAATAATCTGATTGCTTTATCCTGTGATTTTTGTTTCAATTGTCAGCTCTTATGGTGAGTGCACTTCATCTTTTAGGTTTTATATGATTCTGGTGTGTTTTTGTTCATTTGTATTTTCATATAATAGGAAGCATTGCTCTCTCTATCAGGAGAATCAAGTGGCAGCATTAAAGGAAAAAGGAATTGCTGCTGAATACCTCTCTTCGACGCAGACTGCCAAGGCCAAAAATAAGGTGTGGGATGATTTTAATTTTCAGTAAGAACTGTGATTAGTGTCGCATTCGTAGGCCTTATTATTGTGTTAGCATTCTCGACTTAATTTTATAAATGGATGATATATATTGACCAAGAAACTGTCTTTGCATTTGTTTTAATACTTTACAAGTCTAATTATTGGTGCGGAATATTCGTTTCATCTTATCAGTTAATTAGAATGTCTATGTTTTTGTAGGAAGTGTATTATGAACTGAATTTTCCTAATGTTATAGTCAAACAATAATGTTTTATTATCTAAGAAAATTTGTACCAATTGAAGAGTTGAAATATCTTCGGTGGGTGTTACTTGTCAATGACGTGAATTGATATCAGAAACTAATTTTAGAGTTCTTACGGCCTAAAATCAGTGCAATGAATCTAAGCTTGACTCAAAGCTCAAAGTTAGAATGGAAATTGGATACATATAGTTCGAATACCAAATTAAAAATAGCTCTCACATATATATGAAATGTAGAGTTAAAATGAATATAGATACAAATTATTTCTGTGGTAAACTTCAAAGATGGGATTGCAAGCTTACTTGTGACCGTTTATTCAACACAACCATTATATATTCTACAACTGTATCAAACCGAAAGTCATTCATATCTCTTGTGTTTTCTTTTTTATTCTTATACGAACTATAGATTGCTAGTTTTGTTACTTGGATTTTGTTCGACTCACATTTTCTGTATTATTTAATGTGGAGAACTATTTAGTCAAAATGCTTTTGGAGCTATGTAATGAGTGTTTTTTCAACAAGATTGTATTGTTGTATTGATACAATTGGTGTTGATATTTAGATATACGAAGACCTTGAATCAGGAAAGCCAGCTCTGCGGTTATTGTATGTTACACCTGAACTTATTGCAACACCGGGTTTTATGACGAAATTGATGAAGATTCATGGCAGAGGGTTGCTAAATCTAATTGCAATTGATGAGGTTCGAAATTACATGGCTTCAATATCATAAACAGATAGTTGTGGAAGAACATTGAATGATTTTGTGTTTATTTTAACATCGTCAGTCGACTCAGTCCAGTATTTTTACATGCCCTTTATTATTATTGTTAGGCACACTGTGTATCAACATGGGGCCATGACTTCAGGTTATTACTCGAACTTCACCTTGTATTTACGCATCACTTTCCTTGATTTATCTTCTCTGCTCCTGTCTGCACAAATACTATGGTTTTTCTTGAGTTCTGTTCTACCATTGTACACATTTAAATAATTTAAACTCATCTTTGGCTGTTCAATTATTTAGGCCAAGCTACAGAAAACTTTCTTCTTTGCGGAAAAGTTTGCCAAACGTACCAGTTTTGGCCTTAACAGCTACGGCTGCTCCCAAGTAAGTCTGATCAAAATAATGTCGACAGAAGTAGCATCTGTATCCCTGTGCCAAAAAAAACTTATCCTTTGATTTTTGTTCAACGGAAACAGTGAAAGTGTTACTAAAATATTTTATTTTTGTAATTCTTTGAGATATTTTTTGAAAGTAAATAATGTATATTTTATTGGGAATTATGTGTATTGGAATAATGTTAGATCAAAGCAAACACACTCATACTTTCTCGCCCAAGAAACTAATTAATAATATAGAAACTGGATGGAGGTTAACCCAGTGTTTGGTACTTCTGCAGAGTTCAGGAGGATGTGATATCGTCCTTGTGCTTGCAAAGCCCACTCATTTTGAAATCATCGTTTAATCGTCCTAATATCTACTATGAAGGTGAGGTTCCCTAACTTGATTTTTCTTACCTAAGCATCTCCCGACGGTTTGTTCTATGCACATTTCTGAGGAGAAAGCATGCAGAGTTTTCATTTTTAACGGGCTTTTGTTGAAATTTTCAGTCTAATGAGTTATTCATGTTTTGAAGTTGAATTAGTCATTTATTCTCTATAAAGTTAAAGGCAATTGAAAAATACAATCTGATTTAGTATGATCAAAATTGTATAGGCCAACCGAGTTAGTCTGTACATTACTGAAAATTGTGATGAACTCTATATGTGTTTTACGACATGTAGTTCGCTATAAAGACCTTCTGGATGATCCGTATTCTGATCTGTGCAATTATCTCAAATCCCATGGAAATATTTGTGCTATTGTTTACTGCCTGGAGCGTACTGCTTGCGATGATCTAGCTGCCCACCTGTCCAATACCGGAATCTCTTGTGCTGGTAATGATCTTTGCAGTTTCCAGGGAATTACTGAATTTTGATACCACTCTTTCCAACCTGATTTTCTTCCGTTATGCATAGCATATCATGCCGGATTGAACAGTAAACTGCGGACCTCTGTCCTGGATAATTGGATCTCATCAAAAACACAAGTAATTGTAGCTACAGTTGCTTTTGGGTATGTCGTCTTTTCATTTTTCTGCCTTAATATATCCGTACTTCAGCAATAGTGTTGTTTTTAAGTCATATTTTCTTTAGTTTCAGCAAATTAGGACTTCAATTTTCGTATTAGTGTATTTAAATCTTCTTTGACGGAAGGAGTTAAAGTAGTACTAGATTTGACTCTGGAAAATTGCAATTCTTGATGAATATTACTCCAAAAGGTTTGGTGGCCTAGTGCGGCATGATACGAGTCTTTCCCATGTAAACATGAACTAAACTGTCATTTTATGCCCCAGTCACGTGCCATATTGCTGTATGAGGGGAAAATTCATTATATTATCTTCAGCGTAAGGAATAACCTGACCCCGCCGTATATCAGTGTCTTTATTTTCTTGCTTTGATCAATTTATCGTTGACAGTGAGTTGAGATACTCTGAAGAAAAGTTAAGGATATTTCTAGTACTCAGGCCTTTTTTTTTTTTCTTGTTCTCTTTTTCTTTGCATATTGTTCATAAATTTGAAAATTGTGGCCACAGAAGATAGTAAAGATGGTAGTTACAAGGATTCCGAATTTCATCAGTATCTAACTTAAAGATGCAATTTGTTAAGTTCAGAAAATTTACTGGTATCTTTGCTAGGTTTTAACTTTTAACTCTTCTAATTAACCGATTGCCATGGTTAATGTCATTGCCTGAATAATCTGATTATCATTACTTGGGAGTAACCTTGAGTTCTATTTATCTTGGCTTGTGTTCGTTGCGAAATTGCGCTGGAGCTTTCAATTTCATGCACCTCTTCTGAAGCGATGGTCTTAGTGCAGGATGGTATGAAGCTATTCTTGTAAATAGTCATCATTATATACAAGTCGTCTACCGTGGAACAGAGGCTAAAGTACATATCCACCATGGGTTTCTGCTTTATTGTTTTAGGGCATAGATCGGAAGGATGTCCGAGTTGTTTGTCATTACAACATTCCCAAGTCTATGGAAGCCTTCTACCAAGAATCTGGTCGAGCCGGTCGTGATCAATTGCCATCTCAAAGTTTGTTGTATTATGGAGTGGACGACCGAAGGCGACTGGTTGGTTATCATTTCTCCGATTGATTCTGCTATTCTTTCTCGAGAAATATATGACGGCTCCGGTTTTAAAATTTAACGAGTTTATTAACAGGAATTCATCCTGAGTAATGCGGCGAGCAAGAAAAAGTCACATTCTTCAAGCTTCAATGAGGATTCCTCCAAGAAGTCATTAGCTGCCTTCCGCCAGGTAAATACGAGCACTCATTAACTACGGCAACGGTCTACATTGTATGATACATCATTGCTTAACATCACTTTCTAGATGATTGAATATTGTGAAGAGTCTGGTTGCCGAAGGAAAAAAATCCTAGAAAGCTTTGGGGAAGAGGCGCCGGCAACATTGTGTGCAAAATCATGCGATGCCTGCAAACATCCTAGTATGGTCTCGAAGTATTTGGAGGAGCTTACGACCTCTATTTCACTTCGGAGTAGACATGGATCTTCCAGAATATACATGAGCAGGTAAGTTCTTGTTTATACACATCTATTGCTTATAGTATAAAGGAAAAATTGCTTATAAGCCAGTTTGAAAAGTCACCATACTCCTTTCGCAATTTAGGAATTATGCAAAACTCTTTTGTATTTTAAAAAAGATAAAATTGTCTATAACTTTCTTGTGATTTTGAAATAAATCCCTTATTTACTTTAAAAATTGCATGACGTCCCCTTATACTTTAAAAAATATTGCATGAAACCCCTACGTGACACCCCTTGTACTTTCAAAACTGCAAGGCACCCTTGTACTTTCAGCGTGAAATCTCTCTTTATTTAAAAAATTGCATGGCACCCCTAACACTTTCAAAAATTTTGGATGAAATCCTCCATCATGTCAAAAATATAGATAAAAAATCATCTTCTCCATCATACAAGGGATGTTTTATGGCGGTGGGGTTTCGTGCAATGTTTTGTAAAGTATAAAGGGATTCCATGCAATTTTTTAAAACAGAGAAATTTCACGCTGAATTTCGAAACTACGTGGGAGTTACGAGCAATTTTACCTTTAAAATAGTGTAGAATTCTCAAGGAATAATATGGGTGAGCAATTTTACCTTTAAAAAATAGTGTAGAATTCTCAAGGAATAATATGGGTCTCCCTTGCATTTTCGAAAATATTGCGGGGATTCTGTGCAATATTAAAAAGAAAAACGAGAGAGGTTTGTGTAGTTTCTTAATCATAAGGGAGAATAGTGCAGATTTTCTGAACAAAATGTGGGTTATAAACAAGTTTTCCAGTAGAAAATGTTGTGACTGGATTTGTTCGATTCACGGAAAAATGATTACGATTATAATAATTTCATGGCTTATTCGCAGTGCTTCCGATTTCAATGATGCTGAACCACTCTCAGAATTTTGGAATCGTGACGACGAAGCAACCGCATCTGAAGAAGACATATCTGATTTCGATGGTAAAGCTAAATCGCCGAAACATACAGTTGATAATTACGTTTGCTTACTAACACAATTTTTCTCTTTCGACTTCAGATCCTGTTGAACTTGCGAAAAGTGTCGCCCTTTCAAGTAAATCTTCAGAAAGGAGATTACACGAGAGAATGGAGTCGTTGCAGCGCGCCGAAGAAAACTATTACCGTAATCAAAGAAACCAAGACAAACAGGTCGACCCCGACCACCTTCTTCCCATATCTTTCATTTGCATTAATTTCGACTAACATTTTTTCTGTGTCAAAAAGATGAACAAAGCCGACAAAAACAACATTTCCGGAACATTGAGGGAATCAGGGAGGCAACGGCTACTAAACGCCTTGAAGCAAAACCAGGATCGTTTCAGCGCCTTGCAGTACGTTTTTTTCATATCACATTACTCGTTCCAATTCACCCCGAAACAATCACAATACAGGGATAACAATAGGTTCGAGTAAACCGGACCCGGACCCGACCTATTTATTCGGGTCGGGTCCAATCATTCGGATATCAGGTCCGAGCCCGGTCGGATATTGTGTGCTCTTGTCGGGTGTGGATCGGATCTCGCATCCGAGGGTGGACCCGACCCGAACCCAATTAATATATTACTAATATATCCATTATATGTATAAAAAAAGTAACTTATAATAATATAAATTATATTAAAAATTTTAGTTTAATTTATTTATTTTTTATGATTTTATTATCCTCCCTCTATCCCAAAAGAGATATTTGAGATTGACACGAGAATTAAGGAATAATAATATTATATTAATAGTAGCTGTAAAAGTATTTTCAAGAGATCAAAATGACCCAACTCTATATAATAATTATGACAAAAAGTGAGATAGTTTTGTAAAAAATGTGAGGAGCTTGTTACAAAAATGAAAATGAGGCCATTGTTTTGGGTTAGACGAAAATGACAAAATACGATTATTGTTTTGGACGGAAGAAGTAATATTTTTTGAATAAATTATATAAATTTTAATATATGTCGGGTCCAGATTGGGATCCAAATTTAAGTTAAATTTTAATTATTGTAAAAGAAAATTATGATCTGTCGGGTCCATCGGGTATTGTTTGGGTCGGGTCTAGGTATAATCGGGTCTAATTCGGGTATCGGGACCAGCTATGTGTGTTCAGGTCGGGTCTCGGGTCCGACTGGCCCGACCTATTGCCATCTCTATCACAATCATCTCGTCTCATTTTATTTTTTCAGGATCGACTTCGCTGCATCAGCGGAGGCACTCGAGGATCAATGCTACAAGAAATACGGGAAAACCGGCAAGTCCTTTTATTTATCCCAGTTAGCGAGTACCGTAAGATGGCTGCCAACAGCAACCCCCGACGATCTAGCGATTAGGCTCGACAATGCACGACCCGAGGAAGAGAAACCGGAACCAACTTTTTCTTCGCCACGACCATCCTTGTCGACAAACAAGAGTTTTGTTCCCGCGGCTAGCTTTGTTGCCTACTCGCCTCTTTCCCGGGATACGGCTGCTCCGCCGGCAATCCCGTCGTTTTCCGAGTTCATTAACAGTAGAAAAGCTAGAGACGGAGAAGCTTCTGCAGAGAAAAGGAAGGGCAGCCATGGAGATTGCAGAGGTATGGAGAAGAAAATTAAGTCTTGATTTTTTTTATTTTAAGTGAATTTTTTAGGTTTCTCATCTAATATTTGGATTTAAATGATGGATCTTTTTGTTTAGTTTGAATCTTTTCTTTATGGTGCTTTTTTTTTTTTTTTTTTTTATGGCCTAAAATTTATATATATATATATATATATTTACTTATAATACTCCCTCCCTCCCATAATTAAGATATTATTTTTCATTTTTATCCATATAGGATATCATTTCTTAACATAAATAATACCTTTACAATTTTCAATTTAATACCCTTACAATTTTTAATATATTATACAACTGTCATTATTTTTATATCATACAATTTAATAACCTTATTTATGCCATTTTCATTCTAAATCAATATAATAATATTAAAAAATTTACACATTTACCAATTTTATGGGACAAAGGTAGATGTCCTTTCATCCAAAAAAAAATGATTGTCCTCTTTCTATTTTTATATATGGAATTTACTTTTTTTTATCCTTATTTTATTTATTTTGTTTATATCTATACACAAAATAAAAAATTATTTTATCAATTTACAATAAAAAACTAATTACTTAAAAAAAAACATGTAAATATCACTTAGACATTAGAAAATAGACGGAGAAAGTATAATTTTCATATTTATATTAGTAATAGGATAACTTAATTATGGTTCAGTTACCTTACTTACTCATAATGAATTTTATTCTTCATTTATCATCTTTTGCCATTTGTTCAAAAAAAAATAAAATTGCTATCCCTTTTTTCATAATAAAAGTACCGTTATTATATTTAATATTAAAAATATTTTTATATTTATGTAATTTATTCGAACACACAAAAGCACGAATGGTACAATTTATTAGAATAGGGTAACTTAACCCCACCGTTTGATGGTGGTCTCCTATTCTTTATCAATTTTTTTGGGAGGTAATAAAATAAACGATTTAAATATACATGATGAAAGATGATTATTTGGTAAATACGAATGGTACAATTTATTGGGATAGGTAACTTAACCCCACCATTCAGATGTTGGGCTCACATTCTTTATTAATTATTTCCACTTAAAATTATAAAAATATTAAGGGAAAAAATTATTTTTGATCATAGGGTGTGTTTGTTTGGCAGATTGGATTGAATTTACACTATTTATTTAATTTTTTTCCAAAAAAATATCAAATCAATACATATTTTTCATTTTTTATATTATACTAAAAATCAATTTTATATTTAAAACATCACATCAACACCTATTATGTCATATCATACAACTATTCAAATTCAAAATTTTTACTATTCAAATTCAAAATTTTTACTATTCAAATCTCAACTCAAAATCCAAACCCCCAAACAAACACACCCTTAATATAATTAAAATTTATTATTTTTGTCAAAATATAATCAAAATTCATCATTTTTTGTCATAATATAAAAATTTTATCAATTTTAGTCGCAATATAACTGAAATCATCATTTTTGGTTTCAATATAATCAAACATTATCTTTTTTGTCCCACCGTCAACAAACCAACGAAAAATACTGACGTAGACTTGCAAGATTGTGCAATTTCTTCAAATATAAATATAAGGTTTGATTTTTTTTCACGTCAGTATTTTCCGTCGATTTGTTGATTGTGGAACCAAAAAAGATAAAATTTAATTATATTGGGACAAAAAATGATAAGTTTTGGTTATATTGGGACAAAAATGATAAATTTTGGTTATATTTGGACCAAAATTGATGAATATGAATTATATTTGGACCAAAAATAATTTTTTCCCAAAAGTTAAATAACTAAAGTTTATTTATACAATATACAATAAATATAATTCACTCAAAATAATCGTAGTAAATAGTTATGCTGTTATGCACCTATGATTTATATTTTATATTTGAATAATACTTCTTCCATCCGCGTATAATTGTTACATTTATTTTTTCAGTTATTATAATTAACATTAAAAATATTTTTATATTTGGACAATTGTACAAGTTTCTTTCTATTAGTATTATAATAAACTAATGAAAGAATTTTTGTAATTTTTTTTTTAAAATTTGTATTATATTTTGATATAATAATTAATATTCAAATATCAACGCGCAAAAAAAGTAAATAAAACTCTTAGATCCAGACCGAAGTAGTATAAAAAAAATCATTTTAGAATACACAACTAATTATTATTGTGAGTTTGTTTGCTCAATCATTTTTTTTTTCCAGTATAATTTTCAATATACATAAAATGTGCTTTTTATTCTCTAGTTAAGTTAACATACAATATATATATTAAAAAAAAAAAAAAAACTCATTTTGTCCATTTAAAATATATATTTACTTTTGAAATGAATTTTAAAAAATAATACTAGTATTTTAATCATAATAGACATGTAAAAATAATTTAAAAATAATTTTGTCAATGTCTTTTTGTATAAAAATGATGATGCTATTTAAAATAAAAATATTTATAAAAACAAGTTAGATTTATCATTACTAGAAATGAAATGATTAGTCCCGTAAAGAATAATATAATGGTGTGAATATAGACTATTAACCGTGAGATTATAGGCATTTTACATTGAAAAAAATATATATTTTAAATCAAAATATTAAACAAATATATCTATTAATAAGAATTAACATGTATAATTAGAACAAGTAATATGTTTTTAAAAGTTATATTTTAATAAAATATATACAATATAAATATTATATTGCATGTATAAATTGTATACTATGTATAATACAAGTAAATATAAGTAATATAGTTTTTTATTTATAAATTAATTTTATTAAAAAGATATAGAGTTTTAAATAAAAATACAAGGGTAAATTATTTTTTTTAGTCTCGTAACTGGACCGCCTTATCATTTTAGTCCCGTAAGTGGAGCATGTCGCAAACTAGTCCTATAAGTGAAAAATTTTCGTTGTTTTAGTCCTCCGGCGCCGGAGACGCCCGCGTGGCTCGCCGGAGGTGACGTATCCGCCAGGTGTCCTGTCAGGTCAGCGACACCTGGCGGACACGTGGATTTTTTTTTTAATTTTTTTAATTGGACTAAATAAAAAAAACACAAATAAAATTTAAAATAAATTAAAAATAAGTTTTAAAAAAAATTTAAAAAATAAAAAAATAATAAAAAAAATCCACGTGTCCGCCAAGTCATCGACACCTGGCTGACACATCACCTCCGGCGAGCCACGCAGGCATCTCCGGCGCCGGAGGACTAAAACAACGAAAATTTTTCACTTATAGGACTAGTTTACGACAAGCTCCACTTACGTAACTAAAATAATAAAGAAATCTAGTTCCGGGACTAAAAAACAATTTACCCAAAATACAAATATTTGTTTATTAAGAAAAAAAATACAAAAATATAAATATTTTGGATATGTATAATATTATATGTAATATAATTAATTAAATTAGTTTATATTTTTTTAATTAGATGACAACTATTAAATTCAATACTATGTTGTTGAATAGCATGCAATATGCTAACAAATAAGGCACAATATTATTATTGACAGCACAATATTTATATTAATATAATACAAATACAACAAATAAACTAATAACATATTATATAGTCTCACACAATACATGAGCAATTTATTTTAGGACATGGCATACTCTTATAAAACACACGTTTGTTGTAATTACGAACAATCAACACATGTCCTTATTACAAATATGTATTGTTTATGTATAAAATAATTATATTTGTAATTAAGTAAAAAAAAATTAAAGTATTTTGGTAATAACATTGATTTTTACAAAAATAAAAAATAAATATTTTCAAATAAAATATACAAAAATAATAAAAAAAACAATAAATCAAACATAGCCAAAAGATTCACTCCAATTTCTCTCAATCATCGTCTTAATCTCTTTAATGGCCTCTTCCGTCGGATATTTTTTACGAGGACAAGGATTTTTTTTACGATGATGACATCGAGGACGAATCCGACTCATCGGCACCCGATCGTGGTGTTCCATCATTAATTTCGATTTTGTTGGACCAGGTCACGGTCCTTAGGAGTGGATATAGTTCGATTATTTGTGAATGTGCATATATTTGATATTCGAATTGAATAGAATAAATATCCAAAAACTTGTACTATATTAGAACAAATTTTTTTGATAATACTAATAAATTTAATGTTTATTAAGGAAACAATATTAAAAAAAAAAAAAAAAAAAAAAAAAAGAGTTTGGCTTCTCTTTATATAAAAAAAAAAAAAAAAAAAAAAAAATGTTGAGAGAAGTCCATACAAAGGAGCCCTATCCATGAGAGCTCAATCACACATTCTTGATCGTTCCAAAATTAACAAAATTTGTTATTAGATTCCATATGTGCAGAGATAGAAGTCCATATTCCGACTACTTCTCTAAATTTATGTTATATTAGATCTCTAGGATTGATTTCCATGCAATAAAATATATATATATATTTTGTACGTATGTGATGATTTGGTGGTGTAGGGATTGGACTTGTGACCTCAGGTCTCTCTTTTGTTTTTTTTCTAAAAAAAAAAAGAAAATTGAAGTCTGAGATGGCGTTGATATAAATAAAATTCAAAGCAAAATTCAAACTTGAATTTGATTGACGAATAATCTAAAATAAGTCTAAAATGGAAAGGGAGAGGACAAAACATGACAGGTGGCGAGAATATTCCGTCTGTCAACCGTCAAGATTTCCGCCGTTAACTGCGGTTGAATTATTGACAGCAGTCACTCACGGGACGCCCCCCGAAATGACATATATGCCCCTCACTGCGTCCACACTTCCTCCGTATAAATACACAGAAGAGAGAGAAAATGGCGGAGGAGAGAGAGAGAGAGAGAGAGGGCGGAGAACCGTCGGTGGAGGAGAATTGATTTCATATATTCGGGTAGAAAAACAAAAAACCAAAAATCGTAGACGAAGATTTGTAGGAAGCTGAAGAATCGCTTCGTCCACAAGCCTGCCTGCGCCTCTCTCTCTCCTAATACATACAGGTAATGCGAATGCGTTAGTGTTTTTGGAGGAATTAATTGCTCCGGAATCGGGAGGAAGAGGCGGCGGCGATGGCTGAATGGTGCGCCGACTCCGTCTGCCTCGACGTGGAGACGATTTATCTTGGTGGAAAGGTTTTGATTTAATTTTTGAAAAATTGAAGTTAGTTGTTAAAATTTGTCGTTTTTTAATTTCTCATCAGATCCTGTGGCCTGGTTGTTCTTCGTGTAGTTGATGGAAGGGGATGAGTTTGTTCGTTGGGGATTGACCTTCATTTTTGTTCTAGATTGATGATTTTAGATCTGCTTTTTAGTTAATGTGCTTTTGATCCGTTGTTTGCGGAAGGAAGTTACGATTTAAGTGTTTCTATTACTTTCCAGATTTCATTTGTCTTCGCTTTTTTGCCAAATTGATTTCAGATTATTAGGTAAAAACATGAAGAACAATCCTGAAGTTACTATGAATGAACAAATTCCTTTTAATGAAGTGAAAGTTAAGAAAAGGAGAGCTTAGATAACTAAGGATTGTTTGATCTGTTCCTTATAGATAAGATAAAAAAGAACAATTTGTGCATTTCCAAATGGCAATTTTAGTTTGGAGCCATTAATGTTCTTGGAAGTATATAGAAATGGACCTAAACTGTTGGGGATGATATGTTGTTTGTGATTGGAGATTTATGTTTGATTGATTCGAATGTTCGATTAAATGAAATTATCGCTCGACACCTGTCGTGTTGTCGTTGATTTACTTCCATGATAGCATAGGTTGGGTGTTATTCTATACACTATTCTTTTAGGCAGTGGTTAGATGTTGCAATCATTGTAATTTATAATATTATCTATCTTTATCACGAATTATTTATTAAATTCTTCGCTGCCATCCTTTTCGGATGCGAAGCTGTTTTTTCTTAAGCCTCAAATGTGTGTATTGTGGGAAAGTTTTTTTCTTTATTCAAACCTTTTTGCAATATTCTTTTCTACTCAATGTTTTGGATAAAAAGTGGATTGGGTACAACACATGCTTGATTCCTTTTCTAGGATGGAAGTTCATTGTTCTACACAGGTGTTCGACTTTACTTTAAGGGAAATCGAACCGAGCTATATTTATGATTATTTCATTAACATTTCTCTGTTTGGACATAGAATGTTCGGTATGTTATAACTTATAATGGCTGTTTCAATTTAGAAAATTTCAAATGTTCTGATTTTTAATTGCTTTTTTTTACTCAGGAACATATCATACAAACTCGATGTGGCTCGGTGTCGGTTATAGTGTATGGTGACCCGGACAAGCCTGGCCTGATCACTTATCCAGATCTGGCTTTAAATCGTAAGTTTTGAGTCGGTTGGGGTTCTTGTTTTCTTGTGTTCGATTTAAACTGAAGTTTTAATTCGGGTTGTATTTCTGCAGATATGTCGTGTTTTCAAGGACTGTTCTTTTGTCCGGAAGCTGCGTCGTTGCTGCTACACAATTTTTGTATTTATCATATCAGTCCTCCAGGGCACGAGGTTTGTAATTGGCTAACTTGTGGACGTTTTTGGTCGCTTCTTTATGGAAATTCCGAGCTTTATAACTCACATCAAATTTATACGGGACTCTGGTAAGAGTTCTTGCAGTTGGGAGCTGCTCCACTTTCTGATGATATTCCTGTCCCTTCGATTGAGGACTTGGCCGATCAAATTCTGGAGGTGCTCGACTATTTCAGGTAATGAACGTGATGGGTTTGCGGCTGATTGACCGACCTGTGTTATAACGATTGCTTGTATTGTAAAGTCGTCGTTAACAGCATTTTTAACTTCGTATACAGGCTTGGCGCAGTTATGTGTATGGGTGTAATGGCCGGCGCTTACATCCTCGCCTTATTTGCCGTATGTTTTCAATCTCGATATGTTTGGGCATTAATATGCGTTTTTTGTTTTAATTTATGTTTGTCGATGACACGGGTTTATGATACCAGATGAAGTTTAGAGAGCGGGTTCTTGGTTTGATCCTCGTTTCTCCTCTGTGCAAAGCGCCGTCTTGGACGGAATGGCTATGTAATAAGGTCTCGTATCGACATTTTATCTACTCCATGTTTACTTACTTTTCTCAGTTAAAATCGAATCGTTTACGACTACTGCAGGTCATGTCGAACTTGCTTTATTATTACGGCATGTGTGGAGTTTTGAAGGACTTCTTACTCTACCGGTACTTCAGCAAGGTACATTAGAATCTCATTGATGTCGAAAACATATTTATAGTTTCCGAGATATGCGGATAAGAACATTTTTTTTTTTTTCGTTTCAATTGCGATAGGAAGTTCGCGGCACTGTAGAAGTCCCGGAATCTGACATCGTTCAAGCATGCCGACGGGTTAGTTCTTCGACTCGCCTTGTTCCTACTCGCAAAGTAAATTAAAATGTTCGAATGTTTAGCATGCCGTCGTTTCTTACAGCTCCTCGACGAGAGGCAGAGCTTAAATGTTTGGCGATTCCTTCAAGCGATAAATGCGCGACCTGACATAACCGACGGGCTGAAGACGCTGAGGTGTCGCACGCTGATATTCGTCGGAGATGATTCTTCTTTCCATTCCGAAGGTCTCCACGTCGCTGCGAAACTCGATCGAAGATTCAGCGCCTTGGTTGAGGTACACTATTACTCTTAATCTCCCATAATTTGATCGGATGCTTTTGCCAAAAGTTTCTATACTTTCAACAGGGATGAAAAAAATAAGTGCGGTACAAAAAAATCGTACTTGGGTCTCCAAAAATAGGCCTGAAAATTTTTTGGCCATGCTTGGCCGACATGCTAATGAATAGTGTTGTGCTGGGCTCACAAAGATCGGGCTGTGCTTGGCCTGACTAGTATTTAAATTTTAATACATTTTATATAATATATATATATTAATTTTTTAAATAAAGATAAAAATTAAAACATGTCTTGATGATAAAGTTTTTGACTAACTCGCCCTTCGTTCCATTTTAAAATATATTTTTTATCATTTTTGTCCTTCTTATTTCTAAGTATCAATTTTTTTTAGTAAAAATAATTATATACTAATGCCAAAATAATCTTAACTTTTATTTAAATTACAAACATACATATGCATTTACTTTTTATATAAAGTCAAATGCTAAAAATATCGAATATTCTGATATACTTCCTCTAATAATAATAAAATATTACCACAAAACTTAAAATGGTCTCTTTCAAAAGAGTGATCGGAGGGAGTATATGTTTGGTTGTGGGTTCAATTCCCCACTTCTACTATTTAAATATATATTGTCTCGGGCCGGGCCGGCTCGAATTGCCACACCTAACTTTTAACAAAATGTCGTTTTTTCAGTCCCAAAGGATCGAAATAATGTATGAACTTTACGACGTGCGTATGTATATACAGGTGGAGGCGTGCGGATCGATGGTGACGGAGGAGCAGCCGCACGCTATGTTGATACCGATGGAATATTTCTTGATGGGGTACGGTATGTACAAGCCAAATCTGTTCAACGGAAGCCCGAGGAGCCCTCTGAGCCCGACATGCATTTCTCCGGAGCTTCTCTCACCGGAAAGCATGGGGCTGAAGCTGAAACCAATCAAGACGCGCATATCGTCGTCGTCGTCACCCCGAAGGTAGATCGAAATCAAAATCGAAACCGAAACCGAAACTTCAGTACAGGTTTTTGCTTTCTTCTTACTCATCAGTATAAGCATCAGCATCCATTTTTAGAGAAAACTAGAAGAAGATGAATTGTGTTTTTTATTTTACTTTTTTGGTAGAGAGAGAGAGAAGTCACTTAAAAGTATTGATTCTTTTGGTGAACATAAATATAAATAAATATATATATATATTATATGTATGTTAGGATGGAGACATATATATATATATATATACATTACATATGTGGATTTATTCATTCATTATGTGTATCTGTATTTTGTATCATCTATAAATCAATCATTCTGCCGATTTTATATGATTTCATGCAGCCTACTGATCATGTGCTGACTCACAATTGAGTTCAGCTTTTGCTGAATTGTATCTTAATCATTTATCTTATACTCTTTCTATTTCTGTCCAATGACTAAATATCTATTTATTTTTTGCTTATAATTTTAAAAATATTAGTATTATATTAAGATATAGTAGGAATAAAATAGAAATGACTACAATAATCTTATTAGTATGTGTGATATAAAAGTAATATTTGTGTAATATATTGTAAGTTGTAAGGGTATTTATAAGGTTAGGTAGATAGTATTAAAAAAAGAAATATATACTTTATTATGGGACATACTAAAATGGAAAAATAGATACTTTATTATAGGACTATATTAGATAGATAGTACAATTATTAAATTTAAAAATTATATTTTATTTTGAGAAATAAAAATATAAAATAATTTCTTTCTTATGGGACATAAGATGGAGGGAGAAGTTTTTTTTTTTAATCAAATATAATACTCCCTCCGTCCACTTACAATGTTTACATATTTCTGTATTGGGACGTTCAATTACAAAGTTTACATTTCATTAAATACCCTACTTTTTTCCACAAATACCCTTATTTTACATAACATCATTACTTATACACACAAAAAAAAGTAAGAGCAAAAATATCATTACACTACTTTTAACTACTCATTATAATTAAAATACTATTATTTTTTAAACACTGCACCAAAAATAAATATAAACTTTGTAAGTGGACGGAGGGAGTATTATACTATTAAAATATAATTTACAATTGGGAGAGTAAAATGCAATGACTCAGCTTACAATAAAACATGCCCTTACCTATTTAATAATTTGACCGGTAGTGGCCATATTAGGGGTTTGCTTGATTTGTTTTGTTCAAATCAAAATTTCTACTATTTAATATTCCATTCATTTCAAAATTATAATCTGAATTGTGTTTGACATGAGATTTAAAAAATATTAATATTATATTGATAGTAAATAAAAAATACGGATAAAAAACTTCTTGTCTCTGTGAGTGTATTAGTGTAAAAAGTAGAGGCAATTATGTAATAATAATGAAAAAGTAAGGCTAGTTTTATAGTGATATGATTATTTATGAAAATGAGACTATTGTTTTGGGACAGACAAAAATAATAAACAAGACTATTGTATTAGAACGAATGTAGTATATTATTTGTCTTAACTCAAAATAGTATTTTTATCATTTTTGTTTGTCTCACTTTAAAATATTTCTTTTCATATTAAAAAAAAATAAAATTAATCATACACTAATACCAAAATATTCTTAATTTTTACTTAAATTACAAATATATCATTACACATACAATTATTTTATACATAAAGTCGAAAGTAAAAAATATCAACATTTCTTGCACACTTCGTTAATTAATAAAATGCTACTCTCTCCGTCCCACATACCGTGTCTGCTACACTGTAGACACGGTATTTTAGGAGGGATGTAATTAGTAGATAATTAAGAATGTATTAGTGAAAATAATTTTCCGATAATATAAATAATTATAAATTAAGATTAAAATAACTAATTAGTTTAATTAAAATTAAAAAAAAATAAAATTAAAAAGTTTAAAATGAGTTATCTTAATTTATAATTATTTATATTATAGGATAATTATTTTCACTAATATATTTTTAATTATCTACTAATTATACCCCTCCTGAAATACCGTGTCTACAGTGTAGCAGACACGGTACGTGGGACGGAGGTAGTATAATATTTTATAAAAGAAAAATGCAAAGTAAATATACTATAATTTTTTTTTACTAAAAATATTCTTCAGTCCCTTAACAATCTATTCATTTTTCCATTTCGGTCAAACCCATATTCATTTTTCCATTTCAGTCAATCCCATAACAAAGTATCCATTTTCTTTTTTTGAAACTGTACTATCGACTTAACATTATAAATACCCTTCTAATTTACAATATATTATACAAATGTCATTACTTTTATATTATACAATACTAATAAGGGTAGTTTAGTCTTTTTGGCCTTTATTTATACTACATCGTAATATAATACTAATATTTTTAAAACTCCATACAAAAAATAAATAGATATATAGATATGGAACGGACAATACCAACTTGACTATATGTATTGATGTTTGTTAATTTATGGTATCTCTTTTTTTTTTTTTCTTTTTTTTTTTAAAAAAAAATTTCAAATAAAAAATAATAATCTTTATTTTTGCATAATTTTTAATAAATATATATTTTATAAAATATTATTTAAATTTAAATTCAAATCAATTTTAATTTTTAAACGGAATCTTAATTTAGGTTATTGAGGGTGATAGTGGTGATGTTAATGGAAACAATACAGAGGAAGTGAGCTGGTGATTGCTACTCCTCTCTATTAATTATTTATCTTTTTCCATTTTGTGGCAACCACATGCCAGTTCATTGTTCGATTACGATTTTTATTTTTTAATTATTTTTAAAAAATATTATATTAAATATATATATTTCCTCCGTTCCATAACTAAATATCCATTTGTTTTTTGCACATAATTTTAAAAATATTAGTATTATATTTGAATGTAGTAGGAATAAAGTAATTATGACTAAAATAACCTTATTAGTATGTGTGATATAAATGTAATGGCATTTGTGTAATATGTTGTAAGTTGTAAGGATATTTGTAATGTTAGGTAAATAATGCAGTTACTAAAAAAAGAAATAAATATCTTGTTATGCGATAGACTAAAATGAAAAAATGAATACTTTATTATGGGACGGAAGAAGTATATTATATAAAAAAATACTTATATTAGACGTCAATTGTTTACTATTTTTTGCGTCTGCATATAATGGTTACATTTATCTATTTTGCGTCATTTTACTTAACATTAAGAATATTTTTATATATATAATTATTTGTACAAATGTCATTATATAAGTATTAGAAGACATTAATAGGTATTTTTGTCATATTTCTTTGATTTGTACTATATTTTAATATAATAATTAATATTTAAATATCAACACGCAAAAAGTAAATATGATCGTTAAAGACGGACGAAATGAATAAATTTTTTAAGTTTTACAAAATTAAAATATTTTCAAAACTTATATCTAATCAAAGTCATTTTTTAAGATTTGAATGTTTGAAAAATATATAAAAAAGAATAACGATTTATTATAATATTTATAAGAATAAATAATTATTTGACATGTTTTTTAAAAATAATAAAATAGATAAATAGTAAAAGGTTTTCTTGTGTGTGATTTGAAATTGATTTAAAATGAAATATTGACTTATATTTTTATTTAAATAATATTTTAATGTGATATTTTTTATAAAAGAAAATAATACTATATTTTTTATAAAAGACCGTAGGAAATAAATAATTGAGTGTGTTTGTTTGGGGTTTATATTTTGAGTTTGTGATTTGAATGTTAAAAAATTTGAATTGAAATAGTTATATGGCGTAAGAATAGAAATACATGATGATATCATATTTTGAATGTACAATTAATTTTTAGTATAATATAAAATATAAAAAAATAAGTTCTTGATTCGATATTTTTTTAAGATAAAAAATCTTATTAAATAATAAAATTTGATAAAACTCCAAAGAAAAAAAAAAAAACATTCTATTTAACAAATATTGATCACTAATTAAAAATTTTCAAACAAAAAACCTTCCAAAAGTGTGAATAATAATAATAATAAAATAATTTTGGCTGAATAAATAGGTGGGCCCCATCCTATTTTTTTTTTAAAAAAAATTATTTGTACTTACAGCTTGTCAGTATAAAAATATATTATGTACTGCGAAATTATTTCATTTATATTATATTAATATAAATAATGTATTACCAATATTATAATAATATTGTGTGTTATTTATCAGCACATTATATGCTATATATTATGTAATTTTAAATTTAGCGCTGTAATAACAATAGAATACAAAATATGACATTTTTTTAACTAATTAATGTGATGTTTTATAAAAAATAATTCATACTAAATGTGATCTTTTGGAAAAACATATATAGTAAAAAAAAGATCATACAAACAATACAACTTTAATTTGTGTTAAATAATTATAAAAATTAAAATGATTTTAAAAAAATACTAATTGAATAATAGTACTATATTATCTAATTTATTTGTTCATTTTTGTTGCTTGATTTAGATACTCCACCCGTCTCGTATCAAAGTATGCATTTGCATTTTGCGTCATTGTATTTAATATTAAAAATATTTATTATATTTGCATAATTTTTGTACAAATGCCATTATATTAGTATTATAAGACACTAATGGAAATATTTTTGGCATTTTCTCTTGATTTGTAATATATTTTGATATAATAATTACTGTTCAAAGATCAACACGTAAAAAGTAAATGAATATCTTGTTATTGGACGGATGAAGCATATTAATAGAAGTCAACGATAACTAATTTTTCTTAAAATTTTTAAAAATAATAAAATATATATAATATAACAGTGTTTATCTTTCCATTTTTGTCATTCCTACTTATTTTGTCCCTTTTTTTTTGGAAAAATATTATACATTTTAATCTATTTTTTTTAAAAAAATTAATTTATTTTTTTTAATCTTAATTATACTAATTAGTTATCTTAATCTTCATTTAAAATTATTTTTATTAAATAATAATCATTTCACCAATACATTATTAATTATTTAATAATTATATTTTTCCTAAATTCCAGTATCTACGGTAAAAGGGACGCCATACCTGGGACGGAGGGAGTATTAATTTTTTTCGAAAAATACATTGAAAATTTTTGTATAAAAAAAGATACTATTAATATATGGAGAATGTTCAAATATCGATAGAAAAAATATTCGATAACAAAGATAGATTACTGGAAAAGAACTACCGCTCATGAAATTACGATTTTTGTGATCAAGTTTTAGATCATTTAAACAGTTTGTTTTGGTTGAGTATATATCATTGTAATCTCTAGATGCTTAGATGTATGAGAAAAATTGAAAGTTCGTTTAGTTATGGTTTGAAATTAATTTGAAATAAAATATTAGAATTAAATTTTTATTTTCAATAGTATTTTGATATTGTATTTTGTGAGATAAAATTATGTATTTTTATTAAAAACTGTATAGAATAAATAGTGTTGATTTTAATTTAAAATCACAAAAAATTATAAAGTGTTTTATTTTCTAAAGAAAAATTCAATGTGATTAAAAGTGCCTATATAATCCAAAATTCTCCATAGAAATATTTAAAAATTTTAGAGTTAACAAACGAACTTTTCAATTGTTTCATATACAAATACACAATTTGTATGTTGTATGAATAATCCTTAAGATTTTTTGCTCTTTTATAATTTCAAATTCAAATAATTTATAATAAAAATATAATATATATTTTTTTTATATAAAATATCACATCATAATACTATTTTTTTTAAAAAAAAAATCAAAATTCTATTTAAAATAAATTTCAAAATACAACCAAACAAACGTTCTTGTAATTTTATTTTACCCGTCGTGCTGAAATCCACCAGCAATGCTAAAAGTAAAACTAACATATTTATCCGAGGCCAAGGACATGTATATTTTTTAATATTATACTTATTCTGTCCGAACTCTTTATGTCATGTTGTTCGGACATAAAAATTAAAAAATAATACTCCTCCATTCTACTCCTACTAATTGTGTCAATCTTTTCATTTTCGTATGTCCTACTTAATATCATTTTAAAAAGTTTAATTTATATTCTCTTCGTCCACACATAAAGTACACATTTAGCGGTGTTTAAGAAATAATAGTATTTTAATTATAGCGAATAGTTAAAAGTAGTATAATGATATTTTTGCCTTTACTTTTTTGTGTAAAAGTAACGATGTGATATAAAATAAGAGTATTTGTGAAAAAAGTGAGGTATATTTACTTTGTAATTGGACGTTCTAAAATAGAAATATGTATACTTTCTAGCTGGATGGAGGAAATAATTTTTTTAATTTTAATTAGACTAATTAATTATCTTAATTTTAATAAAAAATTATTTTTATTATACGATAATTATTTTCACTAATACATTCTTAATTATATACTACTTGTATCCCTCGTAAATTTCAGTATTCACAGTAAAAAGGACACCGGTGAAGGGAACGATATTTTAAATATAAAGTAATGTGAAAATATTAAAATGCATTAAATTTTTTTAATAAAAGTAATCTGGTAAATAAAAAATTATTACAAATTAATTATTATTTATTAAAATAAAAATTATAAAATTATTTATTATAAAGCCCAAGAAAAAAAAATTGAAATAATTATACAGACCCATAGACTATATATATACACTGCACTGTCATATATATTTGAACCCAAAGCCCAACTTAATAAAGCCCAAATAGGCCCAGCCCGACAATATTCTGCCGCTTTAAAGCGGCAATGGCGACTTTCTCAGAAGACCCAAAGCCCGACCGCTCTCAAAAGCGTCGACACACGCAAGACTCGGCCGTTGTCGCCGGCAGGCAATCGCGGGTTTCCGGTGGACGACGAGCAGGTAGAACACTTCGTCCTGCATCTCTGCATCGTCTACCGATGCTTCACAGTTTTCAATTATTTTTGAATTTGGATGACACACGAGCTGGGATAAGTTATTGGCTTGACTTTGTGCACGTCTTGAATTTAGGGTTGGAATGTGTTTTTTTATTTTCTTAAAAGTTTAAATTTCCATGTCTGTGAGATTTTTTTATGTGATAATTTCCCCGAGAGTTTACGTCGCTGGATTGAATTTGAGTGTTGACTTAAATTGACTTTGTGAAGAATATGGCGAAGTGAATGCTGAATTTTATGGTTACAATCCAGTTTATGGTAAGTTTAAGCATGTTTGAAGTCTTTGGGTATCTGTTTGTTTAGGTTAGATTTTGTTGCTAAAATTGGTTTGTTTTAGGGTTTGGGATTAGGAAAAATTTGAATTGAAATAGGGTTTGAATGGAATCTTTGGAATGGAAATTTGTTTTTGATAAAATATTATTAAATGAAAATTAGTTGTTTGATTTATGTCTTCAAGGTGGGAAAAAAGTGAGAAATAGTGGATTTGCATTTATTTTGATGTTTTAAATTTGATTTTTTTTTTTCATGGAAAATAGATGTTGGATTCGATTATTGAAAGCGAAATATACTATTGATGTGATGTTTAAGGGTGGAAAAAATATTTGTTGTAGATTGCATAATGTAAAATTGGGATGAAAACAGGAGTGAACAAACAAAGACTTTGTGTTTGAGGGGTTGGATTTTTTAACTTTGTGTGTTTGTTTGAAGGTTTGATTTTTTTAATAGTAAAATTTTGAATTTGAATTGTTGTTTCATATAAATAGATATCTGATGCGATATGATTTTTAATATAATATTAAAAATGAAAAATAAATGTTTGATGTGATGTTTTCTGAAGAAAAAATTATTGAATATTGAAATATTTTAAAAAATCCACAAAAGAACACAGACAATAAATAGCTCCTATTTATGTTATTTATTATGCTATTCTTTTGTACGAGCAATCGTGTAAGTATGGTAGAGATCCATTGAGAATCTTTCCGTCAATCGCTTTTGTTCTTTGTTATTCGGAGATAGATTTCTTTATAAAATGAAGATCATCAGCCTTTGGTGATAATAATTTATAAAAATAAAATTTCTAGGTATTGAACTGTTAAGTTTTTGAGTTTTGTAAGGTGCATTTATTTGAATATGCAAATCAAATATATTGAACCTGCTCACGACAGTGTTTGTGAAATCTGTTACGGGAGAAAAGAAAATGTTTTGGCCTTATGTTGATATCGCTGCTATTGGTGGTTAGTTTCTGGGGCAATAAATAAATAAAAATAATGACGATAGTTGGCAACGTTGATTTAGTATACTTTTTGGGTCAAATTTCCATATGAACTTAGAAATGACTATCCTAAATTAGAAGATCCTTTTTGTTTGGTAATATTGCTTTAACTATTTCAGTTTATATTTTCCGATTTTGAGAGCGTCTGTACTTTGTTTCTCCAATGTATATTATCAGTAAATGACACCTTACACTTATGCATTGCTCTTAATTTATGTGTTATTAGCCTTTACTATTGAGAGACTAAGGGTTTGTTCTCTATATACTCAGTTTCATTTTTTTAAAAATTGTGCAGCTCTTATAGTTCCGAATACAAATATATTATTTCTTTTGAAAAAATATCACATCAAAATGCTCTTTAAACCATCAAAGAAAACACACCTTAAGGTTGTGTGCTTTTGCATTTTTGTTTTGTTTTATGTTTGGACTTTTTTGAGGCAAAAATTGTTGTTGGATGTGTAATTTTATTTATATATTCATGGAAAACGGGTGTTGAATATGTTGGGTTTTTTTTTTTTTTTTTTTTAGGAAAATTAAAAGATTGAATAACTAAAAATTTGTGTTTGAAATACACTTTTGGCACGTCGAATTGTGCTCTTTGGAAGTGGTCTTCTCGTTTCATACTTATTTGCCGAGACAATCATAATCTTTCATGATATGTGATTTAAGGTTTAGATGTGGTTTGTTGCATTGCTATTTGCTATATTTAGCCAAGAGATCTCAGAAGGGAACGTAGATAGGGTGAAAATAAAGATGCGAATGGTGCTACGTAAGAGTAGGTAGGGTGGGTAGTGGTGTAGGTAGGCATTTTTGGGTGTTGAATCTTTTTTGAGTTGCTTTAAACAGCCAATAACACATCTTCAATGAATGGTGATGTGGTGCTAAATATTAAAATAGAATTTGTCGGCTTACAGCCCCAATTTCATTGTTTTTCCTCATCGCGTTAGCAGGCATCATGAACGCACAATACTGTTAGATTTTAACATAGAAGAGACGTGTGCGCATAAGGGGAAGAACTTGTTAGAGAAAAATGGAGTCAGCGGAGCTGACGGGTGTCCAGAATGATAGGGTTCGGGTAAAAAGGAAAACATTAGAGGCAGTGCTGCGGCAATGCCAGTTTGCCCTTGAACAGTTTGTATCTGGCTGTGACGATGACGTGGATGAAAGAGACAATGGCGCCGAACTTGATGCTCCCCAAGATTCTGATAACTGCTCCCCTGAGCCTGCCAGTAGTGATACCGACACAACTGAGGTATATATATTTTTTTCTCACTATCATATATGTTTAGGGTTTCTTTCTCAAAAGTATTTTATAATTATTATGTTACGAGGAAATAGATCCAAAAATGGCTAACTAGTAATGAATATCTATAGTTATAATCTCTGAATATAATGATCATTTTTTCCGGTTATAACTGTAAGTTCTTTTCATTGAATACATTACTATAACATTCTAATATATTTCGTCCTAAATGTAAAACCCCACATTCTTTGTTTCCTTGCAGTTTTATGATCTCTTGAAATCCAGAGTTGAATGTGCTGATTTTGTCAAGAAACTAGAAATTGCCCAGGCATCTCTTCCTGATACCGTAGCTGGTATGACTTTAATATTAATGGTGACTTTAATCGTAGTTATACGACTTTTCTTAGCAAAAGAAAATCATAAATAGAGATGTAGTTGCACCTAATAACTCGAATCATCTTTTATATATATTGATATATTCTATACAACGTGTTCTCCATGTATATATATATATATTTTTTTATCCCCAATGGATGTATAGGTTATTCTCCCTTCTCTTTAGATACACCATTGTTACGGTGACTATTGTTTTTAACATATACAAGGATGCAGAGGAAGGCGGTTCTTGGGACGTGGTCAGTGAAAATGACCTGTGGGAAGGTGAAAATTCCGACTTAGACCCTGAAGATTATGTTTTGGTTGGGCAAGAAGACATAATGGATGGTATAGCTTCGTTCATGGCCGCTTATTTGCTGTCTCTCAAACAAACTAAGGTAGGGATGATTTTTCCTTGTGCTTGCTTTTGAAATCGCCAGCTAAAGCCTGTTTTCATTAGTATTTTAGTTCAAGTTATCGAACCCATAAAGTATTGTTATAGAAGAGACATGTATTAGGATTATTTATAGAGTATTATTTTTACGGTTTGTTAATCTAATTGGAAAATGAAAATCTAGCACAAGATGTGTAATATGGTAATTCCTTCTAGAAATAATGATTTACAGCATTCAAGTTTTACCGATACTCATTCAACACCATAAAATGCGAATTTTCATGTGCAATAATTGTCAAATGATCCGTCGCTAACAACTAGGTTTATTTTAATTCCCAGTAGTTAGTTGTCCACCTTTCTGATATGAAATATAATTAGGATGGGCGTCATGTAGTTTCACAAGCGCAAAGATATGTGTGCCGACGGTTGTATTTGTTTCCACCATGATGCTTATATTTTCTTCTCTTAGTGTACAATAAAGTCATGAAACTTTTTTGAATTTTTTTATTTATATTTTCTGATTGACAGATACTTTTTCATTTGTTTCGCAGGACGTGACGCCGAACCAGCTCCAAGCAGGTGGGTCCTGAGTTTCCGGCTTTTGAAGCCATCTCTTAGCAAACCTTCGCACGTTCGATTGCATTTGTTTTCTTCTTTAATGATCTCAAAAAGGATTTGTTAATTTCCAGTTTATGACATTGACGGTTAAACCGAACATGGAGAGACTAAATTTTCTTGAATTCTGTTTCAGCTCTGAGCAAGACATTCTCTGCAAAGAACAAGAAGAGCAAACTTCGGAAGGTGTGGGACGGAAGCAAAGTGATTTACAGCGTAGCATCGTGGGGAGCTACGGCTGTCGGGTGAGCTATCTTCAATAAATTCATTCACTATGGAAACTTCATGTTGGTTATCTGAGTTTTACCAAAATTGCGACTTGCTTATGAGTTTTTAATATTAACTCCATCCACAAAGTTGAACACGAGTTTTTATGAATATAGGGTTGCTTGTTTAGTATTTTAGCTTGAGATTTTTTTATTATTATTTTTTTTTGGTGAGATATAAGGAATCGTGTTTGTAATATGAAAAATAATACTCACTCCGTCCGCTTCTAAGGTTACACTTATCTTTTTCGTTATGGTATTTAACATTAAAAATATCATTATATTTGTATAACTTTTTGTATAAATGTCATTCTATTAGTATTATAAAACACTAATAGAAGTATTTTTACAATTTTTTCTTAATTTATGCTACGTTTTGATATAATAATTAATATTCAAAGATCGACACATAAAAATAAATAAGACCCTTAGAGCCGGACGGAGATAGTATTTTATATTGAATTTTTGAGAGAGTAGAATATAAATATTATATACATTGGGAATCGCATTAGGAAAAAAATTGGTTGGATGAACAAATCCGTAGTTGATTGTTTCGTAAAATATTAGTATTTTTGGAAGTATACGAGTAAATTAATGAGGTGGAGAAAAATTTGGAGAAATTGAATGTGTAAATGATTGCAGCATATTTGTAAATAAATGTAATATTGAAGGTATAAATTTAAAAAATGTGTAAGAATTTTATTTGCTTTATAAATGAAAAATGCCTAGATTTGGTGGGTGGAGCCGCGGAGGGAGTAGCAAATATGCAAATTCTAATGTCATCGAACAAAATAATTGTCGCTTTGTTCTTAATCCTTTGTACTTATCAAATTGTTTTTGAGCATTGAATTTTATTCTTTGATAATGTCGCCTAGCCTATGGTTCTTAAGCACTTTTACCAGTCTTCCTTTTTACTCGTTGCGGCTGTTTAATGGTGTATGTGTGTCTTTTGATGCTTGACAGAATATATCAGAATCCGGTGCTGTTTAAAGCTGCGTCGACGGCGTTCTGGAGTTCTTGCCAGGTTATCTCGAAGCTTTTCTGAGGCTTCATCGTCAGGGCGTTGAGCAAGACAAGGTACATTATGTGTGTGTGTGTGTATTTATTTGGGCAAATTTGTGGTTAAGGATTGTGTGTGCAATATTATTACCACATTTGTTTGCACTGGTGGCTGCTCTATTAATTTGTTCTTTGCAAGTCTTATTTCTTATCTGATCCTGTTCTTGTAAATATTTTTCATCTAAATTTATGTATATATATATATGGCTGCTGTTACTCTGTTAAATAAATTTATTAGTTGCGCTGTCGTGATAGTTGTTGGTTGACTTTCCGTTTATAGATAAATAAATAAATAATATGTATTTTTAAATGTTAGATTCTTTTATTGTCAATATGGTATTGAGGTAAATTTGTGATATGTGCATAGTTGAAAAAAATAGATACGATTTGAAATTTTGATTGGAGTTCGGCATGAAAAATTGGGTTTCCAAAAATAGGTCCAAGTTTTTTTTGTGTCTGACCCGGCATGCCAAAAAATCGGGCTGTGTTCAAGCCCATGAAGGCAGAACTGTGCTTAATTTGGCCCAATTAATTAAAATTAATAGTTAGAAATTTAGTACTTTTCTTAAAATGACTGCGGATATGGTGATTATTCCACACTATTTGATTACACATGAAATATAATCCGCACAATAGATAACACAAGTTATATGTTAGCTTAGTATAAATGCAACTTATTAATCAATAACATACAGCTATAGTAAATACAACACATACTATAATGAATTTAATATGTAAGATGTAAAAATATATGCTCCCTCCCTCCCAAAAAGAATATCCATTTGTTTTTAAAAATATTAGTATTATATTAGGATATAGTAGGAAAAAAGTGAAAATGACTAAAATAACTTGTTAGTATGTGTGATATAAAGGTAAATGACATTTGTGTAATATACTGTAAGTTGTAAGGGTATTTGTAATGTTAGGTAGATAGTACAGCTACTAAAAAAAGAAAATAGATACTTTGTTATGGGACGGAAGGAGTATTATACTCAAAATACAAATTAAAAGTATATTATAAGAATTAATTATGTTCATTCAAATCATATGCTTTCAATAAAATGTTGATTAACTTAAATCAAAATGCTAAATTGTCATCGGGCCTGGTTTGCAGGGTATTAGGTTTGGCCGGGATTTACCCAGTAGGCATTTGCATTTTCGGATAGCGACTTTGGATTCCCATGTGATAAAAAAAAGAAAAAAAAAAGAAAAAAAGAAGATGCTAAATTGCCAATCAAGCCATCTCAAAATTCAGTAACACAACCTAACAGAATACCAACTTCCAATTTCCACGTAATAATTTATTTCTTTTGACTTTGTTCTTTTATTTTTCTCAAATTAGGTCCGTTAAATTTATGTTTAAATTTAAATAATTTTATTATTCATATTTTAATAAATAATAATTAATTTGTTTCTCTTTTTTTATATATATATTTACTAATTATATTTATATTATTTATAATAAAATTCTCATTATACTCTTATTTTATTTTTTTACCTTTTACTTTAACATTAACTTATTACTCTCTCATTTGTAAAAATAAAATAAAGACGCTTGTTTTTTAACATATATTTTGATGCGATATGTACTTTGTTACTTTATATTCTTTTCGGGCAGATCTTAAAAAAAAAAGTAAAAAAAAAAAAAAAAATTAGTAAAAAATATAAAAATGTATTACAGTATTTTTTTTATTAAATAAAAAAGTGAGAATAATTTTTTATATCAATTTCATAAGAAAAGTAAACATATATGACAAATAAATTATCTTTTATAGTAAAAAATAATACTCCATCCGTCTCATAATTAAATATCTATTTACTTTTTGCACGTAATTTTAAAAATATTAGTATTATATTGGGATGTAGTAGGAATAAAGTAGAAATGACTAAAATAACCTTATTAGTATTGTGTGATATAAATGTAATGATATTTGTGTAATATATTGTAAGTTGTAAGGATATTTGTAATGTTAAGTAGACAGTACAGTTACTTAAAAAAAGAAATAGATACTGACGGACTAAAATGGGAAAATAGATACTTTGTTATGGGAATGAGGGAATATAATTTTTATTAATAATATTTTTAATAACAAAAAAAAGAAAAAAGGTCTATTTTCACTTATAACATACGGAATACTATTTATTTTAATTTCAATATTTCGTACATAAACTTAAATAAATTTAGTATACGCAAAGTATATATATAAATATATAAATTAAAAGGATATTATTATTGTTATTATTTATTTTATTTTATTTTATTTTTATTAAAAAAATGATATTATTATTATTAGTATGGTGACGAGTCAGTGGTTCAAACAGCTGAGAGAAGAAGCAGCAGCAGCTCCGAACCACAGTTCCCACCGCCATCAATGGCGGTTAGCAACAACCTCACCGCAATCCTCAACTTCCTCGCTCTCATCTGCTCCTTCCCCATCATCGCCGCCGGCGTATGGATCGCCTCCAACCCTACCAACGCCTGCATCCACTGGATCCGCTGGCCGCTCGTCTTCCTCGGCCTCGCCGTCCTCCTCGTCTCCCTCACCGGCTTCATCGGCGCCTACTATAAAAAGGAAGGCCTCCTCTCCGTCTACCTCGTCTCTATGTTCATCCTCATCCTCCTCCTCCTCGCGCTCCTCGTCCTCGCCTTCGTCGTCACCCGCCCTCACAGCGGCGCCGCCTCTCCGCCGCCGCCGGGAATTGCCTTCCGCGAGTACCGCCTCGACGGATTCTCGCCGTGGCTCAGGAACCACGTCACCGGTAACGAATACTGGCCGGGAATTCGAGCCTGCTTGGCCGATCAGGACCGCGTCTGCGCCAAGCTTGATCGGAAATTCGCCTCCGCCGCCGAGTTCTTCGCCGCGGAGCTTTCGCCGATTGAGGTTAGCAAATTGATTTGGGGATTAGGGTTTTGTTGGGGGCTGTTTGGTTGTTTGCCTATTTGGGGGAATTTTGCGGGTTTGTTTTCGTATGGCGCCAAACAGGGTCTTAAATTACCAAACTTATATACGAATTACCGGAATTTTGAAATTGGACGGAGTTTAATTAATGAATTTTTGGCAATTACTAAAAATTAACTGTACTTCAACTATGTGTGTATATATTTTATAGAACTCTAATATACAAATTTAACATCCCTCTAATACAATTATATATATATATATATATCATATATACGGAACGAACGGACGGTTAGAGTGCTGAATTTAAAAAATTAGCACCGTGCTAATATATATAAACAATACACAATTTTATTATAGACAATACATTGTGTATAATAATGATGGGTGAAATTGTTTCATTGTTGTATAACAGTACGTAGTGTGCTGAAATCAATTAATTTGTATAACATGCGTTGTTAGTTTATGTGCTATATTTGTATCATATGAATGCAGACTGTATGTTGCCCGTAGTAAATATATTGTATATATATATACTCCCTCCGTCCTACATAATTTGTCCCTATTTTCTATTTCGTCCGTCCCACCTAACTTGTCATTTCTATTTTTTGAAATATAATTATGCACTTTAATCGCATTTTAAATTTTATAATTTTTTTAATTTTAATTAAACTATTTACTTATTTTAATCTTAATTTATAATTATTTTTACTAAATAATAATTATTTTTACTAATACACTTTTTAATTACTTACTAATTATATTTTACCTAAATTCACGTGTCTACGGTAATACACATATTACATGGGATGGAGGGAGCATTATTTAACACACTATTGTCTTTGTTATAATTTGGTTTATAATATAATAGTACAACTAATAATCACTAAAATTTATTTATTTGTGATTTAAAATTAATATAAAATGGAGTATTGATTTAATAAAAAATAATATTTTTATTAAAATTGTAAAAGAATGAATAGTATCCTTTAGTTTAAAATGACAAAAAAAGAAAAATGTTTATTACAAAAAATAGTATTGTCTGTATAGTGTGTCTGTTTGGGGTTTTGGATTTTGAATTGATATTTAAATAATAAAAATTTTGAATTTGAATAGTTGTATGATGTTATATAAATAAGTGTTGATATTATGTTTTGAATGTAAAATTGATTTTTAGTATAATATAAAAAATAAAAAATAGGTGTTTGATTTGATGTTTTTGGGAAAAAAAATTGGATGAATAGTGTAAATTCAATCCAATCCCCCAAACAAACACATAGACGTGTAAATTTTCTCCACATAAATTTGCTTTTGCATTTTTTACCATTCTATATATATTTTCATTATTTCAAATAAAAAATAACGATAAAATAAATCAAACTATCTAAATTATTTTATTACATTTGATTACTTTCCCTATGATAAATTATAGGTTTATTTAGTTTCGGTGTTTGAGTTTTTTATTTGATTTTTTATTTAAATAATATTTTGATGTGATGTTTTGTGAAACGAAATACGTCACAATTCAATATTTTATTTTTATCATTTTCGTATATTTCACTAAGAGCATTTATTTTTTATTACAGTAAAAATATTTCATATATGAATACCAAAATACTTTATTTTTTACAAAAATATTTATATCTTATGTACTTATAAGGTTAAAATGATCAAAATCATCTTAAATATTTATACTAATTAATAAAATATTATTATTTTTAAATTTATTAAAAAATTAATTAAATTAAAAGGGTACATTTTATTGGGAGGGATGAAGGAGTACTATTTTTGTTATAAAATGTGTGTGAGAGGTGTACTTAGTTTTGTGTTTCGGTTGAAAAAAATATATTATGTGATATATATAAAATTTTGTAGATAATATATAAATAATGAGTATGTATAGTATATTAATTTTTTTCTGAAAAAATATGTAAGTTTCTTTTTACTAAAAAAACAAACTAATACTCCCCTATGTTTCATATCTATCTATCAATTTACTTTTTACACGGAGTTTTAGAAATATTAGTATTATATTGGGATGTAGTAAAAATAAAGATAAAAAGACTAAATTATCTTTATTAGTATTGTATGATATAAAGATAGATAATACAGTTACTAAAAAAAATGAATATTTTGTTATGAGACAAACGAAAATAGAAAAAATGGATAGATTGTTAAATACGGAAGAGAATATATTTTTCTTTATTATCATAATTTATTGGTTCTCGAATTTGATCCAAATGATACATACATAGTCGGGTTGCTGCAAACCTCCTTTGGTATGCGGGTTCCAATACTCGAGCCCGACAACATGGCTCAACCCGTCCAACATAGGAGCGACTAGGGATTGCGCGGTGTGGAACAACGACCCGAGCCAGTTGTGCTACGGGTGCGACTCTTGCAAGGCCGGGTTGCTCGGGAACTTGAGGGAGGAATGGAGGAAAGCCAACGTTATTTTGATCATAGTTGTGGTAGTTCTAATTTGGGTTTACGTTATCGCGTGTAGCGCGTACCGAAATGCGCAGACCGAATCGCTCTTTCGTCGGTATAAACGAGGTTGGACGTGAAGTAAAGTGATGTTACTATATCATGTGTTTGAAAAACATTCGAGCGAATGTAAGAAGTTGTATTTGTTGTAAGTAAATGTTGTGTTATTTATAGAAAAATTGTCGATTGATGTGTTTGGTTGTTATCTCTGGGAGGTCTCCGTAAAGGATAATCGAATCGATGTGATTGGTGAATTTGTGATTTTGAAGTCATGAATTCAAAATTTGTTGACGCTGTCTCAATTTTTTTTTTCAAATCTAACGTGTCTTACATGACTAATAGTTGTCAGAAGAAAAAAGAAAAATCTAATTCTAGAAAATTGTTTTTGTAACTAAATATAATACTACCTTCGTCTGGCTTTAAGGGTTTTATTTAGTTTTTGCGTGTTGATCTTTGAATATTAATTATTATATAAAAAAACTTGCAAAAACTACTTTTATTAGTGTTTTATAATACTAATAGAAGGACATTCGTACAAAAAAAAAATTATATAAATATAAAAATATTTTTAATGTTAAGTACAATGACGCATAAAGTAAATAAGATCATTAGAGACAAGGAGTACTATCTTATAATTTAATTTCAATAGTTATATATTTATTGATATAGCTTCATAAGTATGCTGTTAGAAAATAAATTTGAATTAAATTATTTAATTAAGAAATTAACACAAAATTTTCAATAGTAGTTATTTAAGTAAATGTTAAATATGCGGGTTTTCTTTTTTTTTTTTTTCTTTTTTTTTTTTTTAGTTTCAAACGCATTTTAATATTATTAACTTCAGTAAATATATATTTATATAAAATCAAAATCAGACATCTAAATTCAAATGAAAATCAAAAACACCAACAATATTTATATTTAAATTTTTAATTCAGTTTTGTAAATTAATACAGAAAAAAATAAATAACAATTGATTTTATTATTAAATATTATATTAATTCATTCTTTTATATCCATATAAAGATACCTTTTTTATTTTTTTTACATTATTATTATTATTTTATCTATTTTTTTTTCTTTTATTTTATTTATTGGGATTGTTATCATTATTAAAATGTTGGTTGTAGTATAGCGGCAAAAGTAGGGAAGATTCAGTTGTGGATATAAAGGGAGAATCTCACTTTATTGCATCTCTTTTGTTCCTTTGGGATGTGGGAATCTTTCGGGATTTGTTTCGTTGTGTTTTGGCAATTTTTTTTTTAAAAAAATATATATAATTTAAAAATATAATACTATCTCCATAAATTTTTTAATATTAGTATTATATTGATTTATAATGAAAAGACAAAAATGTCCTTATTAGATCGTATGATATAAATGTAATGACATTTGTGTAATATAATAAAAAATAGTATCATTCTTATGGGACGGAGGGAGTACTTCTTTTGTTTCACATATCATTTTTTTTTTAAAAAAAAGATTATTATCTTAATTTTAATTTACAATTGTATTTATTATACATTAATTATTTTTTATTAATATATTCTTAATTATTTATTAGTTATATTCTTAAATTTGTGTTCTATAGTAATATAGAAACACGATAGTTATTTGTTCTTTTTAATAATTTTTGTTAACTGAACAAAATCAAATATATTTATATTATTATATTTTTTAAATTTATATTACTCTTTCCATCTCAACTAATTTGTCCACTTTTGTTGGACAAAGAGTTTTAGGTATAATGTAATTAATAAGTAATTAAAAAGTGTATTAATAAAAATAATTATGATATAATAATTATTACAAATTAAGATTAAGATAATTAAATAGTTTAATTAAAATTATAAATTATGAATTTTAAAATGTGATTAAAATGTATAATTATATTAAAAAAAAAAAAGAAGACAATTTATATGAGACAGACGAATATAGAAAGAGTGGATAAGTAGGACAAAGAGAGTAATAGTTATGTTATTCAAATTCGCTTTGGTGCCAGTTTAGTTTAATTTGAAATATTAGTTATTTTTTAATGTATAAATATTTTGATTCGATTTGATTTAAATTATTCACAAATACTACAAATAGTTTTTATTAATCAAAACTTTTTGTTCGAATTCAGTTTATGATTTCGAATATTTATTTTATTCAAATCAATACCAAATGCATTTATCTTTGCAAATAACTTAATCGTGTCTACCATGTTCAAATCTTATATGAAAAAATAATAATAAAAAAAAAAGTCCTTAAAAATATAGCTTATATTACAAACAAATTGTATAGGTATCATAAATTGTAATGGCTTTAAAGGATGGTATAAAAGGATCATTGTGCATTAATAGTGATTATAGGATAAAGTAAACCGATTTTTTATTTTTTATTTTTTATAATGCAGGAATTCAAACGTTATTTAAATTTTTTATTATTTTATGATTTATACGATCACAAGTTCATCCCAAACTATTAAGTTATTTTTTACAAAAACTAATTCTCGATCATTTTGAAATGTTGGGATATCATTTTGAAATGGTATCCTTTAATATGGGGTTTTATATTTAAAGTTCGAGTTGCTTGATATATAATATATATAATATATATATAGTAACACAAATATAGTAATATTATACTATAGGTAACAAATACAAAATTAAAGTACAATTAAAATTAATGCATATCATCATAAAAAATAAATTGTCTTGCACAACAGATGAGATATATACTAAAAAATACAACATTACAAAAGATCGAAAGACTTCGTTATCACTATCATACACGCGACAACAAGGAGAACAACACAAAGAAAAGTAATGATATTTCCGATTCTTTCCATATTCTTGACGTTCAAAGCTAACGCTTCAACAATTTTGTCCAATTGTGCCGTATCTATGGAACCATTCACTTCATTGACGCTTGTTCCAGATTTTAACATATCTTTCTCTTCATTAAATTTAGTGACCAGATCTTGTGAGCGTTCTTTTTCTCGTGCATTCGAAGGCTCCAACCAGCAAAAAAAATCACACTGGCTATTCATGCACTCGCAAAACAACTTACCTTCATTGGCTTTCATAGGGCCGACAACTCTTATTGCAGCATATTTATCACATTTATACTGTGGATTTTTGTATCTCAGGTCCAATATTTCCGTTCTCAATCCCTTCTTGATATTCGACGGCATTACGGACATTGTCAACCTCTATTTAAACCTAGGCATTTATACCAAGCAAATGTATGAGATGGTATATGTCATATTTTCATAAATTCTTGAAAAGAATTCGAACAATAAATCGATATATCTTGACATACAAGGCTCTCGAACAAACTAAAAGCAATACTTGATTGAATATCAATAAAGAATAACAAAATCCATCAAAATCATATATGTTCAACATTTTGTAGATTCAAATGGTTATATTATTCAAGAATTTTTTAGACACTCGAATAATCAAATTCATGAATTTTTTTAACGAAGTTTGACGGTGTACAAAAAAAGTTATTACTCTCTCTCCGTCAGTCAAATTTATTCTGTTTTTTTTAGTTCGTCTGTTGAATTTATCCAATTACTAAGCAAAATCAACAAATCAATATTTAACTATTATTCTCAATTCAACACTTATTTATAATAAATAAAATTACATAAATTTCTGAATCCAAATGAATTTTTATTGGAGGGAAATAATTTTTACCCAATTATAAACTTACATATTCATAGCACCCACTCTTAAACATGTCCTAAGCAATCCAAACTTCTCGACCCAAAAAATAAACATTCGAATGAAATATCAAATTGAAGCAAATCGAATATATGAGGTTCGAGTTTTTACCTAGAGGGTGAATTACACGGTGCTCAGATAAAATCCTTCCCTAGAAGCTTAATCAAATTCATTCGACAAAGATTCGTCTATAGCTGACAAAAATAAACACGATCTGAAAGTTCGACCTAAGTATGGTACAAAAAGAAAATAAATAATAAGAAGTTGGGCCTAAAAATTAGATCCAAAAGAGTTTTTAGCCGTGCCAACCCCATATAGTTGAAAACTTGGGTCGTTTTTGGCTTAACCTAATTTATAAAAACAAAAATAAATAATAATTTTAAAATACAGTAATAAATTCATAATAAAACTATAAGTTAGTCATATATTTAACTATTAAATTCTTAATTATCAATAAAAATATTATTTTATTATAATTATATTTATTTAGATTGATATAATTTATTTTTAAAGAAAAACGACATAAATATAATTCCCGTTGTTGTTTTCAAAAATCCAAATTGGTTTGGGCCCCGGTTTTGAAGTCCAATTTTGAATCGGGTAAGGCCGGGCCAAAATTGTCACCTATAGGTTATGATTTTTATTTTATTTTTTTTTATTTTTTTTTTTTATGTATACGGAGTTGTTTGGTTATGATTTGGAATTAATTTGAAATGATCTGTTAACTTAAATTTTTGTTTAAAAAATAGTTTTAGGTATTATTTTCTGATAATAAAAATATATTTTCATTAAAAATTGTACGAACTAAATAGTATTGATTTTAATTTAAAATTTAAAAAAAAAGTAGACCATTCATTTATATTTAAAAATATAATACTCCCTCCGTCCCATTGAAATATTGCTATTTTTCATTTTCGTTTGTCCCAAAACAAGGTTACCATTTTTTAATTTAATAATTGTACTACCTACCTAACGTAATAAATATCCTTCTAACTTACACTATATTACACAAATTTCGTTACTTTTATTACACAATACTAATAAGGGTATTTTTGTCCTTTTCACTACAACTCATTATAATACTAATATTAAAAAATTTACATGCAAAAAGTAAACGATAACTTTACACCGGGACGGAGGGAGTAAATTTTATTTAAAAAAAAAAATATTTTTGTATGACAATTCAAAAAATAAAATTAATATAAATTTGAATACCGGAGAAAATATAATAAATTAAATATAAAATTTATTGTGCAACTATCATACAACACAAGTGTTTGTACAGAGCTTTACACTCATTTATACTAGTATAATTTATTTGTATAAATAAATTCTATTTATAAAATATATATTATATTGTATTAATATGATTATTTATTGTATTTTTTAATAATATGTACAGGCGATTGTGTAAAAAAAATATTAATTGACATCCTTTTAATATTTTTTTTTAATCTGAATTTTCAAATTAAATAATATTTTATATAAATAATTAGTATATTTTTATTGAGAATTATTAATTTCGATTTGAAATTAAAATAAAAAAAACACTTTTAATTCCTATTGAGAGAGAAATAAATACTAAAATTTTTATTTAGCAGTTTTGTTAAATACTTAAAAGCAATATTCCCTCCTCCTGGTGCAAGGTTGTCGTTTAGCACGTAAATTTTTAAATATTAGTATTATAATTGATTGTAGTACAATTACAAAATTAGAAAATTGTAATCTTGTTTTGGGATGAACGAAAATAAAAAATGACAATATTTCAATAGGACGAAGAGAGTATTTTAATTTATATTATTAAATAATATAATTATATATAATTAAAATTTGGGCATCAGAATGGTGCACCCTAATTTCTATCAACATTTATACCTTAAATTTTACCGTAATAGATATATAAATAACTTTTAAATATCTTAATTTCTTAACCCATTCAAAATACAATTTAGCTTAATTGCACAAAATTCATTTGTGGTTTTATAAAATTGATCCAAATTTTCCATACTTTTAAAATTGCGATCAAACTCCTTTATCGTTTCATAAACTCTGTATTTAACTCATTCGGCGGTCCTTATTTAACGATATTTGACCTAAATGCGCCTAAATTGCAAATAAATTTTAGAATCTCTTAAACCTCTAAAATTACATATATATATATATATATATATTTATTTTTCTTATATTTAGTCCCGAAAAACAGTAAAAATAAACTATTAAAACTTGAGAAAAATAATTAATTTTAAATATATTTATTACTTTTGAGACTAAATATAAAAAAAATAAATATATTTATAATTTTGGGATTTAAAAATTGAAATTCTAAAATTTATTCGCAGTTTAAGTGCATTTAAGTCAAATATCCTTAAATAAGGACCGCCGAGGGGGTTAGACGCAGAGTTTATGAAACTACGAGAAAGTTTGACGCTGTTTTAGAAATATAGAAAATTTAACGCAATTTCATGAAATCACAATTAGATTTGGTGCAATTTAGCCATACAATTTTGAATCTAGGCTATGTTTGGAGGTTTTTATGTTGTATTTGTTTGGAAATTTTTTTTTAGAATTTTTTAACTATTTAATTAATTTAATTTCCCCTGGCCTCTCCCACTTCAAAATATAAAATTAAATATTTATTTTTTATATTATTCTAAATAATTAATTTTACATCACACAAAAACAAACCCCCATTGTTTTTTCATTTTTTATTTTCAATTTCTAATACAAATTTCTCATGGAGAAACTGTGTTGTTTTTCAGAATTTTCTCTGTATTTATTATAAATACCGACTATTATTCATAAAAGTAAATTATTTTCACTTACAAAATATATACATCCAATTATTGTTTAAACATAAAATACAAATACAAGCCAAAATACTGCATTTCTAAGGTTCCATTTACTTTCTGCAGGTTGATTTTAAATATTAATTATTATATAAAACGTAGTTAAATTAAAAAAATTACAAAAATACCTTCATTAATGTCTTATAATAATTAAAAAAATTATATTTTTAATGTTAAGTAATTAAATATGAGCACCTTAGAAGCGGATGGAGGAGTATACTAATAATTAAGATTATAACATGGACAAGAACTTTGTAAAAAGAATGCAGCAGTATTTTGCTACCTTTAATATAAACAAATCTCTTGATGGAAAACTACCTTTTCGTTTCCTCGGGATTATTTGTCGTCGGCGTCGTCAGAGTTTCGAGGTTTAGATCTGCAATACCTTTAGGAGGGCCGATGCTGCATCGCGCCGTATTATGCACTTCAATGGCATCTTTAATTTTCTGAAACTGAGGCACCCAAAACAAGTTTGTTCGATTACAATGATGATTTGAAGAAATCCATATTGTTGATTTTCCCAAATAGCACCGATTGAGAGTTCAAATAGCATCGATCGAGAGTCCAGATAGCATATCATTTATATTAATATAATGGTTGTAGATCCTGTGTTGATTCGGTCAAGTCAACATGATACTGATTTGACCGGATCAGGATATATCATACACATACTACATCATATGCTGAATTATTACATTAACATATGTTAGAATTATAATATAACATATATATTATAAATATGTTGAGATATTTATGATATAACATATGCTAATCAGGTTAAATCAACAATATGCTAACTTGACCATGATCCATGCCCTAATAGAAGATATAACACTCTGATGATTTCACCAAATAGCATCGATTCAAAGAGTTTAGAAAATACACATTTTAAATATATATCACATTAGTATTTCATAAGCATGTGCTATATGGACTCTTGCTCGGTGCTTTTTGGAGTCTTGATCGGTGCTAATTGGAAAAATCAACGCGGTATTGATTTTTCCATATCAACACTATAACCACCACCATATATATATATATATATATAAGCATAGATAAAACAAATAGACCCTCCGTCCAGATAATTGTGCCAATTTTTCTTTTCGATTGTCCGTTAAATTTATACATAATTTTTTAAAAATAGTCTATCTATAATTTTATTACTTAAACAAATAATAACTATTCTGTCACAGTTTTTTTAATTCCTTTCATTTTTGTAACAACTCTTTAATAACTTCATCATAGCATTCCCATTTTACTTTTTTATCTGCCTCATTTTCATATTAAAATATTATTATTATTTAACTTCGTACCCAAACGAAATGATATAATTATCTCGAACAAAGGGGAGTAGAATTTACTGACTTTGGCTAGGGAACAAGAAAACTCGTCGAGCAGTCCATCTGCACCGCGGTAGAACTGGAAATAGGGAAGGACCTTTACGTTGAGTTTCTTGCACATGGGCTTGTTTTCGTCGAAGTTCACTTTCAAGAACACGATGTCGGGATGCTCAGCCGCTGTTCGGCAGAGCTGACAACAAATAGGCGCAGTTAAAATTACAAGCAATAATCCGAGGTTCGATGTAAATCTTAAAGAACATAAGAAACCGATCCCTCGGATTTTTCAGACATGAATTTAACCAAAAAGCTAGCACAGATTGATCTGGTAGAATATTTTTAATTTAGACTTACCTTAGGGAAAATTGCTCGACAAGATGCGCACCATGTTCCGTAGACCTCGATGATCACTAGCCTCTCGCCGGCCTCACTTAAGGCATTTAAAAACTCCTGTGTTGAGTGAATGTCGATCATGTTTGGGCCTGCATTTCTTTCCCACCATTTTGGCTGCTCGGTTTCGGTTACAGCTGCCTTTATCTGTGACATGGATCGGAATTGAAGAAGATAACATTTAAGGAAAGAGATTGGATCTTTTGGTAGTATGCCAGAATAAAAATGAATAAAATGATAGATTACCAAATAGAAATATTTTGGTAAAAAAACAGCTGCTATAGTAAAAACAGCATTTGCCAGACAGATTAGCATATATCTTCCGCAAGAAAGACTTTTTAATCTCGCCCTATTCATCAATTTTTTTTTTTTTCAAAAACATTACATTAAACAATTATGGTTTATTAAATAGATAATAGAAAAAAATCAAATTTTCATTCAAATCATCGAACACTATTTGAATTCAACTTTTTATTATTCTCAAACTTCAAGCGCAAATTCAAACATTAAAGAATCACATCCGAACCAGAAGTTTAATTTAAGGTCTTCTTGAGTTTTGACCTTATTAGATTGAAATTTTCTACCCATAAAGATATCAGCATCTTGCTCTGAACCAAAAACATAAGTGATTTAGTGCAACTAAAATCAAAACAGAGCTTATATTGTTGCACTAAACATGATGTATTGTGTATTCATACTACTAGCAGCTTTTGAAAAACAATAACAAAATTTCGACAAATCCCATGCTAAGTAGTGAATTTAAATAACTTTTAAGTTTCGATATTCTAATAGAAACAAATTGTTAGATTCAGAGAACACATTCACTTAAAAACACAAAAAGAACACACTTATAACCAGTTCAAATTACATCTAACACCTTTTTTTTATTTATAACATCGCATCCAACTTTCGTTTCAAATTCTCATTATTCCTAAAACACAACAAAACAAGCTATGTTGATGCCAAACAAAAAACATGTGCAAGATACCCTATAAAAATTTCAATACAGGTTTACGCTAGAGATAAAAACATTAAAACAGTAGTGTAATTTGGATGCCATAATGTTGAACAATTAATTGTAACACAAATTAAGAGCAAATGACAATGTCGAGATAAATGTTATAGACAAGACAAATTAATAACCTCACAAACAGGAAAGGTGCGACGCGATACTGAATTAACACCTTTCTTTAAAGGGAAAGATTTGTGCACTTGTCGATGCTTTCAATCTTGTTCTCGTATTATTCATTCTATTAATAAAGTATCTTCACTACCTAAAATATATTGTATCAAACACTATTTCATTCAAAACAACGAATCCAAAAGCTTTTTCCATTAAAAAAAATTCAAATCCAAAACACCCCTAAACGGAAACACACTCCTAAAATACAATCAACCTCATTAAATTTTCAGAAATAAGACGTCTAAGACAGCGGCTGGTACAGAAGTGACTTTAACAGCCCACTTCTCCACATTTAATATCCGTATTCAGAATTTAACAAACTTTGCACCTTCATATTGCCGATTAATACCTCTGCAAAAAAACAAATGACATTCCTATTTCCGATTTTTAAATGAAGACAGTCGAAGTTTTCCTAATTAACAGAGAAAGACGCCAATATTTACTTAGCAATTCTAGAGACAATTCACACCAAATAGATATCCCCAAATTAAATACAAAACACATCACATCGCCACAATTCTAAACCGATGCATCGTTGTTTATGTAATCCAAAGTTGCAAATAAGATCAAGCTTCAAGTGATTTACTAAAATGAGAGAATTGTCTCTCTAAGGTTCTGTTTTTAATCTCACACTACTCATACAAAAAAATTTCTCCTCAAACCATCAAATCAAACATCTATTATTTATTTAATATATTTTTAATATGTACAAATCCGAAACTCAAATACAAAGCTTTCAAAGTTTTACTATCCACAAAAACCATACTGAAATCCAGACCTTAAGTTTTGTCTCTTTAATGTTTGGTTTTGATCTAGCATTGTTCGTCAAATCAAACATCTATTTTAATTTAATATATTACACAAAAATAATAATAATAAATTTTCATTCAAAGCAACACATCTATTTACATCACATCAAATGCTAGTTCAATTTAAAATTTTACTATACACGAACCCCAAACTCAAATCCAAATACTAAGGCCTATTCCTTTTCAAGGCTTGCTTTTGATCTAGCACTATTCATAAATTTTTTTACCCAATATCGATCAAATCAATCATCTATTTTTAATTTAATATATCACAATGTCATTTGTTATTCTGATTCAAATTATCCATTTTCAATTTAATACATCACACATCATTCATAATTTCAATTCAAATTTTTACTAAGCTCAAATCCAAACCTTAAACAGATGTTCACCTAAGCTAAGCTTATGCATAATGTAATTCCTCCCCATCGAATTCTACCAAAACCCCAATTTCCGATCATTCAGCAAGCGCATGAAAACCAATGCAAAATACAGTTCATAAAGGAGAACAAAGATCCTCCAAAAAAACAGCCATGGAATCAAATCCAAACAAAATTTCCAAAACCAAAAACTCAATAGAATTCAGCATCTTCACCTTAAAAAGCCCCAATTTGTTGTTTCCATGTCTCGAAGCCAAACCACCGCCGGCAGAAGAAGCGGCCGGAATCGAAACCAAGCTTGGGCGGCGCAGAGTGTGGGGACACGAACTCAAAGACGAGGAGAAAGAGATGAGCAACGAGGACGAAATCATCGTCCTATTCGAATTGCTGCAACATAATTTAATCACATCCGCCATTTCGGTAAGAATTGCACTGTTGTGTATCTTCTTTCCTCTTCCCTTTTTTCACGAGACGAGAGTGTACGTAGATAGTGGTTTGAGTGCCGACATTGATGGACAACGAAACGCACGAAAGAGAAAGGAGGAAGCAAGCGCCATTAATTGGGCCAAGATCGGGGTTGTTTTTTTCTAGGAAATTTTAAGGCCGTGTTTGGATGAAGGTTTGAAATGAATTTGATATAAAAGTAGTATATATTTGAGTTTTGTGGGGTTTATTTGTCAAAGAAATTTTTTTGGATTGATAATATATTTATTTAGCTATAAACGTCTCATTTATTTTTTACATATTGATATTTTGAATATTAATTATTATATCAAAATATAATATAAATTATAAAAAAAAATACAAATAACTTTCATTAGTGTCTTATAATACTAATAGAATGACATTTGTAGAAAAAATTATATAAATATAAAGATATTTTTAGTGTGAAGTACAATAACGTAACTGTGAGCATTAGAGGGAGACTGAGGGAGTATTTATTTTATTTATTTTGAAAAATCAATATCAAAATAAAATATTAGAATATTTTTATTTAACGTACTTTTTCAAGATTTTTGCTCCCTCCGTACAACTCTAAGGATTTAATTTACTTTTTCCGTCATTGTACTTAACATTAAAAATATTTTTATATTTGTATAATTTTTTGCAAATGTCATTATACTAGTAATATAAGACACTAATAGAAATATTTTTGTCATTTTCTATTAATTTGTACTATGTTTATTAAAAAAATAATTTGTACTACGTTTTCATATAATAATTAATATTCGATCAACACGTAAAAAGTAAATAAGACTCATAGAACCGGACGGAGACAATATTATTTATTAAAAAAATATCTTCAAAAACATCAAATCAAATAGTAGTATTTATTTTTATGTTGTGTATTCCCTCCTTTCACATCTAAGGATTATATTTACTTTTGTTTTATTGTATTTAACATTAAAAATATTTGTATATTTATATAATTTTTTGTACAAATATTATTATTTGGTATTATAAGACACTAATAAAAGTATTTTTTCATTTTTCTTTAATTTGTACTATATTTTGATATAATAATTAATATTCAAATATCAACATGTAAAAAATAAATATAACCCTTAGAGCCGGACATATGTAGTATTATATTAAAAATCAATTTTACATTGAAAATATCATATAAACTATTATTTATATCATATCATATACTCCCTCCGTCCCAATAGAATTGTCTTGTTTTTCCATTTTCGTCAGTCCCGAAACAATTGTCTTGTTTCCTTATTTAATAATCATGGTCCCTACTTTATAATAAAATTATTCATACTTTTCCAAACTACTCCTAATTATTACTCTAACTTACTTTTTAAAATCATTCAAAAAGTAAGGATATTTTAGTCTTTGGTAAACTGTTTTTTTAGTCCCGTAAATGGACTCTCTTATCATTTTAGTCTCGTAAATAGAGTATGTCGCAAACTAGTCTCATAAGTGAAAAAATTTTGTTGTTTTAGTCCTCCGGCGCCGGAGACGCCCGCGTGGCTCGTCGAAGGCCACGTGTCCGCCAGGTGTGTCGCTAACCTGGCGGACATGTGAATTTTATTTTATTTTTTTTTCATAATTTTAAAATTTATTTTTAATTTTATTTGCTTTTTTAATTTTTTATTTGGTTCAATTGAAAAAAAATTAAATAAATAAATAAAATCTACGTGTCCGCCAGGTGTCGTTGACCTGGCGGACACGTGGATTCCGGTGAGCCACGCGGGCGTCTCCGGCGCCGGAGGACTAAAACAGCGAAAATTTTTCACTTATGGGGCTAGTTTGCGACATGCTCCACTTACGTGACTAAAATGATAAGGGGGTCCAGTTACGGGACTAAAATGATAAGAGGGTCCAGTTACGGGACTAAAAAAACAGTTTATCCTTTAGTCTTTTATCATCTACTTTATACTCACTTTCAATTAAATACTATTATTCCTTAATTCCGTGTCCACTTTCAATAAAATATCTTTTCTGGGACAGATGGAGTATATTTTTCAATTCAAAATTTTTACTATTCAAATTTCCTACGTAAAATCCAACTCCCAAACAAACACACCCTAGCACTCTCACATACCTAAAAGGCTAAAACCTTCTCTATAATTTCTCTAAACTGCCTCTCAATTGATACATTAGTAATTTCTCACAACAAATCAATCTAATTAAAATGGGCTATGAAATTGGGCTTGGGTTTTAAGTATAAAGAGTTTGGTCGAATTTGGTGGACCGAACTAAGAAGTGAGTCAACTATCAATTGTCCATGCACCAATTAGGGTAGAGTAGGAATAGAAAAATTTATCGAATATATTGAAATACCAACTTATTGTACTGTACGGTATGAATATCGTATCAAAGTTTTTGTTACGATATCGGTATGAATTTTAGGAAAAATCAGTATTTCGGTATAATACCGTACCGATATTATTTTTTAATTATTAATATAAATAATATTTATTAAATTAATTTTTTTTTAAATTGTAACAAAAAATATGTAGACTATTGAAATTTATTGATTTTTTAATAATATTTTTGTGGTAGAGAATGATGATATTTATTAAATTATTTAATTATTTTGAAATTTAAAATTATATTTTCGGTATATAACGGTATCGTACCGAAATCAAAATTTTCGGTATAAGTGATATATACCGGTATCGTACCGAAATTGAAATTTTCGGTATAAATGGTATATTGAAACTTTCGATACGGTACCGGTATGTATTTTCGCCATAACAAAAAGTTCGGTACGATATCGATATTGATCGGTATTTTCGGTACAGATGCCATCCCTAGGTTAGACTTCAAACATCCAAAAACTTGCAACAATTTCAATACGATTTTTTGGATAGTATAAATTTAATATATATTTTTTTTAAATATAATTCTATCATTACTTTTTGTCTATAATAAAATTGTAAGTTGTATTTAGAATGATATAAACAAAAAAAATGTGTAAATAAATATATCTTGCAAATGTGTGATAGTGATATTTCAAATTAAAAAATAATAGTCTATTCGTCCCATTTCATTTTCATCACTTTTTTTTTAAAAAAGAATTACACTTTAATATATTTTAAATTTTTGGGTAAACTGGACCCTTTATCATTTTAGTTCTGTAAGTGGAACCTGTCGCAAACTAGTCCAATAAGTGAAAAATTTTCGCTGTTTTAGTCCTCCGGCGTCGGAGACGCCCGCGTGGCTTGTCGGAAGTGCGTGTCTGCCAGGTGTCGCTGACCTGGCGGACACATGGATTTATTTATTTTTTTAAATTTTTTTTAATTGGACCAAATAAAAAAATTAAAAAAAAATACAAATAAATTTTAAAATAAATTAAAAATAAGTTTTAAAAAAATTTAAAAAAATAAAAAAAAAATCCACGTGTCCGCCAGGTCAACGAGACTTGGCGGACACGTCACCTCCGGCGAGCCACGCGGGCATCACCGGCGCCGGAGGACTAAAACAGCGAAAATTTTTCACTTATGGGACTAGTTTGCGACATGTTCCACTTACAGGACTAAAATGATAAGGGGGTCCAGTTACGAGACTAAAAAAACAGTTTACTCTAAATTTTTTAATTTTAAATTAAACTAATTAATTATTTTAGTCTCAATTTATAATTATTTTCACTAATATATTTTAAATTATTTACTAAACTATTTATTTACTTTTTATCTATAAATAAATAAATACATTGTCATAACTATTTACCTTTTACACATAAATTTAAAAGTACACTCATTTAGCTTGAATACTAAATTTTTAGGTATTGTGTAATTACTAAATAATTAAGAAATATATTAATAAAAATAATTTAAATTTAATAGAAATAATTATAGATTACTTAAAATGGGTTAAGTAGTCAACTCAAAACATTATACTCCCGCCGTCATGCAAATGTGTGCTTACTTGACCGAGTACGAGTTTTAATAAAAATGAGTAATAATTATTTTTTTTTCTTTTATAGTAAAAAAAAGTACAAAAGTGTAATAATTTTTTACTTAAAAAAAAATGAGAATATTTTCGATGACAATCCAAAAATGAAAATGAGTACAAATTTGTACGAAGGAGGGAGTAATTTTTTTGTGTGTGTAGTTATATCTTAAAATATTTTGTTATATTTTTTAAATAATAAAAAATAAATTAAAATGATGTTTTGATTATTATTTAGTTTTATAAAGAAATTATTATGAATAGTTGAAAACATGTAAGCAAGTCATGGCATCAAAATATTTGTTTGTAAAATTTTCAAAATAATAAGAGTAATATTTTACATAAAATATTAAAAATAAAAATAAAAAGCACAATATCCATTGTTTAACTAACAAGGTCACATCACAATTACTTTATTCACTTAAAAGTCAACTGCTGTTGCTATTTTTGGAATATCTATTTTTGGCCATCCCTAGGAAAGTTGAATTAGGGTGTGTTTGTTTGGAGGATTGGATTGGATTGGATTTACACTGTTTATCTCATTTTTTTTTTTCTTCAAAATATCAAATCAAACACCTATTTTTTATTTTTTATATTATACTAAAAATCAATTTTACATTCAAAACATCACATCAACATTTATTTATATCACATCATACAATTATTCAAATTCAAAATTTTTACTATTCAAATTCAAAATTTTTACTATTCAAATCCCAACTCAAAATTCAAACCCCCAAACAAACACACCCTTAGAATACTTCCTCTGTCAATAAATATAACCTTAATTGGATTGGATACAAAATTTAAGAAATACTAATATTATATTAATAGTCCATAAAAAAATATGGATAAAAGACTTTTTTGCCCTTGTGAGTGTATTAGTGTAAAAAGTAGTGACAATTGTGTAATAAAAATAAAAAAATAAAGATAATTTTATGATGATATGGTTATTTATGAAAATATAAATAAGTGAAGGAGTACTTCTCATCTATTTTTTCTTTGACTAATTTTCATTTATTTATTTATTCTATTATTATTATTATTATTATAGGAACTGTTACACCTGATCACGTTGGCATTGTTTACAATATCCATAACAAAATCTTAATTGGCTATTATAT